CTTGGCAAGATAAGCTATCATGGAGGGCTCTTTGGCCTCGTAGCTGCCACTGATCTGATATGCAACTAGCTGAGAGTCTGTTTTTAAGCAGACATGATCGGCTTCCAGGGAGATGCACAATTCTAGGCCGGCGATTGCTGCCTCATACTCGGCTTCATTGTTCGAGGCCTTAAAAGAAAACTTTAGTGCATACTCAAAGGATTTGCCTTCGGGAGAAGTTATCACTACTCCTGCCCCTGAACCGTTTTCGGTGGAAGATCCATCCGTAAACACGGTCCAAACTTTCTTTTCACTGTCTAGCGCTTCTTGGTATGAGCATTCGGCCAGGAAATCCGCTAGAGCTTGAGCCTTAATGGCAGCCCTCGGACGATAGCTGATGCTGAATTCGGTGAGCTCAAAAGCCCACTTGGCTAGCCTACCAGATTTTTCAACCTTGCCGAGAACTTTTTCCAACGGCTGATCAGTTAAGACCACTATCTGATGGCAATCAAAATAGGGCCTCAGCTTCCGAGCAGCTACTACTACCGCGAAAGCAACTTTCTTGAGTAGAGGATAGCGAGTCTCGGCATCCGTCAGTGTATGACTGACGAAGTAGATCGGTTGCTGACTTTTACTCTCTTCCTTCAGCAATATTGCGCTGATGGTGGCAGGGCTAACGGCCACATATAGGTACAAAGTTTCTCCTTCAGCTAGGCTAGCCAGCGTTGGGAGTTCAGCCAGATGCTCCCGAAGCTGTTTAAAGGCGTCTTTTTGCTCTTCCTCCCAAACGAGCTCTTTTGTTTTCGGGAGTTTCAGGGCTTTGAAGAAAGGTAACCCCTTATCCGAAGCTCTGGAAATGAACCTGGAGAGGGCTGCCATTCTTCCGGTGAGCCGCTGAACATCCCGCTTCGTTTTCGGCTCAGGAAGGTCGAGTGCCGCTTTGACTTTAGAGGGATTCGCATCAATCCCCCTTTTGCTGACCATGAACCCAAGGAATTTCCCTGACTTCACGCCGAAGACACACTTCTTCGGATTCGGCTTCATTTGATGCTTTCTCAAGGTGGCGAAAGTTTCAGCCAGGTCCTTTACAAGGTCCTCTAGTTTTTTGCTTTTGACGATCGAATCGTCAACATAGACTTCCATGTTTCGGCCCTTTTGATCGGCGAAAACTTGATCCACCAGCCTTTGATAGGTTGCCCCCGCATTTTTCAATCCGAAGGGCATCATTTTGTAATTGTACACCCCAGCGTTCGTGACGAATGCTGTCTTTGCTCGATCGTCGGGGTGCATAAAGATCTGATGATACCCCGAGAATGCGTCCATGAAACTAAGCAAGGCATGGCCACTTGTCGAATCGACTAGCTGATCGATCCTCGGCATGGGATAGAAATCCTTTGGACAAGCCTTATTTAGGTCCGTGAAGTCAACGCACATCCTCCAGGTACCATTGGGCTTCTGAACCATCACCACATTTGCCAGCCATTCTGGATATTGGCAAGGTTCGATGAATCCTGCCTCCAATAATTTTTTGACCTCGGTTGCGATGTCTCGGTTCTTATTGGCGGAGTAATTCCGCTTCTTTTGCTTAACTGGTCGACACGTCGGGTCAACATTAAGCTTATGCGAGATGAGGTCTGAACTTATCCCGGGCATATCAGCTGCCGAGAAAGCAAACACATCTCTGTTGTCCCGAAGGAGCTGAATAAGTTCACAACGGGTGTTCGGATCAAGGTCCATCCCGATTGTTACACATTTCTCAACGTCTCCTTCGGCCAACTCAACTGTTTCAGTCTGTTGGTCGTCCATGTCCATTGCTGAGGGACTGGACTCTTCATAATCTGGCCTGCTGCCAATGTCAGCAGGTGTCCCAGTCTTTTTGTTCTTCGGCTGGCTCTCTGAGTCTTGCGGCTCAGCTGAAGAGCTAGCCTTTTCCCTTTCGGGCCCTTTTTCTCTGGGCACAGATCCTTGGGCCGAAGCACTTAGGCCTTTCGGCTTTTTTGTGCTTGGCTCTCTTTCTTTTTCTTTCTCCTCCTCATCCTTGTCGTCATCTGGGCGACTACTGGATGGCTTGAGGTAGTTGCACCTTCGGGCGTCCTTTTGGTTGCCCTGTATCCTTTCGGGGAAGCCGGCGTCTGAGACGTAAATCATCAGCTGATGATAAGTTGAGACGACCCCTTGGATCTCGTGAATTATGGGTCTCCCCAAAATCACGTTGTACACTGAAGGAGCGTCGATGACCAAAAATTCAATCATGATGTTCCTGGCTGCCTCATCGCAACCGATGGTGACAGGAAGTGTCACCTTCCCATCTGGATAAGTTGAAGCCCCATTGAACCCGGATACCGGGTAGGGTACCGGCGTAAGGTGCTTGGGCTTCAGCTTAATTTGATTGTAGGCCTTTCGGAACAGAATGTTTGCTCCACCACCGTCAACAAGGACCTTACTGACGTCGTGGTTGGCCACCGTGGCGATGATCACCAACGGATCCTCGTGACGGAACGTAATCCCCCGGCAGTCGGCGGCTGTGAACGTCATGTTCGGCACCGGCGACTGGGGAGATTGAATGTCAGCGTTGTTCACCTGGTGAGTCAAAGCTCTAAGGTGGCGCTTGTGCTCCCTCCGAGAGTATATTCCTCCCGAGATAACATTGATCGGAGGGAATTTCCCCTCCGGCTTTTTACTGTTTTTCCGGGGGAAGTCGAGGTCTTGCCGAGGGTCCTTTGCTGACCTCTCGGATTCTTTTTTCTCGCGGTGATCCGCGATGTATTTTTTCAAGTATTCCTTCCGGACCATGTCCTCTATCTGGTCCTTCAGTTGGATACACTCCTCAGTGTTGTGTCCCGAAGACTCGTGGAACTCGCACCACTAATTTTTATTTTTTCGCTGATACCACTCTGGGAGTGGTCTCGGCTTTCGGTAACTCTGCTCCTCCTTCGTCACGCTGTAAATTTTGGCGCGTGGAAGAGAGAGCGGAGTGTAGGACTCGTATCTGCCTGTGTATGAGGCAGATCTTTCCTTCTTTGGGTCGCTGGCCAAAGATTGCTCCGGGGCCTTTGACTTTCCCTTTGCCTTATGGCCTTGGCCTTCAGACAAGGATATTTGTCTTTGTTTCCCTCCCCCGAATTGAGGTTGGGTTTTCGCTTTGTTCCATTCTTCGGCTCGGATGAACTTATCCGAAGCATTAAGAGCTTCCTCCAAGGTCTGCGGGGTATGCATGACCATGAAGTCTAGGAACTTTCCGGGCTGAAGGCCATTCTGCATTGCGAAAACGGCTAGCCCCTGGTCCAGCTGGGAGACGCTTGATGACTCGTTACTGAAACGGGTCAGGTAGTCTCGGAGGCTTTCGGTTTCCCCCTGTTGTAGACTCATGAGCTCTGCAGTAGTCTTCTCTCGGCGGTTTGCCGTGGAAAACTTGCTCCTTAACTTGGAGGACAGATCATCCCACCCTGTTATGGAGCCTTGCCTTACTCCCTTGGAGATCCACGCTTGCGCGACCCCCTTGAGAGTGGTTGGGAAATATTTGCACCAAGTCGCCTCGGATCTGGGGCAAAGATGCATATGAGTCTCATACGAGGCCACGTGATCCTTCGGATCCGTGGTCCCGTCATATGTGATGTGCGACGGTATTTTAACCGTGGGTACGCGCTCTTCCAGTATCCATTGCTCGAATGGTGAACTGGCGGGTAGCATAACGGCCTTGCCCTTGTTCCTGGCCGAAGGGACCGCGCTCCGCCCTCTTAGAGAGGTAGGAGTGGTTTTCGTCCCTGGCTGGGAAGTCTGGGCCTCGGCTGCAGGGAACGAGAGGTGACTGCGCACGCTCGGTTCCTTGCCGCCGAGTCGGTCAAGGACGCTTCTGCGAACAGTCTCAGGTTCTCGGTGAGTAGATTCTGGGCGAGAAGCTGAGCTGCTGCTCTTATGCGCTTCTGGTCTTGAGGATGAGGATCCTTTTAAAAATTGAGGGTTCTTTTTCCTCTGTTTTTCATTTTTCCAGGAATCCTCTTCCCGCTCTTCCAGTTCCCGGAAGGAAGGAAGCTTCCCACCATCATGGTCTAACTTCCTCCGCTGATGCCGGGTATGCGGAGGAGTTCGATCACGAGGTGGTGGCATATTTTGTGCCCTCATCGCCTCCATGAGTACTGCTAGCGCTCTTGCCACCTCTTCCGAGCTGGGCCCCGTCAAAGGGGTCCTCGGCCGAGTATGGGAATGAGGGCGCGCAGCCGATGGTTGGCTTTGGGACACTGAATGTGTCCTATGATCGGACTCACCCCTGCTAGACCGAGAGTAACTCGGCCTATAATGAGAGTCATGAATTACGGGAGAAAGGGAATCCTCCTTGTATGATCCTCCCCCCGAGCCGGCACCCTTGGGAGAGTTCCGGTCCGGCGAGGGTGATGGTGTAGGGGTTTTAGGCTTTTCGCCCGCTCCTTGACGGAGACTTTTGCTCTTGCGGTTCTTAGCCATTGCTGCTAAAATAATTGCAAGATGATCTTGGTTAGAAATTTGGCTTAAAGATTTTTGAAAGTCTTCCCCACAGACGGCGCCAAATTGTTTCGGGTGAAAACAATGGGACCTTGTCGAAGGTCCGCTGAAACGGAGAAGGCTGGATTCGGTCCAAGTTATGTTGGGCCGAAGGTTTCCTGCACAGTAAACACACGTAAACTAGCCTCGGGGGTGTTGCCGAGGAAGACCCCTCCGATGCTAAAGTCAGTACAATGTGTAGGAAGAGGACACTATGCAAGAGAGTTTGTTGCTTGAGGCTTTGATGGAATATATGAGAATATATGAATGAACATAATAAATGTATCAATATTGATGGCTTTTATACCTCTTCATACATGGAGAGGTTGGGCCTTAGCCCAATTGGCTTGCTTTGTGGGCTGACCTTTGACTTTAGCACAATTGGAGAGTTGAACCTTGACCTTGGGCTTTTAATTGGATCATTTAATGCCTAGGCCCAATTGGACTAAATTGGACCCAAACAACAATTAATACATGCCTGTAAATGGCTTGTAACAAACATGTTTAGCAGCAACCATAAAAATGGAGCAATCTGCCCCTCTTAGACAATTAGCAATACTAAAATTTATACGTACTGAATTGAATACATTGCTAATAGCTACTGGAGCCAAAAGGATCAAATATCGAGGAATGAGGAATGAGAAATCAAAATTCAATGACCAAAATTGAACTATTCTGCTTCTGTTAATAATATGTCATTAATATACATAATTTTTGCTGAATCTCGGCAGAAGCCTTAAGAGTGTGTGCTTAGCTTCTGCCTTTCTGTAGCTTTTATGCTGATGCTTGTCGAAGAAGACCGACTTTCTGTGTTAAAGCTTGCAGGCAAGATTTCAAGGCATGAAACTAGCAATACTCATGAGCAGGCTTTTGAAGGAAAGGCTTGTAAGTCATCAGAAACCCAAGAAGTTCAACCACATTAAGGATGAAGAAAACCATGTGAGTTCCTGCAAGCAACAAATTACCAACAGTTAATACTAAAAAGTGCCATTTAAATTGTAAATTTCGATAATTATCCTGTGACTGTGAGGAAACAAAACATACCAGGAAGGAAATTAGCCATTTGACGCGTCTGTGCCCAAGAGAGACTGCAAATAGGAAATTCAGAACATTAGAGTGATCAATGCTTAATACATGATGGTATGAAGCCTAAGAATTATGCATAGCAGGTACTCTTTTTGCTTATAATTAATCCCTTTCATAAATGTACAGAATCACTAGGCTCAGACGCAAATCATGTAAGTTATGAAGAGCAGTTCCATTGCTTGCAAACTGCATGTCCCGGTGAAGAGAAGTATATGTAACAGAACTCTGACGGTCTGACCATCTTTAAGGAATCAAGATCCATTTCAGAGTATTCTTTAAATTACACAAAATGGCATGGATATGAACACTTGACACTTTATTTCAGACCAAAATTGATATCTTTCAAATCCTACACTTGGACACATTTTCTTTTCTGAAACAGGTACCCATAACAAACTATCAATAAATGAACCATTGGCGTTTATCAAATTATCAACATGGCTTATTTAAAATTTTCAGAAAAAAAAGAGGCGGAAAACAAACCAGCAGCAATTACATGTTCAAATTAGGTGGACTCAAATGGAGACATGGATACTAGACAGTAATTATGTACTGCATAGATGAGAGAATTAACCGCATTCACTCCTAAGCTATGAAGAACAAGGAAACTTACAGGGATCCAGCAGCAGCAGGACCAAGTGCTTTGCAAAAAGACATGATACACAAAGAAAGTCCATTTGCAGCTCCTCTTTGATGTTGGTTCTGGTATTAAAACTCGAGATATTAGTAATAGATCCTGACTATGGTGGCATAAATCGCAAAATCTAAGCAAAAAACAGGAAAACAGAATGAATTAAATTACCACAGCTCTATTTTGCAGGAGGAACAATCCAGTAGTGATTGAAACCTGACATTTAAGGAATTTATAAGAATTAGTTATCTATGTCTGATACTTCGTCCATACCGTTGGACTTTTGCACAGGATATAAAGAGAGTAAAGAAAAGGAAGAAAAAAAAAAAAAAACAGTTGTAGGGCCCAGCTTATAAGAAACAGTAGAGAAATGTTTTAAAATATTAGAAGTATTGTATAGATTATTATTGGACAAATAAAGTATATGTACAATTATTTATGGAATGGAAGAAGTATCGTTGTAGGCTTGTAGCAAATGATTGTGTAATAACACAATTGATTTTTCTTGGATACAAAATTTACATACCGAAAGCACATTTTTCACTGCAGAAGCAAGATCAACCACAAGTGAGAGACTCGTGCCTCTTAAATTCTCAAAAAAGGGATAACATGACAGCAACGCGATACTGAGAACCTTCATGCCACAAAAACAATAATTAGAGTAAAGTTGGGAAAATATCGCAAGTCTTATCATGGTAGGAAGAAAAACACACTAACTCAAAGCCATACCGCTCCAACACGTGAAACTGTGATTGGACCAAGCTTCCTCTCCAAGAACGGGTAGAGAAGTAGTTGACAAAATAACAAACCAATTCCTACAAAAGAATTGAAAAAAATAAATGTATAAAATCAGATACATTATATGTTCACTGAATTATGTTCACGAACATGATCAATATCGATTACAAATAATTTTTCATATAATTAAATGAATACGAAGTATTTCAAAAGGACATCAACCAAGTAGTCTAAAGCTGTCATTCGATAAAAAGTAGTAAAATTAGTTCAATGTCCTCATCAAATCTTTTACAACTGGACATCTTACAGAAAAGAAATAGCTAATATATGATATATTTGATAAACGAGTTCAAATGCATTGCAACTATGCTATTGATTGACAGAGCTATACCTGCCACAGCAAGAGCTTGACCAACATCTTCAGTTGATAAACTCAATCCTCCAACAGACTTCGGACTTACAGTCCATAATGAGAATATCTGAGGGGGAAAAAATCAAATTTCATAATCCAATCATGATAAAATCTGAAGCTGATGTTTCCAATGATGTCTTTATGTCGCTAGATATTCCACTTTACCTCAATATATGCCATATCATGTAGCTGGAAAACACAATATACTATGATAGTTGACATTAAAGGCCAATTTTTGAGAAGGCTGAACCATGAATTTGAAGCCCCCTCTTTGGAATTTTGCAATTTTTCAGTGTCAGCATCTTCTATATCACTAGAGTGATTCTGGACTGTGCCTTCAGCACTAAGCGTGCATGTGTGCAATGTTTCCTGAAAAAACCAGTGAATGCAGGTAACGATTGAGTTATTCAACAAAAGTATGAGTGGTCAGAAATGCATTATAAAGAGATGGACAAAGAGACTGTACCGGGAGCCAGAAGCAGAGAACGAATACAAACATCGCAAAGATTGAAATCACCAAAGAAACTAAAAAGTACGGGAACCTACAAACCACAATTCAAGTTGGAGAATATTAATATAAAATAAAGCAAATGCTTGCATCTAGAAGCATTAAGGCTATGTTTGGTTTAAAGGGAAAAGTTATGAACTGAAATTATTTTCAAAAAGAAGTACCCTCAACGGAAACTAAGTTTTAAATTTTATTTCCTTCGTTTGTTTCTTTACTAAAACAGAATAGAGAGAAAAGGTAAAAAGAAAATGGAAGAGATCGAAGGAAGAAGGGAGATCTGGAAAAAAAAACGTGACATTCCTTTCCTAAATATGGAAAACAGACAAATTGATTATCCTCACAGATTTACAAACCAAATGAAAGAAAAAAAAAGGTAGTTTTCTTAAATAATGATTTCCCTTCTTAACAAACACAGCCTTAAAGAAGTAAGACACGGGATAAGGGGGAAAAGGAATTTACCTCCCGAAAATTGATTCTTGAGAGAATACACTTGGAAATTTGTCTGCAGGCTGTACAAAAATATTCAGATGTATAACAAAAAGATTGACAAGATAAAAGACAGAGAGGTAAAATAATTGATTGTATAGGGAGATATATGAAGAATAATTTCATGTATTGATGTATACATAAACCAGAAAAGATAAATGAGAATTCACCTGTGCAAGATAACCACCAATTGCAGGGCCTATGACCAAACCAATACCCCATGAAGAAGTCATCTGAAATGGATTAAACTCTCACTCAGCATTGCTAAGCTACTCAACAAGAATTGCAACAAACAAGCACAAGTTAAGAATCATACCATTGCCACCCCTAAAGCTTGATGCTCTCTACGGCTAACTTCAGTTGCATATGCCTGGCCAGTGAGTTCAAAAGTTGAAGCAATCAGAAAAGTTACACAGACGACGCTAATTGTTGATTTTGAAAGTATGAATAAAATGCAAGAAAAATTATCCGTGTAATGAAAACATGTACATACATAATCTTTGACAAGTTTGGCTTGCTATAGTGTAAAAATATATATATCAATAAATTTCTCTTGTGGCTTCACTTACTTGGAGCCTTGGAGGGACTAAGAAACAATGTTAAAGTAGAACTACATAGCATGTTAGCAACACCATAATAAAGAAATCTCATCATCACTGTCTCTAAATATTAACTTTTAATTTATCAGGCAGGATCAAAACCTTACAGTGAAATAAAAGATCGATCCACGACAATTGAAAATTGGTTTTAGGACTTCACAAAATATATGAGTCAATATGTTAAGAATAAATGAAATCGTGTGTATCTTGCACAAACAAACGTTATTATAGAAGACACTATATATGTTCTTCCATCAGGACTTCTCATGAGTCCTGTCTAAAACCGATAGAACCTGCTAAGGCAATACAATCAATTCCTTAGGTTTTTTACTATCACCAACTCATACATTCCATCAAAGACAGCAGAAAGAATGTCAGCAAAGAAGCTACATAAACACAAGGTGAACATACCCTCATCGGACCAAGTGTACCACAGAAAGCACCAAGAAGTAATCTTGTAGCAAGTGCCATCCAATAATTTGTGCTCAGGCCAAACATTGTATTGAATATAACCCTGTAATAAGCATATATGTAATGTCAGTCTACAAAAGAGACAAGAGATCGATCATACGGATATAGTACATATGAGGGGAGGACTGAGGAGGAAAGAGTCAGAAGGCACTACTTACACTGATAATGTGCTCAATATCATGACAGGTTTGCGGCCATAACGATCAGCCACCATTCCCCATAAAACAGCCGTCAATGTTCTCCCAATCATGAATGCAGACCCTTCAACATACAGAAAAGTATTACATTGAAATGTGAACTCCGTTTGATAATATATCTCCATACATTATTCCTGTCCAAAATGTCAATGCAATAAAACTTTGCTTACCCTCAAAACCGGCATAGAAACTAACATCTTCTTCCCGTTTTGCAATATTAAAGTCCCTCACCTAAGCAATACAATAGTCTTCAGATTCACAGAGCCAGAAAAAATTGTGACAGTGAAAAGGTATAAACTTGTATACAACCACCTTAAATACCTCAACTTACATTAGCATCAACTTCACAACTTATTAAGCATGTTATAAACAATACTTCCGTTGTATTCAAGACCTAATATTTTGAAAAGAAAAAAAAAAGGCATTTTCTCCAAGTAATTGGTCCACCACAGACATCACCAAAACAAAAAGACTACATATAACCCGAAAAACTGTACTCACCATGTAGTAAAGGAAGGGGAATATGGATGAAATCGGCAAAGCTGAAACAGCAACAAAGCAAGTGACACATGTTAGTATTACAATACAAACCCACTAAACAAGAAGTTAACTAAAAAATTAATGGAGGCATAAGTCAAATACTAGTTATTAGTATTAACATTCTTTATACAATCAAATAAGTTAGAATTAATCAAAATTTAAATCATCAATCAACCACATTGCAAAAACGAACTTTGATCACTTTATTTAGCTAATCATTGATGAAAACTAAATGAATCCAAGTTATAAAAAAAAAAAATGGTTTCCTTTGTCAATCATGAAAGGACATGAACGTGTCGAATTTCAATGCCTTGACAAAAGAAACAAAAAAAGTCCCCAATGATCAATTATTCATTTAGCAATGATTTAAAATCCCAAGTACCTAATACTAAGAAAAATTAATCCCATAAACCAAATAACATCACTCAAACCAACAAAAATCATACACTAACTTCCAAACCCAAAATCCCACTAAGATTAATAGCAAAAGCTCAATTGAAGTTCCCTAAGTAGCTTTATTAACAGTAAATCAGGAAATGATTGGAGAAGTCAATTATTAAAAACAAATCTTCTCAACTTAAAAAACAACATAAATCCAATGAGGACCACATTATGTTTCCTTGATTCATGAAAATAATACCGTACATTCATTAAAGTTACAGTATGTTCTTTAATCTTTCAATCATTTAATCTAAAATTATGTTGTTTTTCTCAAAGTTAGCTTCTTTATGATGCAATTCAAGAACAGAACACCAAATAATTACTGTAATATATAAATTACTCCGTATTAATAATAAAATGCATAAAAACACAAAATTCAAGAAACCCGCATAATAAAAACATATCATAAACAACAATAACAAAAAAAAAAACCCAAAAAATCAACATAAAAAGAAAGAAAATAAGGAAAAAGAGGGTTACAAGAACAAAGAGTAATAATCCAAATGAAGAAGAAATGAAGCCAAGGAAGATTTGGGTTTTCAGCTTTTCGCTTCTCAACTTGACAACCAGCGCAATCTTCATTGTAATAGTAATCCTTCAACAACAATGGTGCTTTCTTTTCCGCCATTGTTAACCAATTTAATTTAATTTCTCTTCAAAAATCTAATCTTTATCTAAATTAATTAATTCCCTACTAAACTACACTAAAATGAATTCTACAACTACAACAAAAAGTGAAAAAACAGATTTTGTATACAAAAAAATATGGAGAAAAAAAAGTGTTAAAATATACAAAAGAATAGCAATTATTTATAATAATGATTTGGAGTTTGTTATATAAAAAGAGAGTAAGTAGTAGTAGAGAGATCTAGTTTCTCGTGTACCAAGAAGGATGTCGTAACAAACAAAAAAGAGGACAGATTAAATGTGAATTATAGTAGTATATTGGATCAACGTGTCGTATTTTGTTTGTGTTTTTGTTGTTGCATGATATGCTTTCTTTTTTGTTTGTTTATTTTTCCAATTAGATGGGGTTGGAGGATTGAGATGCCACTTATTACGGTGGATTCTACAATTTCGTATTGTCTTTCTCACCTTCCGTTTACATCTTTGGTTCTTAATGTCACTCCAACGTACTTGATTGTACAATGTATTTGAAGTAAACTATGGGTGGGAGTAAGTACAAGTCAATTCGGATAGGTTTAATTTAATCGGGTCGAGTCGAGTCGAGTCTAAATTTTAGGTTAAGTTGTGCTATCATTGTGTTCATACTTCATACAACTAAAAGCTAATAGGAGTAAATTATTTTATTGGCTTTTAACTTGTTGGTCCGATTTTTCACTAATAAACAATTATCAATCACAATTTAGGCATGTTCACATTTACTGAGATGAGCTAAATTGAACTGAGCTGAAATAAATATTTTATAAGATAGGGAAACTAGGAGTTGAACTGAATTGAACTCAAATTAAGTAAATGTGAACAGACCTTAATTTTGCCAAACACTTTTACTACCTCCGTTTCATATTACTACTTACCACCATAAAAATTATCAAAACCGTCAACATTTAGTGTGACTAGACAATCAGGCCCTTAGTACTTCACTACTATCTTCCCTCTTGCCATCAATCACTAACACCTTGACCCCACCACCCTAATTGACGACTAACACCACCACCACCCCCACCACACTAACCAGCGACGATCACCACCGCACTAGCGACCCACCACCTTCCCTCCTTTTTTTTATTTTTAAATTTTAGATTTTCAGGCAATCGCGGTAACCAAAGCCCAAAATCAATTACCGTGCATGGTAAACGGAGCCCAAAATCGGTTACCGTGCATGGTAAACGGAGCCCAAAACCGGTTACCATGCATGGTAACCGGAGCGGTAACCGGTTACCACGCACGGTAACCGATTTTGGGTTCCGGTTACCACGGTTGCCTAAAATAATAATAAAAAAAACCACCACCTTCACGCTGACCAGGGAAGGTGGTGGGTTGTCATAGAGGGGGGTGTGATGGGTCGTCGGTCAAAAGGGGTTGCCGGTTGGAAGGGGTTGTGGGTTGCCGGAAGGATGAAGGGATGGTGAAGTAGTAAGGGTATGATTGTCCATTCACACCAAATGTTGGCAGTGGTAATCATTTTTGTTGGCGGTGTTTAGCAATCCACTTTTTTTTTATTTGCATAACTTTCCTTTTATGGGTGTTTCTTTAATTAAATGCATCACTTCTATATTTGGTAACTTTATAGTTTATATTATATTTATCATTTCTCTCTTTTACTATAAACCGCACTAAACTTATTTTATCATTTCTTTTTCTTTCATGGTCCCACTAAAATAATAAAAATATCTATCCTCTCTCACATACTACCTCTTTTGGTCTCAGCTTACTTTACTACTTCCTCCGTTTTTTTAATATTGCACACTTGTCCCTTTTTTTAATATTGCACCACTTGTCTCTTTTTTTAATATTGCACCACTTGTCTTTTAAGGAAATTTCACAAATATTGCACCATATCCATTTTAGGAAAAGAATTATTTGTATTCACACTATAAATGCCCAATATACCCTTGCTTTTCAACACTTACATTTTGTTTTGTGTATACTATCATATGGGCAACTTTGTATTTCTACCTTTCTCTCTCATCCTTTTTTCCACTACCAAAAAATTTGTGTCAATCTCTTATAGGGCAATAATAAAAGAACGGGGGAAGTATAATAATTTATTCACCCACAATATTATATTACTCTCTTAAAACTTTGTGCAATCTAAAGTGATACAAAAAACACAAAAAAAAAAAAAACAAAAAAAAACGAAGGGAGTATTTGCAAAGATTAGACATTTCTCCTCTCTACTTTATATCAAATCGTTGCAAATAATATAAAACAACAAGATTAAACAACCAACTTAAAAAGTTCATCTGTACAACCAATACTTCCAGTTGGTCAAACAAGCTTAGCAAACTAGCCAACAGCCAAAAGTAAACCGGCAATTACCAATTAACTCCAAAATCAAAGAGCATATGTAAATAATGGAGATAAATTATGCAAATATTTAAACGTGGGGAAATTGTTCAATTGCGCACAAGTCGTCAGGTGATGAGTATTTCACCTAAAGGTCAAGTCAGATTGACTCGCCACCTTCTCTTTTTCAATTAACATATCATGAAAAATTGACTTGATCATCATTGATCTTATGCCATTATATGGTTAAGTACGGATCATATCATTATGGTCAAGTTATTAGTAAACCATATTTGACTTCGAACAAAAACAATTACTTTAGGGTCAATTACTCAATTACTTTCCACCTCGGCCCCCACCTAGCTAACAATTACAAGTGGCAGGGCATTTAAGGGATGGTGTATTATTCAAATTATTAACGGAGGAATTATTTAATTCAAAAGATCCGTCAAAACAAAACTAATCGAGATAAGTTTGGTAGTAATAAAGTAAACTTAAACAAAGTTCAAATAAGAAAATACAAAAATGAATATAACACATCCTTATATTTTTAAGGCTTAGGAGTTAGGAGCACAATAGTGTTGCCCAACCTTATGCGTGAATACAACTTGATCTTAATGATTAATAATTTTTAATTTTTTAGGAGTAGAAGTTATTGACAATAGTTATAGAAAGGAGTTGATACTAAAAAATACATTAGTATTAAAATTTTTAATAAATTATACAAGTACTTAGGACACATTCGATTTACTGAAGTGAACTGAATTAAATTGCTTATGAGAGAAGAAAATTAGGATTTAAACTGAACTGAAATTAAGTTGAATAAGCTGAAGTGGACAGGTCCTTAATTGATTTTACAACATAATAATTAATCAACTTAGTAAAGCTAAATTTATAGGTCTATGATAATAATACAACAAAGCTTGTATCTTCAAACTTGAAAAGATACTCCGTAACACCGCCTTAAAATTATTACACATAAATTTAAAATAAAAATATAATATAGTATCTCTATAATACGCGTAATTTTATATCCACCTTAAAAAATTTTGCAGTCTCTAATAATTTTTATTTATTTTTTTTTATTTTTTTTGAAAATGTCGTATATACTATTCTAATTTTTCATGCAAGGTGTGCCTATAGATCTACAGTATTACTTTCAAATTCCAAGAATGCATATAAAAAAAATCCCATACGCTTCTAAGTGTATATAATAAGAGTTATAAGACAATAATAATTCACCAAAACTTCCCTTTTAAGCCACCACCACCTCAAACACAATAAAAAAACAAAACCAAAACAAAAACAACAAAAAAAAACGTGCAAACACAAAAACCCTACATAATATTACAAAAAACGACCTATATTTCTCTACGACAAAATTCTAGCTACTTTAAATGGCAAAATTATAGCTTAAAGTTGCCCGTAATAATAATGCTCTTATAGCAATCTGTCTTTTATTAGTTGGTTTTATTTGCTAAAAGTTATGCTAAAAATATTGTTTTTATTCCTACTAGTAATCTTTAGTGTAGTAAACTTTGGGGCAACTATCGCCATTTTTTGGGAAAAAGTTCGATGAATTCTCATAACATACACTACAAGTCTACAAGTTATTGCATGTGATGAGTGCTTATTTCATATATTCATGACTTATTTAAGTAAAATAATGTAGAAAAAACAATTAATTTGAAATTTGTACGTAAGACAAAGTAAGGACGTTATAGCTTTATAGGAATTTTAATTGGATTCTTAACTATACAAAAGTTGACAAATAAATAAGCTTATATAATAGAGATCATATTTTTGAAACTATGCCTCATACAAACTTGTTCCTTAGGCTTATATAATATAGATGACCAATAATTATGTTTATGAAATTTGATCTTATTATTCAATATTACTCCAAAGTTATAACTAATATTTAATAGAGATAGTAGATATCTACTATCTGATTCTTTAACCAACTAAAACGCTAAGTAATTAGCATCCACTAATTTAAGTCACGCAACAACCAAAACTAAAGATAGTCATTTTTACAACAATGTCCGTGCCACCGCTGCGGCCGACACGTAATAAGAACACCCCTACCAATCCCACGAAGGCCACGAGGAACCCTGACCTCAAAGGCCAAACGAGAAGAGAAATTGTGTTTTTTTATGTATCATTTTGCTTTCTCTGAATTTCACTACTGTATGTCTGCATTACATTGATAGCTCCATTTCGATGATTTGCCAAGTATAGTACAGTCCATGGTTCATTAAGCATAGGTCGTGCCAATAGTGGGTTCAAGTAAGTTCACGTAATCATGGGCCCATTAACAAACTCCTTACCTTCTTAAGAAAAGGACTTATAAGACTTTTAAATTAACCATTAGTTTGGGCTAGTTTTAAAATTTTGGGGAAATTTTAAAATCAAACTACTTCATTTAAGTTTTATGAATAGTGTTTGGACAATTATATTCTCTAAAATATTTATGGGTAATGCTATATGCAGCCCTTAGGGCTGCATATAAGCATTTAATATACTTCCTTTTTTAGTATTAAGTTGGGAATTTATCGACAATTCACGAGTAAATCGGTGTAATAAATGGTTATTTATTGTTTTTCCTTTCTATTTTTAGCTTCTTATATGCAGCCCTTAGGGCTGCATATATCTTTTTCCAATATGTATTTAGTTATTTGTCTTAATTAGGGTGTATTCTATTCACCTAATTTTTACTTATCTGAACTTATCTGGTCTAATTTAAACTTATCTGAATTTATCAGATCTTATATGAACTTATTAACCCTTATTAAAACTTATTTTAGTAATAAATTAAACTTGAGTAGCCCTGATTAACCCTTATCACAACTTATCTGAACTTATTTTTCCTAAACTTATCTTATCTGAACTTATTAACCATTATCAGAATTTATCTGAACTTATCAACCCTAAAATTAGTGAAAATAAGGTGAATAGAACAGGGACTTAAATGTTAATTTTTTTTTTAACTCTTAAGAAGAGTGTATGGACATTTTATACCCGTAAAAATTGCCAACAACTAAAAAAGGTCCCGATACATGACTAGTTATGATATGTGCATCGCGCGCCTTAGTCACCCAAGTTTAAGATAAATTATTTTAAGATACTACTCCCAGGTAGTTAAATAGTTTTTATCGTACAAGGTACAACAATTGTATTGTATGTGTACCTGGTATAATCAACTCATTAAACAACTGTATGGACTATTTTTGCTCATTTACTTGTATAATACTAGTACGAGTTCAAGTAATTAGCATTAAGTGCTTCAATAACACATACCTAAACTACCAGTCTACCAGCACCTTCCAAATAATGAGATAATTAAAATTTTCTATGTTCATGAAAGAAAAACAAATTGCTAAAATGTCTTTTTCTTTTAATTAAGTTCCAATCTTCTAACTTTTGCTATGGAATAACTTAAGAAGGTGACTTTTAAAAACAAGTTATAGTAACATCTAGTAAGATGTTGCGTAAGTAACACTACATATCAGTGCGATTTTGATACCCCCACCCTTAATTTTACCAAGTGTGAAGAATCCATAATTTCATTTCACATTGTATAATTTGTCGTTTTATCAATAGAGAATTTTATACTTTTTGTACAAAGAAACATTATACTTCGTATATTTATACTCCATTCGTCCCAAAAATCCAAAATATCGACTTTTTCACTACTCATATATTACTGTAGTTTTGACTATAATTTTTTGATAATATAATAAAAAAAATTATTTATTATAAAATATAGTGTTAGATAGCTAGGTATTAATACAATATAAAGTTTCATAATACTTCGTACAATTTTTAAAATAATTTTCATTAATACTTAGTTATATAAAAGTAAAGTCAAGCTAACATATTAGTATGTATGCAATGTTGATTGTGTTAGATATTCCGGGAAATAAGGAGTGTTGTATGTATTTAAAAGTGTCAATAATCTACCATTATAGCTAGCTACTAAAAATGACTTGTTATTTTGGAAACATCATACTCCTTTTGTCAGACGGCCTTATAAAATTATTTAATTTAGTTGTAATTTGAATTTGGATAATCCTATTTAAACATCATTGTAACTTACAAAGTAATTTTTCTAATTTTATCTTACAAAAACTTTTTTTTTTAAAATAAAAAGAAATAAGATGAATCAAACAAGACTTAATATCGATCCCACATAAAATTAGTATTGTTCATAATCATCTAAATCCAACCAATTATAACTCGTCACGCACCAAACAAGGCTTGGTTCATATAACAAGTGAGGGTGTTTACAAGTGGTAAACCCTTAGCCATTTCATTTACTCTGAAATCATCCCAACTCCCAAGTGACTAATTTTGCAAATTAAATTGAAAAAAAAAAAAAAAAAAATCGTAAGAGTTAAACTCTCGCCTAAATCTAACTTATCACCCTTCCCCGCCCATGTCTCTTACAAGTTACAAATGAGCCCCTTAAATAATGATTTAATACGTACAAGCTAAGTATTTCATGTTCGGATTCGAAAAAACTCAACAACGAGAAAGCAATAAAGAAGATAAAAAATGTAAAATTACCAGCAGTAAGGGTAATAACCCAAATGAAGAAGAAATGACGCCAAGGAACATCTGGGCACTCTGCTTTATGCCTCTGAATTTGACATCCTTCGCAATTTTCATCAAAATTATACTTGTTTTCCTCCGAAACTAACAATGGTTCTTTGTAATCCGCCATTTTTAAAACCTTGGATTATAATAAAACTCGCAACTTTATTTTCTCTCTATTATATGTATTTAGAAAAAATAACAAAAAATTTATTGTGGTTTTAAAGGACAAACATAATAATGAAGAATAGAAGAAAAATATTAAATGATGACAGTTAATGTGTTATGATGGGTCGTAAGTTTTAAAGGAAAAATTCTGGTTGTGGTTCGTCCACGAGAATAATATACGTAAAAGTTATGAATTTATGCAAATTTGACGAAGGCATTGATGCAGCTAATCAGCACCTGTCTTATTTTTTCAATATTTTTTTAGTAATTTTAAATGCGAATATAATAATTAGATTTGGCATTGAACATATTTGACAGTGACAGAATTTATTAGCAAACCAAGTAGCTACGGTAGCTTCGCTTTATAGGGCCAATGACGACTTTTAGGTCCAATCTATACTTGATAACTTAGGGCCCGTTCTGAACTGAACCGAAGTGAACTAAATTTATTAGAGCCGAACTGAACTGAACTGATGAACTTATTATAGCTGAACTGAACTGAAATAAAATGAATATTTTATAAGAGAAGGAAATTATGAGCTGAACTGAATTGAAAATAATCGTATGAGAACAGATCTTTAGTGTTTGTTACATTTACTGAACTAAACTAAATTGAACTGATTAGAGCTGAAATGAATATTTTATGAGAGAATGAAATTATGAAGTGAATTGAACTGAACTGAAATTAAGCTGAAGTGAACAAACCCTTAATAGCGGTGTAGATCGAGTGAGGGATAGCTCAAGTGATTAGAGTTTCTCTCTTGATTTCAAGAGATTTTGGAATTTATTCTCATCATTTGTCCGTGTGGCTCTCTAAACAAAAAAAATAAAAAGAAATAGTGTTGCAAGTTACATAGTTTTGCTAGAACATCGGACAATAGTCATCAAGATATTAACCTATTTATAGATAAGGAGTAACAAATGTTCTTATTTTCTCCTCTAGGTTAGGTCTTTGTTTTGAGTAAGGACGGGTTTAATTTTATATCTCGTGCATGGTTTGATTCTTCTCTATTCAAAAAAGAAAAAGGTACTAGTTTTTATGATGTACTCAATTCACAATTAAGTTCTATGAAAATTGTGTTCTTAAGTAGTTTGATATTTGAACATTGGTAGTTTGGTACCAAACAATTTATTTACTCCTTTCATATCTTATTACTTGTTCTATTTTCATGTCCGGAATTTTAAGAAAAATAATACTACGTAGAAAGTAATATAAAACATAAAGGAAGTGTAATTGGTGGAAAAATAAAGTACAATAACTGGGAGGAGAGAGAATATAGAATTATTAAAATATGATATTTGAGGGTCTACAATGAGAGAAAAAATTAACAAAATATTGTAAAAAATTTCCAAAAAAGAGAAATAGTAATAAAATACAGCTGCAAAAGAAAAGTTGAGCAAATAATAAAATACGAGTACAAAGGGAGTAGTACATTGCTAAATAAGGTGCAAATCAAGTAAAATATGAACCTTGCCTAATTCCGCCTAAACATAGATAAAACTATGTAGATCCAATAGTTTATTTTGGAAAATTTGCAAATTGTAGCCATTTTTTTTTTTTTGCAAATTGCAGCCCAAAAGTTCGTATAAATTGTAAATTGCAGCCCGATTCAATTTTTTCATCGGTTTACATGTTGAAAAATCTTCGGTTAAGGTTTTAAGGGTCATTTTAGCCCTTAGGGGCCCGAATTGAGCTCAAAATTAGCAAAAAAAATAACGTAAGTGTCTCATATTTACAGTTTCCCACAAATCGATACATTTTTGTTACGCAAACGAGATACTTGCGTTATTTGTTTGCTAATTTCGAGCTCAATTTGGACCTCTAAAGCCTAAAATGGCCCCTAAAACCTTAATCAAAGATTTTTCAACTTGTAAACTGATGAAAAAGTTGAATCGGGCTGCAATTTACAATTTATATGAACATTTGGGCTACAATTTGTAATTTTATATTTAAATGGCTGTAATTTGCAAAATACGAATTTTAAATAACTGAATATGCAAATATTCCTTTATTTTTTATTGTTATTCAGTGTGGTCACACGAATTATTGCCCTGATCGCTGACTTTGACAGGTTGATGTAAATGTAATCCAGCGTCACACAAAGTCAATAAATGTTGATTTGTTTTGCATACTTCACCCTAACATTGACGCAATGCAATATTCAACTTACCAAAATTTGAAAAAACTCCCTTACGGGTATGTTTAATTTTCAACAAAAAAAAAAATAAAAAAAAAAAAAACTCTATTCGTCCCTAAATAAAAGTCCTTTATGGGTAAATTTAATCACAAAATGTTCACCCATTTGCTTTTTCCAACAACTATTAATATTAATTTTTTTTACCAAAATTCCCTCTAATTTACAACAATATTTGTGCAAATTTAACTTTTCCATGTAAATTTTATTATTCCCTTTTACGGAATACTTTTATTACTTTCTCTCTCTACTTTTTTGCATACCCAATGTCAATTTACTTTTTTAATGTACTTTTACTATTGTTATTTGTGTTTATTAATTCCCGTTAAAAATGTAAAGGACAATCAATAGGGGACGAAGAGAGTTAAAAAAAATACCAAAATTTGCGAACATGGCATAAGATAGTATAACAAGTTTATTACTTGGTGGTGGGCATAGAATTTTAACATGTTCATTAGCCTAGGGTTTCATCACGAAACCGGGCATGCCTACGATGAATTTTTCGAGATCTGAATGAAGAACAATACCTCAGTCATTGATGCATAGTATGCATGATAAGGATCAAAGGAGAGTAACTTTAGAGATTAGAGACATTACATTGGCCACAATAATGTCCGGTAAATGTAGGTCTATAGCAGCTTGCTAGTGCCAGTTAACTTTGTTAACAATCACGTTTTAGCGTCAAATATATAATCTTTCATTCACATTACTTTACTACAAGCAGTTTTGCACTCTATATAAACCATGTATTCAGTTATTATCACCGCCTTACATTACATAACTACAAGCACGAACACATTCAACTGTATGACAAGTAAACTTCGGCACTCCACGAATCAGTCCTTCGGAATTCAAACACAGTTTGTGTCATAACTTGCAAGTCCGACCAACTCAGGGCCTTCCAGACGAGGGTTGTTCTCAAAGCTGCAAAAATAGGTCATACCAAGTCAATTAGGTGTGGAAAAGATTTCTTCAACGGAAAATTTTATAGAAAACAACGATGGCTTGGTCTGTTCATCTCAAACACGCTATTATCATGAGCATCACATTTTCGCAATGAATGACTGCAAGCAGTAAGCATATAACAAAAGCAAATACATCAGCATTTTATGTCACACATTTCACCCCAACAAAATGCTAAGACCCTTTCTTAACCGCTGATTAGACAAACAGGATAAACACCTGGGAAGTGAAAGCTGAATAGTCTGTCATACGCCCATAAACCCTCCCTAGCTTACCCTCTCTTAACTGACATGCTGATAGTCTCGCACTCAATCAATCAAAGCCTTAATCCCACATAAGTGGGGTTTGAAAATTTCTTACAGCGAGCTTATGAGAGATAGATGAATAGAGGTAGTATATTGGATGAGGTGATGATGATGCAAAGAGGGAGGAGGGTTTGAAAAACTATTAATCCCATTTTAGGGTATAGTTCCACGTCATCCACCTAGCGTAATACCTTCCGAAATGAGAATATTCCCTCCTCACTTCATCACCCCATCATACTTCATGGTCTTCATCCCAATATCATCACGCCCACTCATCATCACTCTTATTCCTCTTATTACCCCTTTAACTCATTAACTCTAACATAAGCAAGCTAGAAGAAGGAAGATAACGGAAAAAGTGATAAGCACAAAGAAACAATAGCACCCGAAATGGTTGCTCTCACTGGAGTAGCAAAGTATTGGATTGCAGAGGAGATATTATCCGAAATCAGTATGGACATGCTATTAGGAACTTAAATATGGTGATAAATAATGAAGAACTTGATTTGACAGAGTTCACAGGAAGAGAAGTATAAGGCATGTAACCTGATCACTTTCTTTCATCATATGAGCTTTCTGAGATTTAATCCTCCCTAAAGAAAATATTTCATTGGCCAAAAAATGGATCCAAATACCAAATACGCGACCTCATAATTATTCAGATGCAACCACATCCTAAACACCAATGGCGGTTTTTTATTGCCAACTTACGATTCCGGCCACAACCGCTTGAGACCCAAAATGTAAGCTCTATTATGCCATAATGACCTCATCTTTCTTCATATATTATATGTATTTTTTCTGATTTCATCCTTGCTCTTTTCGGCAAATCAAAAACCATAATGATGAACCCATCTTTTTCCTTCTATATTATTTACTTCTCTCTACACCACACATCAAACTTTAGAAAGCCATGGCTTTTTGGTATGTTCATCGTCACTAATTGTATAGCACCACATACAAATATGAATGGAACCCCAAATTTTGGTCAAACAACTTCTCTTCTATTACAGTTTGAATTGGATGTTCATCGTCTAAATTGAAAAACAAATTGTATGTTCATCGCCTAAATTGGATGCCTTAGCCACAAGCAAATCTTCTAGATTCATAATACATATACCAAGTTACATTGTGATAAATGAAATTACAAACAGAATATATTAATCAATAAGTTCATTTAAAATGGAAATACCCAAGTAACAGTGTCACACAGGGGTCTCATTCCTCCACAGTCAACACGTTTTGTTAAACTCCACAAACCACCAAATTTTCTTTATTCATAGTATATTTTATAATAAGTTTCCTGTATTTCCAGCTAATCAATCATAATCATCATTTTTCCCCTTTAATACAACATCACTAATTCTGTCCGGTAAAGTCAGTTCATAACAGAAGACTCTCCGTAAGAGAGTTAAGTTCCTCACAAGCACAAAAGGTTGAAATCGTGTAATTCTGATAAGAGGATAATGTGACATTGTTCTTCAGCCTCAACTAAGGGATACCTTAAATATGCAAAATGGATATTATTAATTTATTATATCCTAGACCATTATCTTTCTAAGGAATATTTAAGTTAGAGTTAGGAAAAGAGGGAGGAGTCTTCAAACTGTAATAGAAGAGAATTTGTTTGACCAAATTAATAAGACCCCTAAAATATGGAGCCTTAGAGCATTCTATTTGATTGTATGTTTATTTACTAATTTATTTCAGGATACAAGATTGTTAATCGGATATGGATACTATCATAGACTCATAGCCCATAAGTGACAAAGTAAGCCACAAACTTGTTTGGAGCACATATCAAAACCCACTTTTGATGCTATCTTTCATATGATCATACTAAGAGGCTCATGGAACCCCACATTAGACGCATAACATACACTTTACATAAAAAAACTAAAACAGATATGTCCATAACAGTAGGGAAGCCCTCAGTTTGAAAATAAACATAAGCTACTAGCCAAATTAAGTTATGCTCATTAAAGGTGAACTTAGAGTTTCTATTAAAATGGTTATTGATAAAACCATAACAAGTTCTCACTTCTCGAATTGACTAGAAACCACCTGGGGCAAAATTTACATTAATAGGTGCTGTCTTATACATGCATACAAATTCAGCTTTTACGAAGAAAAAAAAAAAAAAAAAAACTTTTCTTTGTTTCATCTTTTGTGTTTCTTTTACATTTTAAACATTCTTAATCATTTCATAGGGAAAAGAAGAACAAGAGAGGGGGTAGCTTCTTAGACAATGCAATGCGGTCGGCACAATTAGACAAGTACATTTCTAGCACAATATACACCAATCATATCAAATACTAAAGACAACTAACATTTTCTGGAAGTGCAACAGAATATTTATTATTCTACCCCACCATTTGCAAATTTTGTCACAATTAACTTTACAAAAGACTCAATAGTGAAATAGAACTAATGAAGCAGTAGAGCGAAAAATTGATGATTTAGTTATTTGAAACATGCCAGAATAAGGACAAAAAAAATAGTTCGGTAAGAAAAAAAAGTATTCATTCATAAAAAAAAAACGCACACATACAACAAATTTGTGCTCTCAATGAAGAAGGTCAATGTTACATCCTATACCTACATGTGTGACTGAATTGGCTATACAATTAGCCACTTTTTCTTTGAGGCAATGAAGTTATCATATTATCCAGTTAGAATTCATCTTAAAAACTGAATGTTTAAGAAGACACCTTTCTGACAAAGTGACATGTTAACTTTATAGGATGTGGTTTATGGTATGGTCGATATCCATTGATCTTTAACATCTTATTGTAATACTTGAAAAAGTTGCAGACTGATTTCACAGATAAGTGAGATAATCCTCATTTAATACACCTATCTTTAACCTGTAGAAGAGTTGACTTTCATAATGTCCAATGATTTATAGGTTTGTCAAGCAAACACTGCCAGGGTCATAAAAGGAAAGTAAGGCAACCTACTTAAAAAAACATCTATCATTTTCAAGAGAGGTTTGTGAAGGGAGGAAAAGATGAGATCTAAATTCTCTTAGATTTAAATTGGAAAGCAGATAAAAGGACAAAAGCAAGTGGGGTAAAAGGTCACACCAGCAGCTTGAAGGAATTAGAAATATCAACACAGGGCAAGACGATGCTTAACTTGATGCCTGATACACTAATGCAGCACTATCCTGATACTATCAATTATTTTTTAACAAAGAAAGGCAGAGAGACCATGGATCTCTTCAGCAAAAGAATGCAGAAGTGCCCCATTTTATATATGAAAATGCCTGACAAGGTAACAACTTTTGGGAAAGCATAACAGCTCACTGTAAGCAACACTTATAGTTAATCTTAATTGAATGAATGACTTGCTGGTCTAATGCACTAATGACAAAAGACCTAGATAACTCCAGTTAGGTAGCATCCCAAGAATATGAACTACTGCAATTGTACAGGCAAAGAAAAAGTTAACATATAGAGTACAGAAGAAAATCACTTACTTCTCCAAAGGAATGTGCTCAAAAGGACCAGATGTTGGAATTGGTCCACATAACTTGTTGTTGGAAACATCACTGGAAAAGTAGAAAAGAGTTTAACAAATTAGAGAACTGCCAAGTGCCAACCAATAGAAGGATACATTGCAAAGTCTTCAACAAGCTCAACTTACATTACTTTCAGGCTGGCAATCTTGGATAACTCCTTTGGGATACGACCAGTAAGTTGGTTATCGTTCAATCGCCTACCAGAGTAAAAAACATCAGTAATTTCATAACCAAAATCCTACATAGATAACGTAACATAATGATAAAAACTAAAAAAAATAAAATAGAGTCAAGCTCACTTACAAGAAAACAAGGGATTGTAGATTTCCAAGTTCCGGGGGGATGCTTCCTGATATATTGTTGTTATATAAATCCAAGCTAATTAGGTTCTTTAGATTTCCAAGCTCACATGGAATGGTCCCTTGTATATTGTTCTTGTAAAGTTCCCTGATTCCACAAGTAAAGGTCAACTTAATAACCGAAGTTTTTTTTTTTAATTCAGCTGCACCAAAATCAACTATTAGCCAACTTAGTGAAACAAGGAGGATACTTACAGATACTGAAGATGTTCTAGCGTCCCAAGCTCAGGCACTAGGTGGCCAGAGAGATTTGAATTGCCAAGATCTCTGCATATAAAACCACATCGACATCAAACATTTGGGTATATATTACTCTTGAAAAGCAACTTCCAAAGTCTTAAGGCCACCAAATCAACATCCCAAACAAGGAGCTTAAAATGATGATATTCAATAGATCTTTTCAAGACAGTAAAGTTTAAAAACCAGAGCTTGCAACTTCAACTTTCAAGCTGAAAGAGAAGATTGCACCTAAGGTGCTATGTGCGTGCAAAAGTGAAAACAAAGAAAAATACCACAAAAAATCACATGATTACTAGAGGAGACGTGAAGAAAAATTACTCAAGAAACAGTAAAACAAAACTTCTACCAAGAACAAAGATAAGTCAGGGCGACATTTTTCAAATTTATATTTAATTGAACAGAAATCTCATATATTCCTTTTGAGAAGATCATTGATTGGCTAGATAAAAGAATCAGCAATGATCATTGTAAATTGTAATGGATGAATCAAGTTGAATCTTTCGATTATGACATTGGGTTAAAGGCATGTGCCACCTCCCACCAATCCTCATTCCTCAAGTCAGAAACATTGGAGCTCCTATAATTGCAATTCCGATTCTTCCAACCTCAATGTAACACAGTAACATAAATGCAACTGCTGTTGACCCATTTTTGACACCATACATCCTGTTGTTCTCCATAACTCCACCATTGGCCACATCAATAGAATGAATATTAAGATCAAAACCATATAAAGTAAAGTGATACATCCTCCATTCTTTTCTAGTTGCAGCAATTTCTTTTTGGAAAAGTTCCAAACTAGTTGCAACATTATTATATGAATATGACTTCTTGTCAAGAATTTAAGATTTGGGTTTTCTCTATCTCTTTTGTCATTACATAAGCCTCCTCCTTATCTCTCTTTTTTTTCACATGGCCTCCTTAATATGAGCCTGCACAGTACCACACCCTACGTTGTAGCTAAAAGAGAGCGGAGGAAGTATCTATGAGAGAAAAGGGATTTAAATCTGATCAATAATCAACCTGACACATCTCAGACCCTAGCTCATCAACAAACATCCACAATCAAAACCATATGAGGCATTGTCATTTGTTACATAACTTTGACTGCTGACAACCCTATATCTTTGGATCTGACCCAAAATTCTCTTTCCAGTCCCAACAGCTAATGAGAGGCGAGGCTGAGGAAAATGATGATCAATCTGGCCCATCTGAAACACTGGCTCGTAACCAAATATATACAGTCAAAAGACTCAAAACAATATGAGGCATTGTCATTTGTTACTTAAATTAAGTTATTAGCTGCTGGCAAATGCCCAAATCTATATCTCTCACTACCCCACCTCCTAAAATCTTTTTACAGCCTCTAAAGCTAATGGGAGGCAAAGCTGAGTCAAACGGGGCATCATTGATCCATGCTTAGACCCAAAGATATTTCAGCTCATCACCAAAACCAACAAAAAACACCATATGATTGACAAGATCTCCATTAGATGTGGCATGACTAACTGGCATAACGTAGAAATATTAACTGGCAAATGGAGGGATGGGCGGGATAGATGATAAAAAAGAAAAATATTTATTTGAACTGCACAGAAAAAGGAACACATAACATGATATACATCCAACAAAGATTCCAAAAGATGATGAATTATCCAGCTTTAATATCATCCACGCTCTCAAAACATCAAGCTATACAAACTAGGTAAGTATGTATCACTTATGCGCCAGATGCCACTGATTCCACTTTGAGCTATCCCCATAAGAGCTTTTCCTTTGAAGAACAACAATATTTTTCCCTAGCCTCAATCTACAGTTCTAATCACAAAACTTTTTTCTCTAAAAAAACACCATTGAGAGACGCATTGGTAAAGAAAAATACTCGTATATAGCAAGAAGTTTTCCTTCCAAAGGACCAACATACTTTTAAGATTCTGACACAAATCAAATGAAAACGCACATCACACATACACTTCACATCAACAATAGAAATACAACTGGAGAATAACTCCAGTACCAATTGCCATTACCATGTGCTGCATCAAGGACTTTCAGGTTCACAAATAAATCAAGTTGCTACTTGCCCAATATTCAACGACAATTACTTTCTAGGTACCAAATTACCAATTTGAAGAAGATTACATGTATGCGGAAAATACGGCAAATTATATTCACTTACAAAATACTACATACACAATTTTACTAACATAAAAAAAAGGCCATTTCTGTGGTTTTAACTAAACTAGAGAAACTTAAATTCCGCAACAAGAGTACAAAACCTGCTCACCCTGACAAACTCATTCTAGATTTTTCTACAATTCACCTCAAAAACCAGATCCACGACTTCTCTTAGTTGTTTTACAAAAATGTTAAATTCATGAAATGAAAGGCAAAATTTCACCCCTAAAATCATCCAACACAACAAGCAATAATTCATAGAACTGATAATGTTAACAATAGATTCTCTGGTTTACAGTGAACTAAGGTTAATTAAATCCCTCGGCTACCTTTTTTACTACCAATCCATGTCTTACTATGACTTCATTATTATTACTTTATGGGGCACACAAGAAGAATCTGATAACAGTTCACATAAAACAAACTAAGAATTGCTCAAGATGACAGATAAAATCCAACTCATTGCAAAATTTGCTTCCAATTAACTCAATTTAGACCAATCTCCCCCGATTTAAACCATTCTAAAACGAACATAATTGCCACAAAATCAAACGAATGCCCACATAGACTAAAATAATCCCCACAAAACCATCCAACAGAACAACGATTCAACAACCAAGCACTTAACAAGTTAAAATACACAAGTTCATGCAAATACAGGACAAATCCAGTCAAATACTCAAATCAACATCATCTGAATTGGTATGGTCAGTCTTACTCCAGAACTAGAAATCAAGCTTATCTATCCAAAACATCCAAAATAAGATAAATAAAATGAAATAAACAAAAACAAATCAATCAACACCCAAATCAGATACAAGCCCAAAATCCAAAAATTGCACAGAATAAAAAAGCAATCAAAATTAAAGAGAGAGAAAGAAGATTATACACTCGAGTGACATGATCATCAGCGTTGCAGGTGATGTGAAACCAAGTACAAGGGCTAACAAGATTCGGATCCCAACTTTGAAGAACATTATTTGGATCATTCAAACTCTTTCTCAAAGCATAAAGAGCATCTCCTTCAGAATTCCCAGAAACCCAATTCACCAAAACCAAAGATAAACACACCCAAATCAAAGATGAAGCTTTGAACCCCACCATTTCAAAACCCCACCTTTTTTTTCTCTCTCAAAATTCTAGGGTTTGAACAGCAGAAAATTGCAGAAAGTTGACAGCTTTTTTAATAATTACAACTAGTACTTGACTAGTTGCTTAAATACAACTAGTGAAGAAAGTAATAATTAAGAGGTTAGAAATGAAGGGAAGAAAATCAGCTTTGGAAATAGAAGAGAGAGAAAATGGAGAAAAAGGAGGAATCTTTGTATGATGAAGGAGTGAAACGCGTGCGTGTGAAATGTGATAATGCCGTAGAAGGTGGGTTTGTTTGAAGGAGCAGTTTCGTTTTGACTTGGAATGGAAAGGTTGGAACTTGGGATTATTATTAATGGTGATTGGTTATGGTTAGTGGAATTTGGAATCACTGGAAATTTCTTAAGTGAAGACTAGACTTTATTTGGAATTTTTGCAACAAATTTTGACTCAGTCTACTATGAGAATAGTTTCATCAATCAAAGTTTTTAAGTCATTGTATTTCTTGCTTCTAGTCAAGAAACTCAAGAGTTATACTATTAGTAGTAAGAATTTTTTAGTGCTTTTAAGATAGATTATATTGATTGGGGATTGACGTAGTTGTTTGTTTGATGTAATATATTGTAATGCTTTGCTAGTCAAGATGTATTGTGTACTAGTAGTAGTAAGAATTCTTGAGTGCATTAGAAGATGGATTATCGTGATTAACGTGTTTTTTGTAAGATTGATGAGATAGTATTATGTTCTTTTTACTTAAGATTAGGTTAAAAGGTGACTTTGTTTACATATTAATATATTATGTTGCAGATCATAAAGTCTTATATGTGACTGGCCACACCGTGTGGTCATCCATCGTGAGGGTTACTTGACTTACTTCGTAAGTGTTATAGGAATTGTTCATTCAGTTTTACAAGGGTTACTTCGAAATGTTTTACGAGTAACTTATGAGTCACTTGGTCTATATACCAAGAGTTACCGAATCAGTGTTACACGGAATACTTTGTTGTTTTACAAGTGATCACATGATGTGACCAGCCACACACAAGATGCATTGGTTCTTATAACCATATTAATTTTATAAGTTTGCAAAATGGATAGAATAATAATTAAAGGTTAAAGTAGGGATGTCAGTGGGACGAGTCAAGTAGGAGACCCGCCCCATCCTCGCCCCAATGGGGCGGGGATGGGTCTTGGTTTAGCGGGTGGTGGGGGCGGGGATGGGGATAAAAACCATACCCGCCATGGGTGATGGGCGGGGGTGGATTTTAAGTTGTACCCGCCTCCTCCTCGGCCCGTCTTACCTGCCCCATTTCGTACCCGCCCCATCCCCACCTCATACCCACGTCTATATATCTTTAAAAACAAAATTATATATACTTTTATACTATGTTATAAAATAATTACGTGAAATAAAATAGTACTTATAATACTTTGTACTACGCTTATATTATAAACAAAAATGTTTTGTAATTTTAAGAAATTTTTTTTAATTATTATAATCCGCATTAATTATGTAGGATTGTGTATTTGAGAGACAAAGATTAGGTGGGGGTTAGGCGGGTCTTTGGTGGGAATAAGGTGGGGGTGGATATCTTAGTGGGAGGTGGGGCGGGGATGGTTTTTGGAGTTGTATTGTACCCGTCGGGGCGGAGATGGGGATGAGTATTGGACCCGTTGCGGGGATGGGGATGGGGATGGGTATGAAAATGATAAGTGGGGATGGGGATGGGAAGGCCAACATCCGCCCCGCCCCATTGACATCCCTAGGTTAGAGCTCCTAAGTTATTACAAACAGTCCCAAGATCAATCTCTCCCCACTAACAACTTACAATTTGCATAAGTATAACATAACTAACTGTTTATTTTTTTGCCAAACAAAAATTGGATGTTGAATAAAAAGTTGCACATGGACGGAGGGCCTCATAAATGTTATCATGTTATGTCATTGTAGCCTTGATACTAAATCAGGTCTAATTTTAACTTATTTTCAATAATTAAAAAAAAAAATCTTACTTACACCGTTACACCCCCAGGTGCAAGATGTATCTAAAGGTATTTCTCGATCATTTGATGATTGATGCAAAGGTATTAAATCATCTAATAACTGAAAATTTTCCTTAGAAAGAGATTGAATCAGAATAGCACCAATTAACTAAAGATTTTCTTAGAAATTTTTGATGATCATAACTCATGGTTGTTTGCCAATTTTGGAGTTTTTTTTTTTTTTTGACAAAGGATACAAACAACTACATATTAATATTAAAACAAATAGAGTGAATTGCCGCTTCTCCGGCAATTTGGTGAGCTCTGTGGACGCGCTGGCGATTCGCCTTATGAATACCACAAACTTGGAAGCGCGAGGCAAGTTGCTAAATTCTCCGAATAAGCCATTTATAAGCGATGCTACCCTGACCCTCTCCACGAAGCAAGGAGACCAAATTATATGAATCAGTAAAAACCGTAAGAGACAAAATCTCGGAATCTAAAGCCCATACAAGCAAGCTAAAGCCTCCGCATGTAAAGGAGAGGAGCAAACCCCGTAGTTGCTACCTCCAGTAATCCGATCATCCAACGGATCCTCATTATCCATGCACCAACCCATTCCAGCTTGTAGAGAATCTTTAAACCAGGAGCCATCAATCTGAAGTGAGAGTAAACTCCTGTCAGCTTGGCCTGCACCCCCAATTTTGGAGTTGGTGATGGTAATTGTGGGCTTTTGAGGTTGCAAAAGGTGTGATAATTTTGTGAATTAACAAAAAAAAAAAAAGGTGGGAATTTTATTTAGAAAAACAATGTACTTGAAGAAATTTTATTTTACTTTTTTTCATTTTAGCATATTTCGCTTCAAAATGAGACATTATTAACCCGTTATGCTTGCACTCGTCCCAAATTTTAAAAATGATCACTATACACATTTCGTGCAATAGCTGGTTCCTACAGGCGCTGTACGGTGCAACGTACAATCGTTTTGTAGGAAAGAACATGATATATAAAAGTAATGAACATAAAGTTATAGTGAAAAGAACATACTATTAAAATGTAATGAACATATACCTAAAGTAAAAATAACATACCATCAAAATGTAATGAACATATACCTACAGTAAAAAGAACATATTTGCACCAAAAAAATAAATAAAAAGAACATATGTTTATGTTCATTGATCAATTAGTGTAATGTACTTTATTTGCAATATAATTATTTGCAATATAATGATCATTGCTTAATGTGAAAAGTTTATTAAATTTTGTCTTCAAATTAGGGTGGTTATATATAGATAAAGTTTATTACATAATATTATCATGTTCTTTATTAATATCACAGATGTTCTTTACATATGAAAAAAATATATAAAATTGGATGTTCGTTACAAAACAATTATATGTTCTTTACAAAATAAATGTATGCTCTTTACAAAATAATTACATGTTCTTTTTGCATTTTTTGGCTGTACCAAGCAAGGTACAGCCGCCTGCACCTTAAAATTTTCACATTTCGTGACCAACCATCGTACTTGGCTGTGTCGCTCGGGCTCGTGGTAAACTCGTTCCTGCCATATCGAACCATTTCGTGCCATCCTATGATCCTACTCTCAGTTCCCAAATCAAATTTTCATCTTCTATTCTATTCTTGTTCCCTCCATTTTTAAAACTCACTCAGACAAAAAAAAGAAAGCTCACAATTCAAAAACCTCCTCTTCTTCAGAAACTTCTAGTAGAAATCATCAACTCTACCATTTCAATTAGGTACGCCGATTTCTCTCTCCTATATACATTGATGAACTAGGGTTTAGTCTTATATTTCTTTCTTAATTGAATAATTCATGTTTGATTAATTGTTCTTGTCAATAAAATGTTTGATTAATTGTACCATTTGCATTTCTTATAATTTTGATGTTCTTGCGTTTGATTTTGTTTCGATATTCATGCCATTTTAGTTAATTTAGTCTTGTCCTGTAGAATGTGATCTTGAGTTCATATTTCAATTGTAGTTGTTAATGATTTTCAATTTTTCATTCTTACATTTTTAATTTGATTTTGATTTTCTGAATGTGTGTTCTTGAGAATTCTTGGTTTGTCTTAATACAAATTTTACATTTGCGTTGAATTTGATATTAATTTTTTTGAATGTTGTTTTTGTGGGTATTGAATTTTGGTTAATTAAGTTGAAGAATCAGAAATTTTAATCTCAATTGAACAGATTATATGATTGTGATGATGATTATTATTGATAGTGCTATGATTTCAATCTAGGGTTTTTTGGAACTTTGCGATTATGAAGACTCCAAAGAAAGATAGGATTAGCTATTTACCCGACGAATTATTGATTCACATTCTTTCATTCCTTCCTATGAAAGAGGCTGTGGCTACTAGTGCTTTGTCGAAGCGATGGAAGAAAACTTACACCTGGTTATCACGCCTCGAATTCGATGCCTTCCCTATATGTCATTGTCAGAAACGTCCATATTTGATTGACTCTTACCATGCTTTTGAGATGTATGTTGATAATGTATTGAAAGCATCTCAATCTCAGAAGATAACCACTTTTAGACTTCATTTTGGGGGTTACTGTGAGATCAGATACCCGTCTTCTTGCAATCGAGTTTGTTTCCCTGATATGGAACCTATGCGCTTGAATGCCTGGTTAACTTTTCCCTTAGCCCGAGCAGTTAGGGAACTTGACATTTATGCTCGTGTGAGGACACCTGGAAACCTACCATCAACAATATTTGTTTGTGGAACATTGGAATTGTTGAAGCTCGATGTCAATCTTGATCTTGATGTTCCTTTGTCTGTGAGGTTGCCAAACTTGAAAGAGTTTAATCTCTCTTTAATCTTCTTCCCGTTTGATGACTCTGTGGCTAGGCTAGTTTCGAGCTGCCCATCCCTTCAACGCCTTGATCTGTATGGTGCCTGGTTACCTGAGGCTCCTCTTGTAATTTCTTCACCTTCGCTTCATAGATTAGCTATAGAGAATGTTTTAGAATATGATGGCCGAATGTGTAAGGTTGAGTTTAATGTTCCTAACTTGGAGTATCTAGATCATTTTGACACATGTCCAAGGAGCTACTCTATTGCACATCTGAATGCTCTAGTCGAAGCGGACATTGAACTAGTTGAAGGATGCGGTTTTGATAGTAGGGTTGTACTGGGCTTTGTCTGTTTGATGTCCAATGTTCAGCATTTGTCTCTGCGTTATTGGCTTGTATTGGTGCGTCCTTCTATCCTTTTCATCCTTATGAGTTCTGACTGGGCTTCAATTATATTCTGCCTTTTTTTATCTAACTGGTTTTCCCATTGGTCTAGGGTTTACACTATGTAGATGCTTCTGAACTCAACCGTATGCTGCCAGTCTTTCGTAATCTGAAAAGTTTGAGGCTTGGTTGTTGTGGCTATTATGATTGGAATAAACTGTTGATGGGGCTGTTAAATTGTGCGCCTTTCCTAGAAGAACTTACTTTAACACAGGTTAATGTGATGTTTGATTTTGATCCCAAGCTCTCAAAAATGACTATCACTCTTATTATTGTATTTGCAGAGGCTCTTCTGATTTACAATTTTACATGCAACTGCATATTATTATTCTTGTAATTGTAGCTAATTATCTTATTATCTGACTTATCTCTCATATTTTCAGGGAATCAGATACGTAGGTGATGAAACTGACGATGCTTATATGATGGTGTCTGATCGGGACTGTCAGCCTTGGAGAAGAACTCAAACAGTACCATCTTGTTTGGGGTCTCATTTCAAAAAGTTTGTAATAATGGAATGTTACCATTCAGAATTGGACCGGGAAATCATAAAGTATTTTATGAGAAACTCATTAGTTTTGGAGGAGTTGGTGGTTGTAGTTTGTCATCCTTCAGTTACACAGGCAGCAAGGACATATTATGAGGAGTTACCAAGAGCCTCGATCACTTGTTCAGTAACTGTAACAGACAAGTGATTTTCTTTGGGTCTCATATTGTGAGCACTCTCAAATAATGGATGTAATACTCTTTAGTGGTTAGAATAAGTAGTACTGTTGTTTTGTATAGACAGTTTGGAGTCTGATGTTAGGATTTAGATGATGTCTTGTTTGCAGTTCGCGACTTTACAGTGATGAGTACTTTATATTTGGGTGTTAGTGCTACTATAGTCAGAGAGGCATGACTGATTTCAAGTAGTTAAGAATCTTATCTTCACTGCTAAACTTCTGCTGTTCTTCTGAACTTCATGTTAAGCTGCAGGTGAAGAGGAGATTCGAAGTTCCTGATTTGAGTTCTATTAATTTCTGTTCAGGCTTCCAGTAGCTACTGGAATAATACATTTGTATAAATATTTTAACCATTGTATAGGTTATATGTTGCTATAGAGGTTTCCTTTTCTTCCTTTGCGCATAGCTTGTAAAGAATTTGCTATCAATACAAAGTTACAAACATTACTTGCTTTCCAAAAGAAAATAAAGTGTGGTAAAAAGTTTTCTCTGATTAAAATGATTATCATATGTTGACAGGTGGGTTATTTTAAGAAGATCCAATTAACTTTTGTGAGCAATCTCCGTGTTTACAATCCCTACTTTTTAAAAAAATTTAGAAGTGTTTGAAAATTATACCCTCTAATAGAACACGAAAGAAAACACCATTTCGAAGTTAATGAGAAAACTCTCATTTCTTTCCTAATAAAAACCTTCAATTACAAAATTAACTCGAACATGATCCAATTGAATAGCTAAGCTTTAGCGTTTTGTTAATTTTTATTACCAATCCAAATTTAATACGTGACCAACACACAAGTTAGGGAACACAAACCATTTACCCGAATTGCAAGCTCTAGTAACCAGTAACCCACCTCAAAATAAAAAAGTAAAATTATTGGCAAACAAAATTACATCATCCGAATGAAACAGGATGATCATTCCGAAATCGGAAACAATCTCGATTAACCAAAACCCATTTATATTATCAATTGATTTTCAGCAATGGCGCCAATATTCACTGCAAATTTTTGTTCTACAGCCATGCAAATGGTAAAATTTCTTCCTTTTTTTCTGCTCCAATTTTAATGTTTTACTTGCAATTTCACAAGATTGTTTGTAAATCTACTACAACATATTAAAGAAAGTTTTGAATTTGTTGGTATATACATAAATATTGATGAAAAATTTGGACTTTAACTCATAATTGTTTTAGATTACCTGTTTAAACTGGAAATATTATTGGTTGAACTATGCTTAAGATTTAAGATGTTAAGAGTATCCTTAATCTTGTTACTGTAAATTTGAAGATGGGTTAATTATTTGGAAATATGGGTTAATTTCAGAAGATGGGTATGTTGATTTATATGAATTGGCAGCTTAATTTTCTTTGCGTGTGGCAACAAAGGCGCAATGATGTAGACGAGATTTGACGAGGTCTTAAGAAATTGGGCTGCTTAGTTATTGTGTATAGAGTATATTTGACTTAGTTTTTTGAATGTAAAAATACTTCTAGCATGCTTTATATTATTCATAATTGCCCTTGCTTGTTGAAAATAAATTATGAATTCATGTCAGAAAAGCGAATTTGTATGAGCACAACTGTTGATTTCTACACTGGTGATTCAAATTCCAACTTCATATTTTGATTAAATAGACCGAGTAGTCGAGTACCTTAAATATAACTCAAAACTATGCTATGATTTATCTTCTACAATAAAGTTGTGAATTTGATAAATGTATCACATTCTTACTAATGTTTGAGGCTGAGATCACAAGAATGGTAAAATAATGTGGTAATGATATTTGGGTGCATAAGATATTGTTGTCTTCTAGTTAAACAACCCAAACTTATTACATTTAAGCTAAAGATTGACGGATTTTGAGGAAGAAATGAAGAGCATTCTTTTGAAACACAAGTTCAATTGGTCAACAATTAATTGAAAATTTCTATTTTCTTGGCATCCACATTCCACAACCTTTCTTCTCCTTATAAAACCTGCATAGTTTATGTGCAAAAGTGTAATGATCGACGGGTTAAGAAATACTATAAAAATACATAGTTCCGCCATTTTAGCCATTGGTGGAAAATGTGTGAGGGAGGCAAAAAGAGAGCTCCTTTGTAATAAGAGTGAATCTAATCTAATAGCAAATTACCTAACCTTCATCCTCTTCACATTTATATGTTTCAATTTCTTCATTCCCTTTTTGTCACATCTAAACCATTTCTAATTTTTATGGACATTAGTTTGTTTACTTGCCATTATGCATTTGTTTTCTTATTTTTTTTGGTTTTTCAGTTCAGGAAGTGATTAGCTAAGGTTTTTAACCCACTTCTTATTTACCTACCAACTTTTTCCCTGCTTCCCTAACTTCCTTGGTTTGTTTACCTTTTCTCCTTCTAACTTTATTCATTCCCCCCTGTTGATGATGGGGGCTTTGCTCCGGAATTCGTTCACCATTGATCTTAAAGGGCTAGAACTATCCCATAAGCATCAAAGAATTTCGGCAAAGACCAGGAAAAAATGTTTTGTGCATTGCCAAAGTGGAAGCAACGTGACAAAGAGTGACAAGTTCACACCTATTTTGTCTGAGAGATCCACGTCGAAAAACACAGGTCATGGGGCAGCCATAATGGATCCAAGCAGCAGTTTGGTATTAAACCCAAATGGGAAAACTCCGGCTGATCTTGTGGCTAAGGACCTGGCACCTTATAATGGGGCATCGAGTACGTTAGCTCAAGTCCAGGAGGGGATTGGGATTGTCAAGTTCCTCAGAGGGAAGACTTTCTTTGTCACTGGTGCAACTGGATTTTTGGCTAAAGGTGCTCCTAATATATATATATGTTTTTACTTATAGTCCTATAAAACTATTAAGCTAGAAGACAGGCTCTTTGACACACCACTGTGCTCACTTTTCTTACCGGGCTTTGTAACTTTGCATGCAGTTCTTATAGAAAAGATCCTAAGGACAGTACCTGATGTGGGTAAGATATATGTCCTAATCAAGGCAAAGAACAAGGAAGTTGCATCCAAGAGGTTAAAAAATGAGGTATTTTCTTTATCTAGTGAACAAATTTTAATGTGCATGCTTTTTGTTTCGATTATGCTAAATAAGGATTTTTGTATTGTTATAAGATCATGAATACAGAGATTTTCAAGTGTCTCCAACAAATCCATGGGAAGTCATATGAAACCTTCATGCTTAGCAAGCTTGTCCCGGTGGTTGGTAATATTTGTGAATCTAATCTTGGGTTAGATGAGGCTTCGACGAGCATGATTGCTGAAGATGTAGATGTTATAGTGAATTCTGCTGCTAATACCAATTTCCATGAAAGGTGAAGTACATCTTATTCTGAATTTTGTTTTATTAATTTTGAATTCCCTTATATATCCGTTCTACAACTTGCATAAATCATCATGTTGTGGGTACTGAGATTTTCTTGTCAATCCAGGTATGATGTTGCAGTTGATATCAACACACGGGGACCTGGCCGGGTAATGGCCTTTGCCAAAAAGTGCAGGAAGCTTAAACTCTTCCTGCAAGTTTCGACTGGTAAGACTTTGCGTCTCAACTCTGATGTCTATATTATTAATACACACATACAGCCGTAGCTCAGTTTGAGGAAGAATATGATTTTATGATATTATCTAAAATGCAGCTTATGTGAATGGACAAAGGCAAGGGAGAATTATGGAGAGGCCATTTAGGAAAGGAGAAAGCATCACAGAGGAAAATACTGTAAATGGGAGTCTACCTTGTCCAATGCCTCTTTTGGATGTTGAGGGTGAGCTAAACCTAGCTTTTACATCAGCAGAAGGTTTTGAAGAGAATAAAGTATCCCAGAAGATGAAAGAGTTAGGCCTAGAGAGGTAAGAAATCTCGGCTTGGTTTATAGAATTGAAGTATAATGAATATATCTTGTATAGAGATAGAAGAGATAGATCTGAGTATGTATAATTTATGGATTCTTTTTAATTAACTACAGGGCAAGAAAATACGGCTGGCAAGATACTTATGTGTTCACCAAGGCTATGGGAGAGATGCTGCTTGGCAGTACGAGAGGAGATGTACCAGTGGTCATCCTTCGACCTAGTGTCATCGAAAGCACTTATAAAGATCCATTTCCTGGATGGATTGAAGGCAATAGGTATAATATTGCTATGTCATAAACCTTAGTTTGTACAAGATTTTAGATTAGCATCTCCTGTTATCTCATATATATTTCTTCATGAAAATTTTAATCTCTATTCAGGATGATGGATCCAGTAGTTACATACTATGGAAAAGGATTGCTTTCTGGTTTCCCAGTTGACCCGTTTGGGGTGATTGATGTTGTAAGAAGCTTTACCTATCATCCTCTGGCTTTTAGTCATGCATCTTAGCTAAGTCTATGTTTAAAGGTCATTTACCCTTCATGAAAAGAACTAAAGAAGTCAACACACTTAATCTGCAAAGTCAGCCTATTTTAAGCCTAATATAATGTGAAGCACAACTTTTATGAATTTGTATATTGTTGCAGTCCATTAATCAGCATAATGCCATGTGAAAGACTTTTATTCAATTCAAAATAGTTAAATCCTTCAAAGACCTACATTCAGAAGGGCACTAGAACCCTCTGGAAAACAGGGCAGTGTTACACAGGCCACTAGGGTATTCTAACATATGCTATCTTTAGCATTGCAAACAGATATCTTTTCTTAAGCTACCGCACCTAAGTTTGTCAGATATTTTTCCTGGCACGAACTCATGACTTGAGTAACAATATGAGTGAATCTTAGGTGAGAGTATATCCTGTTAACTTATTGTGAGACGTTAAAAGTTAACCTTAATAAAGGTCAAAAGGCTTTCCTTTAAATAAAAAGTCAGCCCACTCTCACAATAAGTCACAAGATATCAGGGATGTACTCCCATCTTATGATATATCTTAAAATAGTGTGTGTGTGTGTCTGTGTGTTTTTTTTTTAAAGCTGCTCCTATATTAAAGGTCTCTGTTATAAGTAAAATGCAGCCACTCTATACTATTTTAATGTCTTCCATTACAATCATATTTCGCAATATGAGTAGTAACACCAATTTTTTCCCTTTAATTTGTTTTACAGGTTCCAGCTGATATGGTTGTTAATGCTACATTAGCAGCTATAGCAAAGCATGGAACAGCTGGGAAACCAGAAATAAGTGTATACCAAGTAGCTTCATCAGTTGAAAACCCATTGGTTTATGGAGATTTAGGGGACTTGCTTCACCAATACTTCACGAGATGGCCATGCCTAGACACACAAGGAAGACCAATTCAAGTCGAGCCCTTTAAGTTCTATGGATCAATGGATGATTTCTCGTCTCATATATGGAGAGAGACAGTACGTTACATTAGTTCGTCTATGATGCCATCACCTAATGGAAAACAGTCGAAGAAAATCGAAAATTTGTGTAGGAAAGCTGTGGAGCAAGCTAAACACCTTGCCAGTGTATATGAGCCATACAGCTTTTATGGTGGAAGGTGAGTCCAAACAAATTTAGGTATCAGAAATTATGCAAAATTTGTCAATTTTTTTGAAGCTCACCTTGTATTTTTTAAGGATGACTTAGCTTAAACCAGTAACATCCATGAGGCATCATTCTTAAATTTGAATACACAAGAAGATTGCATTTAGTTGCAATTTTGAAAAGCCACCCACCCTCTATTTTATCATTTCTTTTTCCCAAACACGCTGAGAGATGGACTGCTTATAAAACATTTAGGAAAATATAAGATCATTTTCCAACATGTAAGAATTCTGTTGTGCAAAATTTTGCAGGTTTGATAACAGCAGTACAAGTTCATTGATGGAGAGCATGTCGGATGAGGAGAGGAGGACGTTCTACTTTGATGTTGGGAGCATAAACTGGACGGATTACATATGCAGTATCCATATTCCAGGTCTAAGAAAGCATGTCATGAAAGGAAGAGGACAGAGCAGCTAACTTGTAGTATTATCATTTATTTTTCCATCAGTGTTAAGTAAATCCAAAATCCTTTTGTGTTCATTTCAAAAAATAAAATTAATTTGTATGCCTATTTTTATGTCATTTATATGATTAGCACCCTTGATCGAGGCATCAAAGTGATAGAAATGAATGATGTTGCCTTGAATAAACGAATGTAATTCATCATGTATGTAATGACAAGCTCCTCGGAAAAGGGTTTTACTTTCGTGTTTTGGAAGGATTGTAGCTGTGCAGTAGGTTTGGAACTGAACAGATAAGTTGATTTATTTCAATCTTGCTCACAGTATACATGAAATGTCCATTATTTGGTTGTTGCACAATTTGTGTATCAAAATTATGGTAATCCACTAAGAATTGTTTACTGCTTAAGAATTGAGCATAATGTATTATCTACTTCATCTAACAGGAAACAAATGCAGAGCTCCCTCAAAAAATCTCTTTTCCTTGCAAAGTCAAAATGTTCTCATAAACACCAAAGGGGCAAAGATGCACCCACACAATATTTCGAAAGGCATTACCATAAACATTGATATACCACCAAAACTATTTAGGAGGCCATGCATGTTTACATGTTAGAGCCGGTCAAAACCAAATTGCTCCGATGTTGGGCTGGTCTTAGGCCAAGGAGTTTAGCCTGGCATGCCGGGGTTTATAACTCAGTTTGAATAGCCTATTTTACCTCACTTTATCCTATGAATTGATGAATTTAACCCGAAATTTTTTCTTTAACACTTTGGGTTGCTAAACCGTCCCTTAAAAGATTTTTAGTACTGACTACTAACCCGGCTCGCCCCGATCCATGACCAGCTCTTTTACATAAGAAATTTCTGGGCCCTTAAGTCTTAACCATTCCAAGAAATCCACAAACCTAAACTACCAAGGCAATACTACATCACTAATACCTCCACCAATTAGTAATCACTGCATAATCCAGATATCAACCCCAGAAATATCAAATAACAAGATGATGCGCAAATCATTATCAACTATTTTCCTAAATTCCTTGAAAAAAACCCTGAAAATCCAAAACCCAACTCTAGAATCATCTACAAAAAGCTTCAGCAGTTCAATTTGCAATTGGGATTCAAGTTCTGCTGCAAAAGAGAAGGTTGATTGCGTTGTAATTGGAGCTGGAATTGTAGGAATTGCAATTGCAAGAGAATTAGCATTCAAAGGAAGAGAAGTTTTGGTGATTGATTCTGGTCCCACATTTGGTACAGTCACCAGTTCTCGCAATAGTGAAGTCATACATGCTGGCATTTACTATCCTCCTAATTCTCTCAAGGTCTATACTTTTTGCAACTTTTCTTGAATTGGGTTGATATTATGTGAAATTTTAATTAATGGGTTGGGTTGATTTAATGTTATAATAAAGTATTTCTTGATTTGAAATGGGTTGATATAATTTGAAGTTTTAATTAATGGTTTATGTTGATTCAATGTTACAATGAAGTATTTATTGACAAATTTGTAGTTGTATACTAGTGTAGTTATTTGTATCGACTTATTGATTCAATGTTATCGTGCTTTCGAGTGTAGGATCTAAATGTAATTGTTGGCATACTTGAGTGATATTAGCAGCCTCTTGTAAATGGCCTCTGGCTTCTATCAATTTCAATTGTATAAGATGGACCTGTTGATTTAATTGAGTAGAGTGGCATTAGATAGTTGAGGATGTGTAAGTTCATCTTCATGAAACTTGAAATTGTCCAATCCAGGGAGGATGAATGTGGTGCTACCTTTGAGGCCCCGTAGTAATCTGGATGGCTGTGGTAGTTTATGATTATGGCGGTTCTATACTTCTATGTGGTTAACTAAGTATATTACCATGAGTTGGAAGTATGGCTCTTGATGGAGAATGGTGGCGGGTGTGATGGTGTTGGGGTGGTGGTGATGGTATTGGAGTGGTTTGTACTTTAGGTTGAGCTTTTATGTAGTAGATCAGGAACTGAGAATTGCTTAGTATATGTAAAATTGTATTTGTTGGGTTCTGTATTATTTGATCCACCTGTCATAAAGTCTTTTCCCTCCCAACCCATGTTCAGAATTTTGGTTGATAGATTTACTGTAGTGGCTAAATTAGAATTGAACTGATGAAACTAAATAACAACTGTGACCCATATCCGATGAAGTATGAACCTTTTTCATGAGTTATTGATCAGGGATGCTAATCCATTTCTGCCTTTTGGTAAAATTTGATAATGCTTGGACCCCTCACAGCCTCACCCTTAAACGAATTAATCAGATAAAATTTTGATGTCCCATAGGCCATAGGTAAGATCTATAAGACTGTATTGCATAGTTGGTTTGCATATTTACTCAAATTGTTCTGGTTAAACCTTCATTTTTGGAATTTGAAAAATTTACAGTCTAGCTACTTGATATGGGGTTCAGAAGAATTTCAATGTACATTTTGCAGGCAAAATTTTGTGTCAAAGGAAGAGATATGGTGTATAAGTATTGTTCAGAGCATGATGTCCCTCACAAGCAGATAGGTAAGCTTATTGTTGCTACTCGAGAATCAGAGGTTTCAAAATTGAATGAGCTATTGGTCCGTGGAAGTGAAAATGGGGTTAATGGTCTGAGATTGATGGAGGCATCTGAATCTATGAAGATGGAACCAGAACTACAATGTGCAAAAGCCTTGTTTTCACCTGTTTCGGGAATTGTTGATACCCATTCTCTGATGCTTTCTTTAGTGGTATGTGCTTAATTTTCCTTGTTAAATGGCATTCACAGAGCTCGAAAATTTGCTATGCTCTGTTTGTCTTCGAAGTAATGATTGGAAATTTACAGGATGTTGCTGGGAATTGAGTTCAGGGAGAAGCTGAAAATTATGGAGCAATATTTTCCTACAATACTGCTGTTCTTGGAGGCAACATAAAAGCCAACCAAGTTGAGCTTTTTGTGACGGGAAGCCAGCATTTAGACAACTGGAATGAGGGGGATAGATTACAAGCTGAACTTAGGCTTCTTCCTGAAGTTGTAATCAATTCAGCTGGCTTGGCTGCTGTTCCCCTTGCTAAGAGACTGATGGGCCTTGATAGTTCTTACATTCCTACTGCTTATTATGCTTGTGGTCACTATTTTTCTTTGTCGAAAACTAAGGGGTCCCCTTTTAGGCATCTGATATATCCAATTCCAGAAGATGGTGGATTAGGAGTTCATGTAACACTAGACTTAGAGGGCCAGGTGAAATTTGGGCCTGATGTCGAATGGATTAGTGGGGTTTCTGATATTGCAAGCTTTTCAAACAGGTAATTTTTTTTTTTGCCCTGAGAATTAGCAGCTCCTGTATTTGTGTTTCTATATTTCCAATTTTATGTTTTTATTTTCAATTAGCTTAGAGGAACCCTTGGATTTGTGCACTCTATTCATATTTATAACTTTGCGACTTATCCTTGATCTTCTGAAACTAGTCAGATTATCTTTTTTTGATCCAAGTTGGTGGTAAGTAGTATGTAGTAACTGCAACTTGTTTCTTGATCCCGATCATGTTCTACAAGCCTTATTACATATAGTGACTTAAGCTATTTTTCATTTGAATGCATAACAATTTTTAAATCCACTCACCTTGATAGTTTTCTGTACCAATCAAACTTTTCATCGGCTCATCCTCAGATGCTGAATGCTCTTGGAATATAAAAAAACGGTTCAACAGTAAAACCCCAGTAAGGGTCTTGCCTTTGGTGAACATGCTTAAAATTTTAGTTAAATTTTGAAATGGTTGCGCCTACCAAACTACTTACTAGAATAATTTGTTTTATCTTGTACGTGTGGACTCCCTAAGCTCTCCTTTTGTTGGGAAGTAAACTAGGTGGTGTTTATTTGAATTGTTTTAACTGTCTTTATAATTGAGGGAGATAATTAATGGTGTTTGGATATGATAATATATTAGTGATCTTCTCTCTTCCAGGTTTGATTACTCTGTACACCCTGATCGCAGTGAATTTTTTTATCCAGAGATAAGGAAGTACTATCCTCTACTGAAAGCAGGGTCACTGGAACCCGGTTATGCAGGGATACGGCCAAAACTCTCTGGTCCAGGAATGACCCCTTCTGATTTTGTAATACAGGTCAGTCTACACTTCCTAGTACAATACACAGGTTATGGTTTATGTGAATTTCAAAAATTACTTATGCTATCTTTTTTTATCAAACAGGGGCAAGATGTTCATGGAGTACCTGGACTTGTCAACCTCTTTGGCATTGAATCACCTGGTGTGACTGCAAGCATGGCCATTGCAGATTATGTGACTTCGAGGGTCCTCCATCAGATGTAGATTAGTGTCCACATAACAAGACTTGGGTTTCAACTTTCAATTCTTCTGCTTGCATTAGTTAATACAATTTCATGGTATCCGAATCCAACTCACAAACGTTATTGCTAGACCGCATAACCAATTTATACAATGGATAGAGGACCACGGACTGGTTTTAAGCGTAAATGACCCCTTAAGCTTTGTCATGGCATGTGAAATTCGCCTTCTTGAGTTGGTGCACTCTCCGGATTATTCTGCAAAGGAATTTGGAAGAAAAGGCACATTATGTGCTCATGATGTTATGATTGTAGTGCATTAGATTCTCTCATATAGGCATGGTTCATACTTTCATGTACCTACTTTTATGAGCACATTATGAGGCCATCTCATTCATGCAACATGAAAAAAAAAAGTATAAACCCATCTATTAATTATTTAACCACATGATGTTTCAGGTATTGTTGCAATTGAATAAGGAGGTACTTGAATTAATGATTGTGAAAATTGAAATTGCACTAGTTAGGACAAAAGTTATAGTTGAGGCATATAATGTGCAAAGATGTGTCAATTTTTTTGATTCAATTGATAGGGAGAGGAGAGAAGAAATTAAAGTGGGGAGGGGTGCTCTAAATTCACATCCATTAATGGTTATCTAAACTAGATATATTTATGTACACAAAATTTGAGGTATTTACATGTATTATACATGTAAATGACTCAATAATGAGTTTAAAATTAGGGCCTGTTCACATTTACTGAGCTGAACTGAAATGATTAGAGCTGAACTGAACTGAACCTGAATATTTTTGTGAGAGAGGGAAATTAAGAGCTGAACTGAGCTGATTGGAAGTGAACTAAACTGATTGGAGCTGAACTGAACTGAACTGAAATTAAGTAAATGTGAATAGGCCCTTACATGATTGATTTGAATTGAGATTCTAGTTAAAACTGAATTGATTCGAATTGAGATCTAGCCGAATCCAAAATAACATGATTCAAAATCTATAAAAACCATTTTGACCCAAATAAACCTAATTAAACTCGAATCGGAGTTCACCTGAACTCGATATAGCTCGACCTGAATTTGACTTAATCCGAATTCGATTTGTACTATAACATACTTGGATCCACCTTTGACTCAAATATAATTAAGCTTGACTTGGCTTGATTTGGTTTGTTTGGATAAATGGCTTGTCATTACCCGACCCATAGTGGGTCAACCTAAATTTCATCTGGGTACCCGATTTGACACCCATACATGTTGTATGTGTACAAATTTACAAGTCAGAAAATTTCGCTGGATGATAAAATTATGCATTATTTTTTATTCAAGATGGTTACAATTGTTTCAAATGAGCCTTAGGGTGTGTTATTGCCAACTTATACCAACTTATTTTGGATCAAATAAATCTAGATAAGTTCAGGGGTCTGAATCTTTGATGTTTGGATCATTACTTTGTCTCTAATGTCTTGAGGATTGTGTAGTAGTAGCCATTAGAATCAACAGTTCAAGAAAATTATTTTTTTAAAGCTTTGTAACTCAATTGAAAGACGTAATAAATATAATAAACAAAAAACCATATGTGAAAAGTGTCAAATATATTGAATAAATGATCTTTATTTCCATCAATAACCATAATCTTGAGTGAATTTTACTAAATAAATCACATTTCAAACGGATATGAGCACAAATTGAAAATTTAATTCGATATTATACTATAGATTGAACTCACATGAAATTTACACATTATATTTGGATTTAATCCCAAAGATTTTAACCATATACAACATCATAAAAGATACAAAATACAACGATTGAATTCTATATATACAACACCTAACAAAATGTGATATTTGTAATCTAATATGCCTGTAATCTAATACGAAGTCATGAGAGATTCATCCGAGTTCGAAATTCCAAAATTTTAAATTTCATAATTTCTAACTGATGATATATCTTAGATTAGATACTTAAAAATTTAAACCCAACTCAAAACGGAATTTTAGAAAACAATTTTGCACTCCCACCATCAAACTTAGTACTTAAGTGGAGAAGTATAAAAAATCTAACCTAAGTATGAAAATGGAGGAAATTAATTAAATAAATTACTTTTTTTTTTTTTGAAGACAATTATTTATTTATTTAATATAAAAAAAATCTATTCCGATTGAAACGTGTAAATGGCCGTCGACCGTCGTCTTTCCCACGCTATAGGGGGTTGATTCAATCCCAGATTTCCCCTTTTTTTTTCTCTCTTTGTCCCCTTTTTTCTTTCTCTCTCTTCCCCCAAATTCACAGCAAAATTACTCAGAAAATAAATCCAAATTTCTGCAAAAACCCAAAAAGAAAAAAAAGAAAAAAAATTCCCCTCTGCCACAAATTTCTCAACGCCAATCTCCTCTTTTTGTTTTTGCCCATTTATTTATTTTGAATTTCCCCCTATTTTTCATATTTTTTTCACCCCTTTTGGCTTTCAATATTAATTGAGCTGAAGTTTGCAAAATCTGAAGCTGCCCTTTTGAATTAATCATAAATTTCCGTTTTTTCTGAACTGGGGTTCTTGAATTTCTCTCTCTTTTTTTAATATTAGTTTGTCAACAGTCCCAGATTTTGACTTCTCTGATATCATCAATTTCTGGGTTTAATTCAAGTTCCCGAGTTTAAAGGGTGACTTCATGATAGTAACGGTCTAATTTACTAATTTCCCAGAAACCCAGTTTCAGATTTGTGAATTTTTGAGAAAAGGTGCCTTAATTTGATGCAAAGCTTCGTTCTTCTTTCTGGTAATTTTTTTATTAATATTTTTTTGGTTAAATTTTTATCTTTTACCCTAATTAGATCTTGTTGGAAGTGTAATAGTGTGGAATACATGCTGAATTTGAGGTGTAATTTTTGTATTGCAATATTTGATGGGTATGTTTAGAATTACCAAATGGTATTGATTTGTCTTTAAAATAGGTCATGCTGATGAAAGTTAGTACTTATTATTATTATGTTGATGATACAATTGACAGTTATAGAATTTGAAGTTATTATAGTTGCTTCTTCTTCATGTATTAATGTTAGATGATGATCACGCACTTATGAGTGAATTACTTTGTTTTTGTTTTGGAAGATGAGGTGAAATTGCATTATTTCAAGAGCATGTTTGAGCTGCTTTATAAGAACATTATAGGGAATACTTTCATTGGTTTGGCGTGAACGATTGATTGGCTATTTAGGTTGACTGTTGCGGCTTCTTAGTGAATGTGAGTAGGGAGCTGGAATTCGAGGCTTCGGTCATCATAGTTGCTCAGTGTTTCCTTTGTTTTTAATGGGTGATGAATGTCTTGTGTTGTAGCTAATTGGAGAGTATCATATAAGGTGTGGTAAGATGTTGCAAAAATCATGGGTGTGATTCTGAAAATCCAGCAGAACTTATTCTTCTTAAATTGGACTGAAATGTTAAGTCTCTTACAGACTAGTGTGTCTCAGTTTTTGTTCTGAAGGAATCTGAACTCTGGTACTTGTTAATTTATGGTAATGGGTTAGAAGGATCATACTTCGTATAAGACAATTAAGTATCAGAATGTTTAATGTTGATTCCGTTTTTTTTTTCTCTGCCTTAATTTCAGGCTATTCAACATGTACCACGCTAAAAAATTCTCGACAGTGAGCTTGGTCCCACATAAAACACAAGGGAGTGAGCCAGTTGCAAATGCTGGAGCCATGGGAAATTCTTCCATGAAGAGCTCAACACCTCCCGGAGGAGGAAGTGGGAAACAACGGCTAAGATGGACTGAAGATCTTCACAACCGTTTTGTAGATGCCATCACGCAACTTGGTGGACCAGATAGTGGGTATTTTCTTTTGAGCAATGAAATGTGTTGTTAAGTCAATGTCAATCCATGGTCCTGTGGACAATATTAGTTTACTAAGTCATTCCACGCAAATCAGTTTTTGTGGTTGCTGCTGGTCACTAGTTAACCTAGATGAACTTAACTAAGGCCTCTTACAAAGCTGTGTACTTAACTACTTAAATTGAAGGCTTTGATTGAGGATCCTTGTCAAAGGAAAAGAAAGGTTTTATTTGGTGCTACAGTTACAGAATTACATTAAATAAGTCTGTTTTGCTTACTGTGTTGGGCCTTGGAATACAAAATGCCTTTGATTTTGCTTGGATTTTACAAGGGCTTGCATGATAGAAATTTATCTCCTGCCACCTTAGCTCATGTCATTTTGAAATTTATGTTATGGGATGGTGGCTGTTGTTTTGACTGGAGTCTTTCTGGAAGATATGAACTCTATTCCTTCCTCCTTTTCTCCCAATTAGCTGTATATGTTATGGGGTGTACCTCCTTCTAGTCTCTAGGAAACCAGCATTATAGAAAATCTTTACCTTGTTTGATAGCTATATGACAAGACCTAGCCAAGATTGAATGTTTTAAGAATCAGGCTAGCTGTGAACCAGCTTTGGACTGATTCAGGAAGGATCTAATTTCAAATTTAAAACTCACTTTTTCTCCTCTTCCACTTCAATACCATTTTGCACTAAGTCTTACACATGCATTTCTCGTTCTATCTACCACTGAAGCCCATTTTTAAACGTGAGTTTTCATACAAACAAGACACTCAGTAGAGTATAGTGTAGTCTTGATGAGTACACAGGTCAGATTGTGGTTAGTAATTCTTGCTCTTCCTTTTTCCCTTATCTGCCACATAGTGTTTTCCTTTTCTCTGCTTTTGCAGCTTCTTGATATATATTTTCTTCTATTGTTGATGAACATATCATATCAAAGATCTCCTTCTATTCTTCCATATTTATCTCTCTTTGTTTTTTTTAATTATTTGTAGCACATTGTTGACACATATCTACTTCAAAAATATAAATATGATATAGGTAAAGGCTTGCATATAAGGAAGATTTGAAGTGGAAGATTTAGTCTTCCGAATGTATCTGAAACTTTTTATAATAGTAATAATTTACTAGGTCCTTGATCTGGAGATGATTATTATTATATATTTTTCTTGTTGCTGTCACTACAGAATACAGATTATTATTACATTTATTCTTTTATAGGCAAAGCCTTGGAGGGATTTTTTTTTTTAAGAAATAGACATGTAGTATAATATTCATTTGAAGCTAATATGTTTGGTTAAAGGGTTTTTTTTTTTTTTTTTTTTTTTTTTTTTTTTTTTTTTTTTTTTTTTTTTTTTTGGTGACAAGTGCTGAACAAGTTATTTTTCTATCAGTGTAGTTGAAATTTTTGAATGCCTTGCTGATGCTTACATGCTTGACTCAAATAATGTGATTTTCCAAGAAGAGTCTTTTGTACTACTGCTCGTTAATGCAAAGGGCCCCACACTTGTTACGGATTTTCTGGAGGATGTATTATTTTTCTTAAAAAATCTTTTCTTAGATGCTCTTGGAATACACTTGCATATTATTATTGTTAGAAATATGGCTCTTACAATCTTACTTGATTGTGTTTTTGCCAAGAAAACCTTGTTATTTATTAGTTTATCTGTTGAAAATATGAGAAGATTCATTATCATTTCTGTTTTGCAGGGGCAACCCCTAAAGGAGTTCTAAGAGTGATGGGTGTACCCGGACTTACCATCTACCATGTGAAAAGTCATTTACAGGTCCATCCTCAGTTTATTCCATATGCTCATAGTTTCACAGTTATTGGTTTATACTCTAGTAAAGATATAATCAGGATGGCAATTGTTTCAAATTATCATTCATGATGCTCAACCCAGTTGAATGTATCTTTTTTTGCAGAAGTATCGCCTTGCTAAGTATCTGCCAGAGTCGCCAAGTGACGGTACAGGTGCCTGCCTCTATACTCTGATTTTGATATATCTTCTTTAATTATCGTGTATTTAATGTAGACTTTTCTCTTGATTTATAGGTTCCAAGGACGAAAAGAAAGTTTCTTTGGATGGTTTAGCAAACGCAGATTCTTCCCAGTGAGTGTCTCCTAGCTTTATCCAATCTTCACATGCAATTTTCAGACCGTCCTGCTAGTACATAAGCTGCACACGACATGGGCGTTGATACTATTATTTGTTTTTATACTCCTATATCTACTGCTTTTCAGGGGATTACAGATTAATGAGGCACTTAAAATGCAAATGGAGGTCCAGAAACGTCTTCATGAGCAGCTTGAGGTTAATATTTATGATTCTATTCTTTTGTTTATTGATAGAAAGGACTTGATTTTTTGAGCAATTTTAAGAACTTGCTCTTCTTTAGATGTCACTCTGAGCCTTTATATTTTTATAGTAGGCCACATTTAATTCAAGATTTCAAGGTCATTTATGAGGAAATATTTAGAATACCATAACCATCTTTAACGGTTTATAAACTTTCCTCTCCACGTTACCAATGCAATTTCTATGGAATTCGATGATAGCCTATTTCAAATAAGAGGGGGGGGGGGGGGGTGGGGACATAGAACTCAAGATGTAATGTAATTAAGAAAGTGGCTACTTAGGACAGGCTAAAATAGAATGTGGCCTGATTCTGTAAGGGAGTAATATATTTCATTTTCAAACAAGAATTTGACCTAGTATTATGTGGTTCATGTTGCTGATTTTATAACTATATATAGGATACATCTTATGGGCACAGATCTAGTAATTTATGCTTCTGAAATCAGTGATTTAACCATATATTCTCTGAGATATATATCCTCAGTAACTTTTTTTTTCTTGAAGGTGCAAAGGCAGCTGCAAATGAGAATTGAAGCGCAGGGGAAGTATCTGCAGAAGATCATAGAGGAGCAGCAGAAGCTGGGTAGTGTCCTCAGAGCTTCTGAAACACTGCCATCATCCAACAATGAAGATGGGGAAAGAGAAAAATCGGCAGATTCTCAGCCTGGTAGGGAAGCCTCACCAAGCCCCACATCTCCTCGGAAGAAGCAAAAATTGGATGATTCATCAACAAGCAACATCGATACTCTCTCAGTTCCTTTAGAGAATAGTTCGAAGAAGGCTCTCCTCGACCAGTGGGATCGGAATCTATATGGCTCCGCTGCTGGGTTTGGGCTCGACTTAGAAACGGAGTTCTATAAGCAGGAAAACAATGAATGCGAACAAAGAATTCCATCAGAATTGGATTATCCAGGTAGTTCTAAGTAGGGCAGAAGCGCATTTAGAAATTAGGGGCACTTTAATCCTGCATCATTCTTGAATGCACACCTGTTTTGTAAATAGTATTATCATCATTATACACATTTATAACAATGTAACTTGTAGTTGATTGTGTAAATTATTAAACCTTTGAAGTTGAAGTGTCATATTTGAGCTTTGGAGCTGAAAATTTCGACTAAGTTCTCTGAAACTTTTCGAATAAGAAAAATGGCTGGTGCTGTATTATTAGATGGTTGTGGTGGTTGTGATACGCAGAATGATACGAATCTCGGAGATTGCTGTACCTTTTCTCCACAACTGGTGGTGCTCAAATCAATCTCCATTATTGAGTTAAAAAAATTTGCAGCTTATAAAAGTTCTTCAACAAGACAATTATTTTGTGTAATTTAGGTGGTCCAGGGATTAGAGAATTGTTATTCATTTGGAGTTTTTGATTAGGTCAGGATTGTATTAGTTGGCTAAGAAATTTACTTTGTTAAATATATTATAGGATTGCCAGCTATTTGAAGTTGACAGGAATCAACAAATAACTTCCATTTGTAGTGAGGTAAAAGTATCTTATACACTCACACTGTTTTCTTTGTCCTCACTCTTTGAGTGGTTAGGAGTAAGTAAAAGATTATTAGAATCATAATTAGGTCATAAGTAAATGCAATATTTAATTTTTTAATTAACACATGCCATTAAACTTATCTAAACTTAATAGAAATATGAAAAGTGTGCTTTATGTGGGTTGTTACCTCCTTAGCCTACCATAATAAAAACAATATCTCTACGGCCTCATCTCAAAACAATTTTCTTTTTTCATTACCTAAGAAGTTTAAAGAGAGACCCACTTTTCACTAACTCTCACTATTTCATGTTTTAAATTACTATAGTAAATAAGAAGATCGAAAAAGAACGAACAAAGTAACTAGATATCGTGTCATTGAATAAAGATATCATTTACTTTGTAACACAAGATAGACTTTCAAATCAGTTGAATTAATTCCCCATATTCCTTAAGCAGCTTAGACAACATTTCTTTAAGCCTTTTCCCTTTTCTTCTTGAAATTCTTAGATAATTTTGTAGAATTTGAGGATTAGGATGTGTGATTTAAAGTTGAAAAATGACTCCTCCATTATTGTACTAGTATATCATATCATATCATATCAAAAGTGCCAAAACACAAGCAAAATGATATGTATAATTAATTTCTTATTTCTTGTCAAACTTGTTTTGCATTTCTTTTAACCAAGAAACTAAAAATCCATCTTTCAACTTGCAATACAAAATTTGTTAACAAAAATATGAAGTATTCAACTAACTATTCAAGCATCATCTTGTACTCTATTTATTAAAAACTTTACAATTATTGTACCTCAAACAAAACTATCCAAAATTGGACCATACAAAAAGATGACCGATGTACACTTCAATACAACTTAAAAACTTCAGCAATCACCCTTGAATCTGAGCACTATTCTTCTCAGTTAACTATGCTATATATATATTTGTTAACCTTTAATTAGATTGAAATAGCTCAACAATTTGGCCTGGATCCTCATAGAAAGAACGGATAGACACACCGTACCCTGAAGTCTATTTGGTGAGCCTGTGAAGGAACAATAATAAGGCTTCTGCTACGGCTTCTGTGCACGAAAGATGAACACGGTCATTCCAAATGTGGCTGCAGCATGCATGCGTACAACTATATCCTAATTCCTAAGGATCAAGGTGATATGACAAGAATGACAGGTCTAGTACTGGCATCTACTAGATCATCATACAAAGATCAATGAAAATCATATATGACCATAGATGACTACATCAACTCAGAAGATCGAAGTCACGTTGTTAAATGATAGCAAAGCCACAGTGGATTTGCAGCGTCAAGTCTAGGAGGCCCTATCACTCGAGTTTGTTATGTAAATGGTTCCGCCATGGTAGAAAACTAATGTATCAGATAATTCTGATGAAAGAGGAGAAAAAATGGTTAGATTTTGGGAAACTTTTTGATCAAGTGTTACGCATGATGAGCATTTAGTGTTGAAGTGACAATTACACATTTACATATATGATCACTTTTGTGTTACATGGGTGTGTATAACTTAACAGTATACAGTATACAGCCACCATTAATTTTCACACATTTACGTAATATACATCGATGACATCTCTAAAGCCGTGACTAGGCTGACTTAACAGTATACAGCCACCATTAATTTTCACACATTTACGTAATATACATAACTACAGACTAACAGTATGTAATGCTTATACCTGTAACAAGTTGCAACACTAGGAATATATTCTAGGCTAGATAAGCTAGAAACTGGCAGTTTGATAATTCAGCACTTCAGCAGCAGCAACAACTCTACGATGCAAGTAGTCTCATAGCCAAGTTTTCGACCTGCTAATAAAGATTTAACAGAAGAACATGGATTCACAAACTTCCTTATGCAGCTTGGGTAGCTCAGGTGCTTGAGCCTCTGTATGATTTGAAAACACTTCTGAAGTCAAAATTTGTGACGCTTTACTGGCCGCTAGGTGTGCATATCTGATTGGAGTAACTGCAAAAGCGTTCAAAAAGCAATTCGATCAGATAATGTACCATGCAAAAATCACTATCAATTCCTGCTTTAGTAGGGTTGTCTAGAGGACAGCTTATGATTTTACCGATAGATATGGCCTTCGTGCATTTTTGGTACCTGCATATAATTCAGTAGATATGGATACTGTTAATCAGGAGTTTATTTGGATAAAAAAATCTTTTAATTTCAAGGTAAGTTAGGTATGGCCTTTGTTCTTACACATAAGACAGAGAATGAACCAACTCTTGCAGCTCATCAGATGAAATTCCTATCTCATCCAGCAAGACATGGTAATGTATCGGCCTCGCTGTACCCTGTGAAAAGTTAGCCAGAGTTCATTAGGAATGTTTCAAAAGCATGATACTTGTAATTGGTACTCCTCCGTCCCTAAATAATAGTATAACACAAGTACTGATTGAGGGTAGTTTTTTTTATATAAAAATACAATTTAATATAGCATCAATCAACATAATAATCCTTCATTATTCAAAGCTGTATTTATAATCCTGTAAATACCAAATTACCAACAGTCTTTCTTTGGAATTAGCCAACTAGGTGAGGTTTCATAAAAGGTAATATGGAATAGCGCAAATTTAGAAAATGGCCAATTATCTACGGAAGGCAGGATAGAATTATGGCCTACAATTTAAAGACAATCAGAAAGTAATTACAAATTAAAGGCTTAAGCTTGAAGTAATCACAAATTCAACTTACAGCATATGCAGCATGCGGGCACATGTAAAAATCATAGTAATGAGGATGGCAAATTTTGCTATCGACCACAGTTCCTGCAGTAGCATTTTAGGAGCTTTAGCAGGCTTAGGAGCTGACGTAAACAAAAATAAAAATCTCAAACAAGAATTTTCCTCACCAGGAGGAACATTTTGATGTTGTTGCCTAGATTGAAAGAATTTTGTATGATGCCTTTTCTGCGCGATAATTATGGTAAACTTTGGGTGCCAATCTGAATCAAGAAGCTTACATGCCTGACATTAAAACAAAGAAAAACTTCAAAAAGACCATGATGAATACAGATATTTAGAAGCAAAAGCTGCCAAGAGAACTTTTTGGATTAAAACTGACCTCCAAGATTTGATGGAACTCTACATTCAAGACTTGTTTGAACTGACCCTCGGAAACTCCATCCCTAGACATGAAAACAGTAATCAGATAGCAGCTCTAGAGGCTTAGTTTCATACAGAAATAACTAATTAGATCCATGACCAGAACATTGCTTCAGGTTAAACAGTTAGAATCTGACAACGATCACTTACAAAAAATACTCTCGAATCTCACACTATGCAGCTAAAAGAAATTCTACCTGAATATTATAACATGTGAAGGCTTCACTTTGCCTGAGGTTGAAAAAAAATCCAATAATAACTCCCTGTCAGAAAGCACAAAAGACTTGAGCATGTACTTTCTTTGCTCAGCACAGAGACAGAAGAAATGAAACCAATCAAACCAAACATCACCCAAAGCATAAAGCACGTGTATATATAAAAGTTTTTGAACAGCACACAGTCATCATATGTCGAGTTGAATTAAAGTAATTTAAAGCACATGTAGATAAGAGATTTAGGAACCTACCTGATCATGCCTTCGTCTTTGTCACCATTGCCAGGCATGGGCTTAAAAAGAGACTCTATAATTTCAGCCTTGGATGACTGAGAACGAACTGATGCCCTGTAATGAGACATTGATGGCCAACATCTCGAACTTACTACCTGCAAGTTCCAGGAAATATTTAGAGGGGGGGAAAGTTAATAGAAAGAAGAAAATAGTGTACAAGAAAAGATATCATCTTACAGAAGCAATGGATGGAAAATCATGTAGTCCTGTAGATCCATGACATACATCCATACCAAAAATTATGGTTGGCTTCTTAGAGAGAACAGGAGAATTCCATTCAATTGCTAGTCGAGAGTGCAAACCACCAAGCTGCAAGGAAGAAAAAGAGACTAGTGTCAAATGCAACTTCTAATGCATGTAAGGATATAAATGCACGAAAAGCAACATTATTTACTTTGGCATTGATCTTCAGCAGGAGACTAGTAAAATATTGCATGTCAAGTTTACTTGATGAAATGCATTGATTTGAAATCCCAAGCTCTATAAGAGTCTTCCTTTTCCATGGACCTTTAAAAGAATGCAACAAATTTGATTCATGAGAATTTTTCAGAGATGAACAAAAAAACGTGTAGATGCAAAAGGGTGACCCTGACCATATATGTCGGAATTTTTATTAGGCAGAAGGCAAAGTATGAAATCTGGCAACGTCTTTTTTTTATTTGATTGTGCTTTCAATGGCTTCAGCTTCAAGTCCAATTGTTCAAGTATCTTCTCCACTCTAATGGCAGGTGGTGCTTGTCTATAAGATTTGTTCTCCTCAATAATGCAAATTGGAGGCTTAACAGACTAGTAACAAAGAAAATGATACATATAAATAATATATAATAAGGTAAAACAAACAGAAATGCAGAAAAGAAGATTAATTTTTTTCAGTAGGCACTTACAATTCCCATCATTTCACCAGACTTAGCAAAATAAGTACAGACCATACTTGGATCAAAGCTTGATCTGAAACTCACCACTGCCCAACTATGAACACTCATAGGCTCAGCTAGCATCTACAGAACACAATATATCAAATATTGTAATATGTATACAGTTGGATATTAAACTAAGAGAAAAAAAGCATATTTGTATTAGCTACCTTGCCATTTAGGTTCCAGCAGCCAGCTCGAGGAACAACTTCTTCTCCTCGTCCTACTATTAGCTGTGAATAATCCAGTGACTAGATGTAAAGTTTGCAAACGGGGATATAGAGCATGTAACTGGGGAGACGGAGAAAATGATCACCTTTGGGGCTGCCAAAACACGGCCTTCAACTTGAGTAAAAGTGCTAGCAATTGAAACACCACAAGACTGCAGCATTGTCTCAGTTGCATATTTATTGGTTTTCCGAGCCTTTTCACCAAAGAAATTTTGAAAATTGTTAATATTTCAACTTCTGTGGAAAGAAAAGGGCAAAAAATTTAGGGTCATACCTCTGTCAACATTGTCATTTTTTCTAGCGGCCTCTGCCTTGAGGATTCAATAAGCATCAATCTTTGAGGGAGAGAAAGCTCTTTAGTGTATCGCTGTAGGGGAAGCAAAGAGCATAGCTTCAAAGCATACAGGAAGAGAGTTAGTGTATGAGATGGAGAAATTAAACAAATTTGTGAAACATTAAAATGTATCTGGATAATCACCTCAATGGGGTAGAACTTTGATTTTGTTTTGCCAATGTTAATACAAGGGAAGTCACCAGAATATTGAAGGTGCATCTTCTTATGCTTAACAAAATAATCATAGACTGTCACTTGCACCTCTTGATTATCATTTTTTAATCCTCTATTCCTTAGCAAAAACCTTACAAGCAATTGAATCATTGTAATGAAGTCAATGCCGGAATCTGAAAGCAAAGAGGAGGTGGATATAAATCATACTAACCTCTGCTTTTTACATATGTACTCACTCAATCCGGTGATTCTACTCTCTCTATTAGATGGGAAAATTTTTATCTTCAAATTCTTCAGCACACGTCTAGCCTGCAGAAAAGCAAAATGATATCAAGCCCTATCATTTTCATAGTATGACCTGGTTACAGGAATTGCTTCCCTCATCTAGAAACATTATACCTTTGACCAATCGATGCAAGATGTATTTTTGACATTCTGGTTGGCTACTAGAAAATCAAGCACAGGACCAGGCTTCAGAACTGTGGTCAGGGACATATCTGCATTAAAGACAGAATTATTAGAATGTTATGCATGTGAGCATTATTTCCTAAAAATGCTTAAATTTTAAAACCACTTTTTCAAAGAAAAGAGGAAGGGAGGAAGCTTGCCCATGTTAAGAGTCAATCCATTCTGAGTAGGACAAAAACTTGAGTGAAGACCTTTACATCCAAAGACACCCTTTCCAATATCAGTGAAGTTCTTTGGATCGTCATGATAAAATGATTGCTTGACAATAAGGCAGCTCCTAGGAGAAGTTTGAACCATCGGTTTTAAATTTTTAATACATGTAATAAACATTAGGCAAAAAAAAAAAAAAAAAAAAAAAAAAAAAAAAGGGAAACGACATGAAAATAGATATCCAAACTCACTTTTTTGCAGCATGTTGCCTTAAGACAACATCTAGCACCTTGATGACTTCATGAACCTTCTCAGAATGTCTTCCACGTAGCATGTCAGAAATAACACTAAACGGATATTTTCCTACATACTTCATCACTACTCTGAATGTCCTTGTCTGAAACACGCACTTTTGCCTCTTTCCACCACCCTGAGTAAGGCTTCCACTTCCATTAAAGCTGCTATTATCACCATTACTACGTATGTGAAAACAAAAAAAAAAATCATACCAAAGCTAGGTTTCACACATCATATATCATCAGGAATTCAATTAACTCGACAAGAAATATTTGCTACCTTTTTAATGAAATCTTGTCCAAAACAACAGTGAAGTCCAGCTCTTTCCTTGGAAGGGCACCCCACATGAATAAAGATTTCTCACCATCATAAGCAAAGTCCTTTCCATCCAGATCAAATTTATAAATTTCACGGATTTTGTCCATTATTGTCCTTCCAATACCTTTCCCTTCAGCAGGTCGGCCATCTTTGTTATAAATTGAAACCTTTATTTTGTGGAAGAGAAAGAAAAATCAAATGAGAAACTATTCATAAAAATTGCATTGTTAGAAGATTATGGAAGTATTAGATAATATCATGATAATAATGAAAAATGAGACATACAGAGTAGTGAAAGAAGTAGCCAGCAGAATCAGCAAGCTCTACTCTGAAGTGATTAGTACAAAGTGATATTTTGTTGCCTTTTACTCCAAATCCAGGCCTTGACATAGGAGTTCGTTCACGATTGTGATCAGAACCAGAAGCACTCGAATCCATTTTCCTCTTTACCTAAGTATACACCAATTACCAGAATCACAATGTTAAAAGATGATGAAGTCTAACAAAAAAATGCTCATGATCAGCCTGAACTTCAACCAACCCCAATGAATTTTTACAAAACCTCTATAATATACAATCAAGAACATTGTGCCAATTGCCAATAAGCTTTATTAATCATTATAATTTATACATAATGAACTAACAAGTAGGTGCCCTGAGCAGCAGAAATACAAACACTAAATCAAATCTACTTCAGTAATAAGGATTTGCATGAAGATAGTAAAAGCTAATATCATCATTATATTTGTTTACCTAAGGTTTAATGAGTTTTGAAAATTTGTACACGTAAGGTTTAATAAGTTTAGATATGTTATAATAAGTTTAGATATGTTCAAATTTACGCCAGTTTTGTTCAGATAATAAGTTTAAATATGTTCAGATAATAAGTTTAGATATGTTCAAATTTACGCCAGTTTTGTTCACCTTATTTCAGAAAAGAGAAAAAATACAAACAAACAAACAAAAACAAAAACAAAACCAAACAATCTTTCTTAAAACACATAAGCTCAAAGGAGGGCAATATGAGTTAGGAACATTTTTAGTAAAGGTCAATAAGAGCTACTTAAGTTCAATTTACAGTTAAAATAAGTTCGTGTAAGATCAGATAAGTTTAATTACGTTCATATAAGTGAAAATATTAGGTGAAAAGTTTAATTAAATGAGTCTAAAGTTTGATTAGTTAAGGTCAGGTAAATAGAACGCAACTTTTTTAATTCCCTAGTTCTCATCCCTCACTAAAAAGGTAAAAATCAATTAGCCCATTGTCAAATAGCAGAAATAATTGAGTGAAACAAAAAAAATAGTAATACCCCTTCTAATCTACTTTTTTTTTTTTTTTTTTTTTTTGAATAGCCCTTCTAATCTACTTGAAACTCCCACACTCTACAAAAAAAAAAAAAAGCTCTTTCAATTAAACAAGAGAGAAAGAGCAAATTTTTACCTTCAGAGCCTTTTGCTGTCCAAATTGAAATGGGCACTTTTGGATTGCTGAAAAGAAAAAACAAAAAAAAAAAAAAAAAAAAAATCAAATCAAACCCTCTTTGATCCTTAACAAAACAAATCAACAAGAAATGATCAAGCATTATATACCATCAAACCCAAAATAATTAAAAAGAAAAAAAAAATTTAAATTAAATTGAAGAGATCAAGACAAACCTTAATCAAAATTAACCAAAGATTGCATGCAATTAAGTTTCTTGTATTTCACCAATTATCCCTTCCTCTAATTTTTTGGGAGGAAGTAGGAGTATTGGAGTAAGACTATGAATTTATAATGCATGCTAGAAAAAACTGAAACTTTACAGGTGAATTTTTCAGCCATTAGATAAAACTGAAGTACTGTACCAGTAGTACCACCCATCTAAGCTGGCAAATTTCTGAATATTATCTCTCCTTGTTAGGGAAGAAGGTGCTGTTGGGCGTGGGAGTGATAGAAGAACAGAGGAATAAGGAGGGAGAAATGATGGTACCATTGTGTATTTGTGTACTGTGTAGTGTTTTGAAAATTTAAACCATTAAATTAATTTCGGGTCGGTTTCGAGTCAAGTACGGGTTTTTGTCAATTATTGGTACGGAATATGATAATTTATTGATGTTTCATACCAAAGTATTAGTTGTCGTGTTAACATCAATTTAGTCATGAAATTTTGAATACAATTTAAATAATCGGGTACGAGTCAGTTTTATCAGATATATCTTTAAAATGTATCAGAAAATAAACCCTCTTGTATACCGTTTGTATTGGTTGAAAGGGTATAAATCAATTTTGTTTTGCATTAAAATGCACTCTTGGACATAATGACATATGGTGTCAACAAAGTTAGTAACAATTCATTCTTGGTTTCTTGTAATATGATTTAATATTTCAACCTTGCTTAAGAGCAATGTATAGATGAGCTTTGCAAGCCTTCTAATATTGCCATAACTCATTTTTCTCTATGAAGGAACACATTTGTTATATTGTTTAAAGATCACTGGAGTATAGAACCGAGAAAAGTAGTGATGTACATGGTAATTGATCTCATGTCTTAAGTACCACCCCGAGACTTTACCAAGCAAACACACAATACTACATTGCTGACATTAGCCCATTACACACATTGACACATACACTTGTAACTTGTAAGACACTTCTATAAAGTGATCATGAAATGCAAGAATAATTATATTTACGGAAAGCTAACAGCAATCCCAGTTACATAGACAAAACATGGGGAACAAATGCATCAAGTTGAACAGGTACAAAGTTTGCTGAATTTTTAGTCACCTTGAGCTTCAACTTTGTGTAAGAATTTGTTTCAAGATGCCTTACAGTAACTTCATAATCCCCATGAAGCAACACAACTTCAGAGATTCCTTGGCCATTGGCAGAAATCTCCAATGGTTTCGAGCTTGAAAACTCCGCGATAAGCTTATCAACGACGTCTCCATTGGGTGTGTTGTTGAAGTTTTGCTCAGTCAAGCACATCTTGCATTCACTGCTGAATGGTGAAGTTGGCCATATCACAATCCCTTCAACTGCAGGATGTGAATATCCCTCCCTTAAAACATCCTCCAGATACTCTGCCTGCTTATAATTTTCGAGCAAAATAGTCACATCAAAATGTTAAAAATTGTACAAGCAGTAAGTATGTAACCTTTCCTAACATAATAGGTCTTATTTTGAGTTTGGATCATGCAGGTCGGGTTGGTTCTGTTTTGGTTCAAAGTCAGGTGATGTAATTTCGATATTTAGTTGGATGATCGAATACAGGTTAATTTGGCTGGACTATTTCTTGATTAGTAAGCTTTGTAACAAGTAAAAATTGATAGTACCTGGTTTTCCCCTTTGTCAACAAAGAGTTCAGTAAGCCATAGCGGGAATTTCATTGAAGCTAAGTAGTCCATTCCTGCTCTCATGTAAGCAATGTTGGGCTGACCGGGGCCGAACCTTGATTGCACCCCTACTCCCATAGGCAATGTATCATTACCACCACTCCTTTCTCTATAATATGATTGAGTGTTCTTCAACTTTCTAGCATATTTTGCTGGTATTGAATCTTCATCTTGGCTCAACTCTATAGTGTTGTACTCGTTCATGAACAAAATCGGCTTTTGATCAAGCTCATATGTTCTAGCATAAACCTCTGCTGAAGCATTTTCTCCAAGCTTATTCTCATAGAAGCTAAAATGCAAGTTCTCATTCACAACATCCCAATGGATCAATCTCCCTTTGTACCTTAATACAACAGATTTCGTCCTGTTTTCAGCTGCATCTTTCAACTCTTGTGGACTGGTTTCGTTGTTTATCCAAGTGGGTTGGTATCTTGGATCATCCCAAATGATGTTGTGACCTCGAACATCAATGTTGTTCTGCTCACAAAATTGTAGCATGGCATCAGGTATGGTATAGTCTTCCTGCCCTCGTGTTTTTTCTGTGAAGTACCATTTCATTTCGTTCCCAAAAGCAGTGACTGAAAATCTCGAGGCAAACCAATCTTGATACTTCTTGCTGTTTAGGATATTCTGGTTTATTTCACATCCTGTAGGGAAACCTGATTTTATTTGCTTCAGAGTAATTTTTGCTCCTGCTACTGAAGTGTTATCTTTATTTGTCACATGTAATTTCACCTTACTCTTTCTCACCTACATAAACGGCGATTTTTTTATGATTATATTCACAAAGTAACATACCATATGACTGTCATAAACTCATAATGTTGGTGTTATTTTACCTTTGCAATGGTCTTTTCTTGCTGTGATTTCCATTGCTTCTTAGTAAAAGGTTGCAAAGAGACATTATCTACCCAGATTTCATCAGCTGTGTTCTTAGTCTGCACATACAAAACGTCAAGAACTTTACGAAAGTAGACAAATAAGAAACAAACATAGGCCTCCCCCCCCCCAAAAAAAAAAAATATGCTATAACTTTCCCTGAGAAAAACATTGCACTGGTCAGAAATTACCTCGAAAAATAAATCAACCGGACCTGAAAAGGCTGCAACTATACCGCCTTTCAACATGCTCCAACATCCTTGCTCTGCTATCACTGTACCTCCATGGAGGTATTTTCCACCAGGACTTCTAAATTTTACCGATATAACTTCACTGCCTTGACTAATTTGAATCCAGGCTGTAAAATCCATTTGAATATGAACTCATCAAAATTGTATTGTGAATATAAACTCATATTTGGTCTTAAATTGTTGCCAAATCCTTCTCAGGGCAAGTTTTAAAGTTGGACAAGGATTAAGAAGCTATAAATAACCTGAAAATGCATAAATTTTTCCTTTCTGAATCTGAATTCTCTGAGAAAGGCTATCAGATGGCTGAGTTCTGTTCAGAGCCGCGATGAACTTGTTCCCATCTTTTGTTATTCTTTCTTCGAGCTTACCCTGACCAAACATAGTCCATCCTTCGATACCATTAGTGAACTCTGGATTTTGTATGATTCCTCCACCATATTGAACCTTCCAGGCTTCTTCCAAACACTTCAAATTGGCATAGCAACAAATGAAATTATGTATCAGAACAAAAAAAAAAAGCAAGCAACATTTTAATTGTACTGATTGGTTTTCAACATAGCTACATATCATAGAAACATTTTTTTATAGGTATTATTTGTAAATATGCTTAAATTTCAATCAAGTTTAGTACCTCTGTAGTTGCTGAATAGTCGTATGACAAAGCTTGTATGGTATCACCTACATCAGTTGAACAAATAAATTTTAGTAAATATAACATGCAAACTTTGTAACATCTACATACTAAGATATGTAACAGCAAGCTGTTTTGTTCAAAAACAGCAACTATCTTGGGAAATGAGAACATCACATATTAGAAGCCTAATATTCACAACCCTACAAGTGTAATCTTTAACAAACAGAACTAAATGAGAAGAATTGAAGCGATGATCAGGAGAGGAAGAGAGACCTAGATACAATAGAAAGCATGCATGCCATAATATGAAACTGATCTTCATTTCATAGGAAAACCAAGGAAATGAAATTTTTAAATAGCAAGTGTTCTCGGCTTAGAGAATGTTTGAATCTTTAAATAGTAAGCAGTAGGATGTCTCAGAATCTGTACAAAGAAGTAAATTGTAGATTACAGCAAGAGAAGTTGATTTTAGAGTTGAAGGGGCAGAAACTTCACCAACCTATATGGCCCACAGAAGAGTTCTGAAAACTTACAAGCAAAATGTATAAGATGTGACAATGACATTATGGTCATGTTTCATTGCTTTAATCCTGGGATTTTCTCGTCATCTTGGCTCACACTTTTCGAATGATCTTTTTCATGGTCATCAGCCTGCGTGATTGCGATGATAGGTGGATTTGGGAATTGCTTTGCTTCAATACTAATATGTGCATTTGACATGACAGCTTCTTTTGTAGTTTCACTTTACTCAGCACTCAGCAGCAGTGCGGGATTGAGCTTATCTTGGCTAGACAAGCCTTAAATCAAAATAACCTCTGCCATAATTGTTGTTTCATTTCTGAATGTATTCAATCGAAAATAGCAGCTCCGATCTTTTTCAATCTCTGCCTGTTTCATAGACGAACAATCTTAACGGAAACTACTGAATGAATGAATACTGAGCATGACCAAGACTCAGATCCTGTAATATAACATACTGTATGTATGTTCCACTCTACAACAGAAATCAGATAAATTCATGTAGTCTTTTGTCAAATTACATTTCCACAAAAAAGACCACAATAGTCAATTTGGTACGTGGTAATGATTTATGGTATTAGAAATAAATGTGTAAGATACCAAACCACCAAAGACCAATGTCAATGGATCAGTAATGTACATAAGCTGCACTTGCTATCCAATAAATGGTGCTTAATTTGACAACTTTAATTTTATGACATCTGCATTCAAACACTTGTGTCCTCATATCTTCCTTTTTTTTTTTTTGGGGGGGGGGGGTAATTTGGGGGATAGGACTATAGGAGGATCAGAGGTGTAGAGGAATTTCCAAGCAGATGTAAAACATAGGAATTGCCTATATGAAGATAACCAAACATTGACAATTTGACAACATTCTACAATTTACATAAATTCGGATTAATTTTCTTATGAAGCAGAGGCTCCTCTCGTCCGTATCTAGCAAAAACGTTTGCAAGTGTAGCCTTCTCATTCCATATTTAGTAAATTAGAGGAAGACCAGAAGCATTGAAAAATTTCCATATAGAGGTAAAACATAGGAAATGCCCCTAGACAAAGATAACCCAACATTGACAAACTGACACTTGACAACATTCTACAATTTACATAATCCAGATTACTTTTCTTTTGAAGCTGAGGCACCTCTCGTTCCATATCTAGCAAAAACGTCTGCAAGTTTAGCCTTCTCTTTGACTTTCAACCTGCATTATGGATAAACAATATGTCAAAATTGGATATACAATCAGATCCAGTATTGATGCAAACATTTCCAACAACGCTCATGCAAAAAAACATAGCTTACTTCTTTGCAGATCCTGGGATACGTTGTTTTGGCTTCTTCTCTAGCTTTAGGTTCGGATCCTTATCTGACTTTTGGTTAGGCTTCTTGTCTGGCTTTTTTTTAACCTCTGACTTCTTTTTAGGTGACTTCACTTCATTTAACGAAGCACGTGCCAACAATTTTGCTTCTAGCATTTCTACTTGTTTTAAGCGTTCGCTAGCACTTAATTGGAGCAAGTCCCCTAAAACATTTTGGCTGTCAAGGGCCTTGATGCTTTTAACTAATTCTTCATACACATAATCATCATCCTCCCTAAATTGCAACGCTGTTTCAATTTGCTCAACATCAACATCTTCATCTTCTTCCTCCTCCGAGGCAAGGAAGTTTCCTTCAGAAGTGCTGTTGTATCCATCATCTGATGACCCTTCATAACTGCCATCAAGCGGCTTCAAAATTTCACACTTTATAGGCTTCTCAGACTTACCAAAAGATATGTTTTGGCCTGAGAACATCTGAATGAACCTGTTGTAATAGAAGATTTCATTTAATTCACAATATTAACATAATGATCCAGAGAATAGGCGTAACTCATAAGTGATCAAAATGGCACAGAAAAGAATTCTGCAAAACAAATGGGTCACTTTCTCTCAGAGACAAGGAAAAACAGATACCTGTTTGCATCCGCCAGACTCTTAAAATCCACATAGGCAAGGCCTTTGCAGACAGGATCCCTTGTCTTTTTGTTTCCAGAGTTCACCGGTGATATTTTAATAATTCCAGAAACTCCTTCAAAGGCTGACTTTAGATCTCTGTGAATATTCCTTTTCTTAGGAAGGTTGCTGATACGAACACGGATCCCGCCAGGAACACCTTCAGAAGCTGTAGACATTTCAGGTAATGCATCTTATGATAAATCCCACAATTCCTCGATCTTTTAATCAAATATATTGAATAACAACCCATTGCAAAGACAATATCATCAACAAATTACTTTAAGCAGATTAGGAACTGCAAAAGGATATGCATGAAGAATTTAAATTCAATCATCACATCTTCGGAAGTGTCTGCTATAGACGTTAACCATCTGTTTCAAAAAAGTGAACATAACAAAGAGACAAAGAAAAAGGTTTTTTAGCAAGTTTTTGTGGAACACTACCATTTTCCTTCTATGAAACAAAATATGATCCATCAAGGCAATGGTTTGAAATCAATGTTTAGTTGATTCCATCTCTGAACTCTGACCTAAAAGTTATAAGTTTATAGTTCCTGATGTAATCACACAGTCAACAGAAACCACAATGGCATGAACGTACAAGTAACATGATAGATCAAACTTCCTAAGGAGAGTAGGATAAGTTGTTGGGTTGCCAGAGTTGAAAAATACCATGCAGCAAACTAGAGAGAAAGAGTACAACTGTACAAGACATACGTAGTATAAAGTACACAAGTATCAGATATTAGTCATATTACTTTATCGGATATCAAAGTAGCCAATGTCACAAAAACTAAACTAATGTATTTTATTTATTTCTTGGGAGAAAGGCATTCAACTGTTGCAAATTTTACTAAGCAGCAGTGCTACAAATGACTTAATAATGAGCAACAAGACGCGGGTTCTGATATCTGTAATTTCACTGCAAAAAGAAAACTGGACCTTCTTAAGCTGTCAAAGTTTTTTCTGAATTCCAAATCTCGAAAGACAGTTTTGCTTGAAACCACCTAAGATAAAGGACAAATGCATACAACTAACCAGGCATATTTGCATCATAAAAGGGGCATCTAGTCATCTATTACAAACAAATCACGGTGTCCATCCTACATCCGATTTTAAATTGTACCCTCTCACATCCTCCTCAACATGTGTTCTTTATCTCTTTATTATCATGTCGTCCATTAAACACATATATGTATATTGTAACTGAAAAGCTAAACAAATTCAAAACCAACAAAATATTTTTAACCAATTTTATTTCTAACAAATTCAAGCATCCAATTTCTACATCTTGGTATGGTACATTTCCTAAATCCATAAACTACAAACATAAGTTCATTCTATAAATTGCAAATAATATAACACTAAAGGACTTCATTCAAGGAAATGATCATTTATGGATCAATTAAGGAACAATTATGCCTAATTCCACATCCAATTATGGGTTAACCATGGTTCATTCTTGCTAATTAAGGCTACCAAAAATCAGAACAATAAACAAAAACCGAGCAAAACAATAAACAACCAAAGATGAGAGAGATTACACACACCATTGAACAACACCTCCGGGGGGTCATTCTTGGGTTTAGGCTTCTTGCCCTCATTCTTAAGCTTGGTAATGTTAGATAACTGAGCTTTGAAACTTTGCTCAATTTCTTCTAGTAACTTATCTTCAACTGAAGTATCATACACTTTCCCTTCACCAAACCCTCTTGGTCTATTCTCAAGCCATTCATTCATCTTGTCATAAGTAACCATCAATTCATCATCATCATCAAATTCATCCTCTTCTTCTTCCTCATCATCAAAAACATCATCCTCATCAAAATCAAACCCATCTTCATCTTCAATTTCTCCATCATTCTCCACCAATTGGGTAGCATCCAAGTTTGGATTTTTTTCCTTATTTTGGGCAAATAAGCAAAACCCAGTTCGACCCTGATAATAAAATGCAGAAAATTTAAAAAGGGCAATTTCCAAATTCGTTCAATTAAACATATAAACAAAATGGGAAGTTGAATACTAACCGAAAATGAGGAAGATAATGATAATGAAGAGTAATTGGGGAGCGATTCTGGAAAAAGAGGGAGGTTGGCAGTTTGATGTTGGAAGAGGAGAGAGAAGAAGTTGGTGGGTTTCTTCAGAAGAAGCGGCGGCGCTGACGGCGGCAGAAGCTTTCCTACAGCCTGCATCGTCGAGGATTAGGCGTTGAATGGGTGGGTGATAGTACTACTCTACTCTGCTAGCTAGTTCTGGGCTCTATCTACAAGATTCGCGCAACTCTACGCTTATGAAAGAGAAGGGAAAAGAAAGTAAAAGTTTTTTTGCCATAATTTTCTACAAAATTTGTAAATTACCACCTAAATAGTACACTTGTTTTAAAATTACCACTTGTTAATTTTTTAATTTTATTTTATTACTACCCCTTAAATTAAAAAATTACTCAGATTCCCATCTTTTTCAAAATTTCGGATGATTTTCCGTCTGTGAGCCCACCTCCATTTTCATTTTCCACTGCACCACCGCAAAACCTCTCTTCTCCATTTTCTCGCTTCTCCTTCTTACCTGAAACCATCATAGGAGGCAGAGGAAGGAGTCGCACTCAACGGAAACACTTCAAGCAAAGGGGAAAGAGGAAGGAAAAGGAACCCTTATCTCATAGCAACCCCCAATATAATTGAAGTAAAAACTAATTTCAAAAAACCCCCTAATTTAAGAAAACCCCTAATTCAATTGAAGCATGAATCCTAATTTCATAAAACCCTCAATTCTACCTATTTACTCCAATTATAGTGGAATTTGGTGAAGAAAATGTGAATTGAAGTTGGAATAGCTGTTTTAAAGAGAAAAATCGGGGGAAGGGGAAAATCAGTCAAAATAGTGGTTAATAGCCGTTAGGTGGGGCCCACAGGCGAAAAAATCCATTTTGCAAAATATGGGAAAAGTAATTTTTTAATTTAAGGGGTGGTAATTTTAAAAAAGGCCTACTATTTGGGTGGTAATTATTTATAAGATATATTAAAACACGTTCCCAAAAGGAACATAAGGATAAAGAGTATCGAATCGTCAACCTCTTATAAGAAAAATAACCATTTCACCATCTAATTATCAACTATGTCATTAAAAAAAAATAATAAAAAAAAAAAGTTATATAAGTGCAAACCATAAGGTTTAATTAAAGAAATATATACTACCTCCATTAACAGTTATCTGCAACAAAGGGGGTAGCACGGACTCCTAGGCAAAACTTTTAAAGTATGATTAATGAAAAATAAGGGCACTTGGTTAAGTATTAATAAAAAAAAAAAACAAAAACCCATAACCACCGACACCTGGAACCACTAAACCCAAAACCACCGACAACCACCGGAACAACCAAACCCACCCACAGTTTGAAGTTTTGAACCCAAAACCACCACCGACATCCAACCACGAACCCAGCAAAAACCACCGAAACCCGACCACAAACCCAATAAACCACCCACGAACCCAACCAAAACCAAGAAAACCACCAACGAACCTAGCCAAAACCCAGCAAATCCACCCAAAACCGAAGAAACGCCACCCACAACCACCGAAATCGACCCACAAACCACCGAAATCCACCCAAGAATCACCAAACCGCCACCCACAAACCACCGAAATCCACCCAAGAATCACCGAAACCCACCCACGAACCACAAAAACCACCCACAAACAACAACTACCACCGGATCTACGGAACCCACCCACAAACCACCAACATCCACCCACAAACCACTACCATCCACCCACGGACTGAGATAACAGAGATGACGATGGAGAAGAAGATGAGAGATAAAGAAGGAAGAAGGAAGAAGGAAGAAGATGAGAGATAAGAGATGAAGGACTGATCAGAAGGTCGAAGAAGATGAGAGATGATGATGAAATGGAGATGAAAATGGAGGAGAGAGATGGTGGAGAGATGAAATTAGGATTAATTTGTTTTTTTTGGGAAAAAAAGCTTAGATGATTAAGTTAAATTAGGGTCATAATAATTTGTAATTATGTATGATAATATGGGTTAAAAAATTTTAAATGAGGGTATTTTGGTCACTTTACCAGAAAAAGTTACTATATTAGGAAAGAAATAGTTTTGTTGCAAATAATAGGTAACACCCTTTTTTGGTAAATGTTGCAGATAACTTGAGGTAGTACTTAAAAAAAAATAAAAATAAAAAAACTCAATTTTAGTTTGACAATGACAATTAAAATGTTAAAAAAATATCGGGGAACGCCCGATCTATTCACTAATTGGATTATTAAAGAATTAGAGAAAGATAATGGAGGTTAATAATTTTAAGCAATTTAATTGAATGAATTTATTTGTAGGGAATAATTTTCTTAAAGAATAATTTTCTTTTTTAATGACTGAAAAAATTAAATTTACAATTATACCCTTCATTCCTTACAAGTAACAACATCGCAGGAGATCATTGTCGACTTCCATTGTTGAAGCTTGCAATTTCCACTCAACTTTGCCAATTTTCTGGGAATCAATCCCACCATTTTTCTCCAGAAAAGGAAGCAATTGATCTGAAATACAGATCTACCCGAAATCAAGGAAGACAAAGATGGTCTTAGTTACAGCAGTTCGTGATTACATCAATCGTATGATACAAGATATCTCCGGCATGAAAGTTCTTATACTCGATTCTTCTACGGTACTTCTAATTTTTCATCTTCTCCCTTTTAATTTTAGGGTTCTTGAATCTTAATTTATTCTAGTTGGGATTCTTTTCATTTGATTGATTGACGAGAAAATTTGGTTTCAAATGATGATTTTAAAGGAGAAGAATATGGTTGATTTGATTATTAATTTGGATCATGGGATTGTAAAATGTGGGAATCTCTGTATTCTGTTTGTGATGAGCTAGAATTATAGTTATAAGTTATTCTGAATTCGAATGCCGGGTTTTGCAATGATAATTTAGGGGTAAAACAAGGTTGATTTGATGATAATTTTGATTAGTGATGTTCTTTTTTGAACTGAATTGACCTATTACCCTAGTTTTTTTTGTTAGTGGTGAGCTAGAATTATAATTTATAATTCTAAATTTCCGCAAAGTAATTTCCCAAATCCCAAATGTGCTTTGTTATGCTGGCAAAATTATGTTTTTTTAGGGTTTGTTAAGTGTGAAAGTTATTGATCAATCAAATGTTGTGCTGTTATAGTTCTTGTCATTGATTTGGAATCTGGTCACGGCTCAATAGGATTGAAGTTTCTTTGATGTGAGGTCGTTTAATTTGTTTGGTTTTAATTAGTTTTGAGTGGATAGCTGGAAGAAAGGAAAATTTAATAGCCTATAAACTCGATGTTTCACTAGGTCAGCGTAAAACCTTCCACGTGTGACATTGGATCTCTACCTCCAAGATGAACTAGCTTAACCTGAACTACCATTAATAGAAGCCCCTGTAACATGCAATTGTGCTCACCTCCTTGTCAACTACTCATCATGATTTACATTAGGATGATCTGAATTAAAATGGAGGTAGTTTAGGATGTTGTAGAGAAGATGTAATTTTAATATGATCTCATCAAGAAACATCTTCATCTTAGTCTTGGGGGTCTCAATATGATACCATAAGTTATATACGGGATATTATAGACAATATTAGATTACTTTAGAGAACAGTGATGATGAAGTCTAATTATGGGCTTGAAAAATACTAATTCAGCCCTTTTTGAATCCCAAAAACCCCAAGGTCAAGTACATTAAGTAAAAAAAATTAATAAGATGATGAGAACAGGCTAAAGGTCTACGAAGGTGATCAACAAGGACAACAACAAAAGTTTTCAATTTACTTATCCTTCAATATATATGTTCGTTGTGACTTATGGAGTACTTTGTATTAAAATCATTTAAATGTCCGTATGCTACAAGGACTCTGTTGGTATTAGATCTGGCTGTCACTTATTAATGACATCAATTATATAGATTTTTTTTTTCAAAAAGTCTTTTGCATTGTGAAGCTTTTTTCTTGAACACATAATTCATCTGGAACCACATGCTTTATAGGAAGTAGACATTAAGACTGAAATGAGAACTGAGAACCAATCTTATCCATCAAAAGTAAAGCAGGAAAACACTAAAGTAAATTGCATTGACTCGAAAGTAAATGTATTTGCATCTATATATACTTGTTTTAAATTAAAAAAAAAAAAAAAAAAAAACTTTTGCTACCCTAATAATAATCAAATAGTAGCATCAAATTAAACTTTTAAACCTCTTTTGGTAAAAATCTGTTTTAGATAAGTTTTCATTCATTGTTTCCAAAAGCTGAGAAGAATATAGTAAAAGTAAATCAAATTGACTCATAACTACATTAAACTGATTTAATAGTTATTACAAAAAAGAAAAAGAAAAAAATGGAATTAGTTTGAGAAAATACACAAGAAGCACCTATCTGGCTATCAATGACACAGAGTAAATGGAATTACGTAAATGTTATCAATGACACAAGAAGGACCTATATGGCTATCTTGTCTGATTACCTTTCCAAAAAAAGTCTTGGACCGAAGCTTTATCACTGTGCCCGCTTCTAGTAGCTAGAAAGATCTTGGATCGGATTATGCTGATCTAAGTTCCCGGTTCTTTGTTCTTATTTTAGGCTATGGTTCTCACCAGATCCTAATTCCTTTATGCCAATGTTAAGGGGACCTTCTATTACTTTGCACGTGATGGGTTGGCTTCATTGAGTCATTGATGAGACGATAATTTTAGAAAGTAGTAGATAGAAAGATCACTTACGCAGAGTCCTATTTCAAAGTAAGATCTACTGGCAAGCCTGTCATTACTTAAACACCCCAGAATACGATGCTTTTGTTTCCTTGACATTATAAAGCTGTTGCAGCGAATTTTGTCGTATTTACTATGTGCCTGAGACTCTGTTTCTATGTCAAACACTCTGGTGCATTCTAGGATACCACAGTTTCAAAAGTTTTAAAGAAATGGTTTGATATCGTTAATAACTGAGTACTGACAGCTATTATGTAAAATCTTTTTTCAGGTTAGTATCGTAAGTGTTGTCTATAGTCAGTCTGATCTACTGAAGAAGGAAGTGTTTTTGGTGGAATTGATAGACTCCATCTCAATGTCAAAGGAACCCATGTCTCATCTTAAAGCTGTGTACTTCCTTAGACCCACATCAGAAAACATCCAGCACTTGAAGCGTCAGCTTGCTAGCCCTAGATTTGGAGAGTGTCACCTTTGTAGGTTACAATTTTGAATTTCACTATTTGCTTGAATTCACCTATTTCTTCTTGGAGTCTCATTTGAAGTAAAACTCAATAGTTTACTTGGAGCTGTATATTGACTTTTTGAGTATGGAATTGAGCATTAATTGTAAATTGTGCTGATTTTTCAGTTTTTTCCAACATATTGAATGACACTCAGATTCACATATTAGCAGATTCAGACGAACATGAAGCTGTGCTGCAAGTTCAGGTATAAAATGCAAAGGAATTAGTATTGTCAAAATATTACTATTAACCTATTATTGTGAAAAATACTAACTTAATTTAATTTACTAAAAAAGCTATGATCATCAACTTTAGATCTATAGTCTGTATGTTACTGTCAAGGCCTATATACATACTTTGCTTGTTAGGCCTCACCTCTTTAATTTTTTTTTTAATTTTTTTTTTTTGGGTTGGGGGCGAGGGGACGGGCTCTTTCATGTCTTTTAAACATGGTCTATATGTTTGAGCTCTATTTGTCATCTTAGCTCAATCAAAATGAATTGAGTTTTGGTGTAGAAGAGTAAAATTCACTTTAGTCCCTCTGCATTTTCTTGAGATTTCCTTTATGCCTTTTTGTGGCTGTATCATTTAATTAATGAGTAATGTGGAATGTCTGGACCGAACTTATAGTAAAAATTACCAGAAAGTTGTTATCTGACATGATTACAGCCTTTTGCTTAACACTGGGATCATAATTTATCTCCTTCCTAAGGTTTTATCAGAGAAGCTTGAAGTTATTTTGAAGTTGCTATATCTTCATCGTTCATTAACTTTATATATTTCATGGTTTTATGGGAAGCTGATGTTTTGTTCCGACTGTATGCTGCAGGAATTTTACGCAGACTTTGTTGCTGGTGATCCTTGTCATTTCAGTCTCAACATTTCTTCAAATCACCTCTACATGCTTCCAGTGGCTATGGATCCTTCAAATTTGCAACACTATTGTGATAGAATTGTTGATGGCATATCGGCTGTTTTTCTAGCACTAAAACGTCGACCTATAATCAGATACCAAAGAACATCTGATATTGCAAAAAGAATAGCTCAGGATACTGCCGTAAGTTCTGCACATTATCCTGTAAAATATAAAACCTTAGAAATTTTACAGATACGGGAAAATGATCACTGATAGGTTGACTTATCCTTAAGATGCTAATTAATTGTTTTGATTTAAAAACTTGGTGGTTTGCATTAGTTTATAACTAACCTTAGTCGTGCCTATATCCTTCCTGAAATTACGCATGCCTTTATTGTTTTTACATTAGGGTTAGTTTATCAGTAGTCAAATTTGTAATTTTGCATTACAGAAATTGATGTATCAGCAAGAGAGTGGTCTCTTTGATTTTCGGAGATCAGAAACATTGTTGCTTGTGCTGGATAGAAGGGAGGATGCAGTTACTCCATTGCTAAATCAATGGACTTATCAGGTACTTTGCAGGAATTGCAGCTGTGCTTATATAATTACATTGTACATTGCTTGTTTATATAGTTCTGGCTAGTTGCTCATCTATACGATGCTTTCTACAGGCAATGGTTCATGAATTGATAGGCATCCAAGATAACAAGGTTGATTTGAGAACTTTTGGAAAGGTTCCTAAAGATCAGCAGGTGAGTTTAGTGTTTAGATACTCCTTTTACTATTGTGAGTGCATTGAGTGTGAACTCAAGTACTCAATTTTCTTTTTCAGGAGGTTGTGTTATCTTCAGAGCAAGATTCATTCTTCAAAGCCAACATGTATGAGAATTTTGGAGACATTGGAATGAATATCAAGAGAATGGTGGATGAGTTCCAACAGATTGCAAAGAGTAATCAGAAGATACAGACAATTGGTGGGTACAAGAAATAAGTGCTGATACCTAGCTATCTCATTCCTTTATGCTGCAGACCTGCAGTTCTTATTTATACTCCATTGCTTCCTGGACACTCACTAATCAGCTATGTCATACATGTACTTTTGTGGTTTGCAGAGGACATGGCCAAATTTGTTGATAATTACCCTGAATACAGAAGAAAGCAGGGGAATGTTTCTAAGCATGTCACACTGGTAACAGAAATGAGCAAGATAGTTGAGGAGAGAAAGCTTATGTTAGTGTCTCAAACAGAACAAGAGTTGGCTTGCAATGGTGGACAAGGGGCAGCGTTTGAGGTTGTGAAACATTCAATTATCCTTTATATATATATATATATATATATATATATATATATATATATATATATATATATATATATATATATGTATGTATGTATTTTTTTTTTTTCCTTCTATGCTCAGATTCTTTAGTCAATTGCTGATGATACTTCTATAGTAGGAGATACTTAAATGGTTCTCTTGTAAGGTGAATTTTAAAGATGATGCTATACGGCTATACGCCTATACACCTTAATAGCTTTGTGGTACAAAAGTACCACCTATCTATAGGCTACACAAGTGAACTTGTTTGGACGTCAAGAGCCTTCTATTGTTCAGACTTCTGACCCACATCTACATATGTACACTACTGTCATTGATGTACTCTCAAGGGAACCTATTTGTATATGTTGAAATGCACAGTTCAGCCTCATTTCAATATTGATACAAAATTTTTCCCTTGTTTTGGTGGCCAATTTTAAATTGATTGATTTTCGTATATGTATTTGGCTTTGTATGTGTACATAACGGTCGTTTTGTTAAAATTATTAAATTTTTCAAGTTATAGATAATTAGACCTTTTCTTCATTTATTTGTTATAACTCTCCTGTAATCCTGTGAAGAACTTTTTCATCTTTTTTTTTTCCCTTCTCCTCAATTTTACTTGATGGCTATATTGGTTTTTATTTTATTATGTTGAATTGTTGATCATAGGGTCAATGGTTAATCATAATTGCTTGGATGGCTGATACTGATACTAAACATTGATTTGTTCCCGTAATTTACTGCTGATATGTACAAGGTGGTTTCTCAGATATTTTTGTTCATTTAAGAGTGATTTATGTCCTAGTTTGTAGTATGGCATGCTTGTTATCTATGTGGCTGTTTGTCTAACTGCATATCTGTTCGTCGTGATAAATATTTCAAAAATGAGCTTGCTGTGTGTTTGCAATGCCTATTCAAAATTGCCTGATAATTAGGAATGATGACATTGACCATGTGTTTAGTATTGAAATGTCTGGTATGCATATGACGTTATCTAATGCATTCCTGTGCTCTGTAGGCTGTGACAACTCTTCTCAACAATGAAAATGTCTCTGATATTGATCGTTTAAGGCTGGTAATGTTGTATGCTTTGCGTTATGAAAAGGAAAGTCCTGTCCAGCTGATGCAACTTTTCAACAAGCTTGCCTCCAAATCTGCAAAGTACAAGCCTGGGGTAATGCAGCTAATTGTCGTTGACTCTGAATTTTTTGTGTTACAACTTACTTGATTGTGTGCATCTGCTAAGTTTTTCTGATTTGCTCTTTGAAATATAATTTCTACTCCCCCAGTGTAGATTTCTCCTTTTAGTATTGTCAATTAATTGAAGAACTTGAACTTCATTCAGTCTTCACTGCATGAAGTCCAACATCACCAATTTATTAATGTATTTGCATATCATCAGTGGATGCTTTTCTCATCACTCTGTACATAAGATTTTCTTTCATTCTTTTCCCTGGTTGAAAGCTTAATGACGGTAGTTCTTATTCTGAGGTATGTCAATCTAACTGGTACTTGTTTCTCAATTCTTCGAGGTGACAGCTGGTACAGTTTCTTTTGAAGCAAGCTGGTGTTGATAAGCGTACTGGGGACCTGTTTGGGAATCGAGATCTATTGAATATTGCTCGTAACATGGCCCGTGGACTGAAGGTTTGTGACATTTGTTAGAAACAATGTTAGTTTCAAATAGCTTGAGATTAACCTATGAATTACAATCTTGTAGGGTGTTGAGAACGTATATACCCAACATCAACCTCTTCTGACCCAGACAATGGAAAGCATTTCTAAGGGGCGATTGAGGGATATTGACTATCCATATGTTGGAAATCACTTCCAGCCAGGAAGGTAAAAGATATGGAAACGAAATGTTGTATTTAAGGTTAATTACATAATGAACTTTCAATCAAATTTGTAGTTGCTGACTAATGCTCAGCATTCTGTGGAACTGTGCATTAAATTGCTTAAAATTTAGTGTTCAGGGGAATTAGAACTACAGGATACTATGTCATTTGTTGCATGTCCTTAGACGTGTTTAGATGGATGATAAAGTAAATGAAACTTTTTGCTATTTTGTTTTAGGATCTCAAAGATGAGATTTAACATGCTTAGCTGGTGCCATACCAATATACCATATACTTATGCCACATCTGAATTTGTCAGTCTAGTGTCCAAAGGGCAATGACGATAGATATAGTATGCACAAATGTTATGTTGTGATAATGTGATTTATATATTGTGAACAAGACATATTTTGACTGACATGTTTGTTGGACACATCATAATTTTTAACTGACTTTGCCTCCAACTGAATGGAAATTAATTTGCTCTGTGCAGACCACTAGACGTAGTCATATTTATTGTTGGAGGGACTACGTATGAGGAATCACGCTCTATTTCCCTGTTTAATTCCACCAATTCTGGGATTCGCTTTATACTCGGAGGCACAACAATTCTCAACTCTAAAAGGTATTTTGCTTGCCATTATATGCTCAACTTGAAAATTAAGATTTTGATTGGGGAGCTCTGTACAAGTTCATATAGATGTTAGGAATTGTAATCTCTTAACTCTACATATTGTTATAAGGGGGGATATGGAGAGGATGCTGGAAAGTGGAGAGGAAGTTTTTTTTATCTTCATAAGTCACTGTGCCTGAAAATCTTTTTTTTAACTATAGATAAATTTTCCCTGCAACCAACTCCTCTTTTCTCCCATGAGAGTAAAATTGAAGGGGGTAAGAGACTAAGAGAGAAGGAACATGAAATTTTTGTTCCGTCTTGAAGTTTAAATAGCTACCGCTGTTGAACTCCTTGGAGTCATTGGCATGGTGTAAAAAATTTACCACTTCCATTCTACAGTTTCTACATCCACCGTGACAATGTAGTCTTTTTAGGGCAATATGGGAAGTTCAAAATCTAACCAAAAGTGGTCTCTTTTATTTGTTTAGTTTGGGGTGATCCAAGTTGCAATGTGGCCTATAATTTTGGGTAGTCCTAAAATAGAAATGTGGCCTTATCTTGAACGGAGGGATCATTAGTCAATCATTAGGATCGGGATGTGGAACATTTAACAAACTTTTCTTGACCCTTAATGCAAACATACATGATGTGTTTGAGAATGATTTCCTTGCTTTACATTGCTGCCATTATACTTTGCATAGTAAAAGCAGAATGCTCATTCACATGGTTCAATATAGGTTCTTGAAGGACCTTGAAGATGCCCAGAGAATGATCCGGTCCAGCAGTACTGTAGTTTGAAACATAAACCACTCACTTTGGAGCTCTACTGATTCATGACAGCATGAAGCCATGTTGGGTAAAAAATGCTTTTAGGCCAATTTTTAATGGAAGCTTAGCTCAGCGTAATCCATTTCTTCAGCCATGTCTGCTGTAGTTTCCGAATTCTTGATGAAGTGTGTGTATGATCCAGAGCATGAGCCCATCAATTGTCGTGCAAGGTTACAAACTGTTGGACTATCAAATCTCGATGGTGCTAGCTAACACTAGTCTGTTTAGTGGACAATGTAGAGGGTGTTTGTTGATTGAAATTTTGTATACTTCTTTGATACGAAAGAGGAGCTGTATCTATAAAGGAGAGGAGAGGCCAAACCGTCAAATGTAGAAATTAGACAGGCTGCCTTTTTGTTTCCTGGCCTTGTACATCAATGTTTGAGAGCTTTATAACTGGAAAAGGGAAATCTTATGTCATTTGTAGATTTTATGTATGAATTCAGGTTTTATCTAACTTGTTCATCTTGAGATGTCCTTAGACCATCTCCAATGGTGAGATTTAAGTGAGTATTTTTAGGGGAGAGAGTATTTTTTGCAAAGGATACCAATAAGTTGGTATCTAAACTTAGCGACTCCAAAAGAAAGTTGCTAAGTTTAGATACTCAACTTTGAGTCTCATTTGAAAAAAAAAAAAAAAAAAAGTGTGGGCCCTTATCAGCATTAGTAGTAATATGTTTTGTAATTTATTTAAGTTTTAATTTTTTTGTTTTTTACTAAATAAAACTTAAAATATGATTTGGTGGGCCAATTGAAAGTGACATTAAAATACTTTAGAAAGTCTCACCATTGGAAAATTAGATTTCATATGAATTGCTAAATTGAGAAGTGGCTTGGAAATCACCATTAGAGGTAAAAAACAACTCATTTTGTATTAAAATACTCAAAGTTGAGTGCTTGAGTCTCACCATTGAGATGGTCTTCTCCTCACTTTTGCCTTCTATTGAGAGTGTCATTTAATCAAATAAACATAGTCATCAAATTGCAATTTCCAGTTTTTCACCTAGAAATAGGGCAGAACATTAAAGAACGGAGGGAGTATGTTTGCTCTACACAATTGCCAGAAATTAAAATGTTTACAAATGTTCATCATACAAAATAAATAAATAAATAAAAATCCAAATCTAATTAGATTAAAAAAAAAATACTACGTAAGTTCAAATTAAATTAGAGAAATAGAATGAATTTAACATACTACTTTCGTGTTTAAAGTGTTACCTCTTTGATTTTTTTCACTATTTACATAATGACTTTAACTTGTTTATTATTATTACGAAGTAATACTAGTATATAAAATGCAAATATTATTGTGTATAAATGTATAATACATTGTTGTTTTGTCATAATATATACTTTCATAATATCAATTTTTTAGTCAAAGTTGTGTTTGGTCTTGCATGGTTAGCCAAAGTGTAATACATAGTGTTAAATCATTACTAAGAAATGTCAAAACCTTACTCGATTGATGCGACCCGATCTAACCCAAAAAAATCCATTTCATATTTCAACTCGTATAGACACAATAACTTAGCACTAGTTAACTTTGAAATAAGCCCGACCCAACCCCACTTCACCAAAATGATCTAAGTACTCAAATCGACACCCCTACAGCTCATAACATCAATCAATTGAAATTTCACGTATCCAAGATTCCGAGCAGGGGCCTAATCGTACATTCGTACGTACGTAAACCCTCATCAAATTTGTTCGTTTCAAACTCCAACCATTTCTAGTCAAGCTTATAAAAGAGAAACAAATCAGACCAAAATTTAACATTTTTCATTTCTAGTCTTAATAATAGCAATTACCAAAGGTTTCTCTCTTTAATTTCTCATTTCTACTCTTTTTAAGCTTCATTTCCCTCTTATTCTTACTTCTTTTACTACAATTTCTTCATATTTTCTTGAAAATCCACAATTTTCTTGCAGAACAAACTTGCTCTTCTTCATCATTCTTCTGGGTTTAAGCTTTTTCTGGAGAATTTGTCGCTGGAAAGGTATATAATTCTGCTCTGTTTTACTTTAATATCTTAGAGTTTGATTAATTGCTTCTTTTTTTTGGTGGGTTTTTGTTCTCGTGCAAATTTATGCATGGGTTCTTTCATTTCATTGTTTTCGTTTTTTCTTTACTAATTTTTTCATTTTCTTAGTAATTTTGTCAATTATTTATGTTATTTGATGAATATGATGATCTTATGTAAAATGGCTACTTAGATTTTTTTACTTCGTAAGTTGGAAAAGTTGCCCATAATTAATTGCTGGTAATTAAATTTTAGGCATTTTAATTTTCATCATATTTTTGTTAAAGATTGATAGAGTTTTCTTGATGTTTTTGAAAATGGCAACTTCATTCAAGGGTAATATCATAGGTATTTTATGATTATCTATTGGTGTTCTAATTTTTTTGGGGTTTTTTTCATAATAATAAAAAAATTATTCCAAATAAGAACAACCATTGATTTCAATTTTATTTTTGTAATCTTCTGCCTTTAGTTTTAATTTCTCAGTCAATCTTTATCTTCTAATCGACTAGTCTTCATATTTTCACTTAAATGTACTTTTGCCAATGCACAAGATATTGATTACATTTATAAAAAAAAAAAAAAAAAAAAAAAAAAATATAAAAAAAATAATTTTAAAAAATAAATAAATAATATAAATTGGAAAGAATATAAATGTGTAATAGTCCTAAAAGAAAAAGATTATATAAATGTATTGAAAGCTCAAAATGAAATTATTTAAGGAAATTATATGGTTGTATTAACTTGTGAGAAGCATAGAACAGTTTTATGGTGATTTTGATTTCATCTTGGTGTACTAGAAAATGGATGCTATGTCGAGGCCTGGCTGTGGATCAAGTGGAACGAAAACTCAGCTATTAACCAATCACTTCAATGTATTTGTTTGTTTAATATTTTTTAATAATAGTAGTTGTTTTTTTTTTTTTTTTTTCCTAATTAGATGAGTTACGAAGAATTTATGCTGAAGAGGGAAGAGTGGCTTAGAGATTATTTTCGCTCCGGACGTGGGCACCAGCTATACAGAATTGCATAAGCTCCTCTGAACCAGGAATCAACATGGATATATCTTCAGAATTGACACAGGGGTTAGTTAATTCTCCGGTACAACATGAAACTGTTTTCAAACCATAAGGAAAAGAGGCCTTAAATGTCGGCATGCACCGGCCCCAAGGTATAAGTGGGTCACGTATACTCATTACCGGAACGTTAATAAGTTTACGTGAAATCACACTCAAATTCACTTACAGTCAATCGAACTCTATGAAAAATGTTTCATACTTAAAATAATGTTCCAAAACATTAAGTATGAAACATCTACCATCAGAGTCCGATTGACCGTAGGTGAATTTGAGTGTGATTTCACATAAACTTATTAACGTTCCGGTAATGAGTATACGTGACCCACTTATACCTTGGGGCCGGTGCATGCCGACATTTAAGGCCTCTTTTCCTTATGGTTCGAAAACAGTTTCATGTTGTACCGGAGAATTAACTAATCCCTGTGTCAATTCTGAAGATATATCCATGTTGATTCCTGGTTCAGAGGAGCTTATGCAATTCTGTATAGCTGGTGCCCACGGATCGTCCGGAGCGGGGTTACTGGATAAGGAGGGAAAAATTTTCGCAATATTAATCGGCGGACACGCTGAGGACCCTGGGACACCTTTTGTTTTCGGAATTCACATTGATAGATATCTCGAACGTTTGGCAAAAATTTGTGATTGACAGTCCATTCCACAAACTAATTCCCTAATGGAGAGAATTAGTCGGCTAGGTAAAAATATGTTAGACAGCAAAAACAAACAGATGGATAATATACGAGCCCGATTGGATGGTTCAAGTGAAGAAAGGCCTTCAGTGTCGGAGGTTAAGAAATTGTTTGGTATTTACCGGCCAATTCATCCTCTAAATTTTTCTATTTTAATGTTTTTATAAAATTTTACTTATTTTTTAATTTATTTATCGAATGTAGAGAGTTTGGAGAAATCAATTACAATTGTTCAGCCTGGACCACTGATTGATTTTCTCCTAGCCAACCAGAATGTACAAGATCTACACTAGCTTGATTGGGTGAAGGTAATAACGGAACTTTGAGTGTTACTAAATAAAAAATAAAAATTGGAAAGAATATAAATGTGTAATAGACCTAAAAGAAAAAGATTATATAAATGTATTGAAAGCTCACAAAGAAATTATTTAAGGAAATTATATAGTTGTATTAACTTGTGAGAAGCATAGAACAGTTTTATGGTTATTAACTTGCTGGTGATTTCGATTTCATCTTGGTGTACTAGAAAATGGATGCTATGTTGAGGCCTGGCTGTAGATCAAGTGGAACGAAAACTCAGCTATTAACCAATCACTTCAATGTCAAGATTGACAATACTGATGTGCACCACTTCTTCCAATACTCTGTATGTTTCATCTCTTATCATGTTGTATAGTAATGTTGTTGCGAAAGATGAAATATATATCTGAAGTACTATGCTGATCCTACCCCTCAGATTGCCCTTTACTATGTAGATGGAAAACCAGTAGAAGTAATGAAGGGTGTAGGAAGAAAAGTAATGGACAAGATCAAAGAAACATATAGCTCTGAGTTGGATGGCAAGGACTTTGCTTATGATGGTGAGAAGACCTTGTTTACTGTCGGTTCCCTCCCAAGAAAGAAGTTAGAGTTTACTGTTCTGCTCGAAAAGGTCTCATCTGAAAGGTAATTATTGATGCCTTTCTAAAGCAATCAAACTGCTAGAGAGTTTATTACTTTGATACAGTGCTTACATTAGTACTATAAAACATTATTATATTGTAGGACGGATGGTAAGAGCAGCCCGGGAGGCAATGGAAGTCCTAATGAGAGTGATAAAAAGAGAAGAAAGCGCGTGTCTCAAAGCAAGACTTTTAAGGTGGAGATCAGTTATGCAACCAGAATTCCAATTAAGGCAATAAGTGATGCTCTCCGTGGTATAGAATCTGAGGACTTCCTTGATGCTGTCCGGGTCCTGGACATAGTACTGAGGCATCAGTAAGTTCAAATTTCTTACTCCATGTTCTTTTTTCATATTTTTGCCTAATCTTGTATGTACTAACATACTGATGTTCTCTTTATGTTTTATATAGGGGGTGCCTATTGGTGAGACAATCATTCTTTCATGATGATAGGAACTCTGATGTTGGAGGGGGTGTCCTTGGTTGCAGGGGATACCATTCAAGTTTTCGAGCCACTCAAAGTGGACTGTCTTTGAACATGGGTAAGTGTTTTCATATGTATGGTTTTATAACACATATTGGTGTTTGGAACAACACTCGCCCTTAGTTCTTCCTTTGTTGTGACCTTGAGAGCAGATGGGACGCTTACTACAATTGTTCAGCCTGGACCACTGATAGGTTTTCTCCTAGCCAACCAGAATGTACAAGATCCATACAAGCTTGATTGGGTGAAGGTAAGAATGGAACTAAGAGTGCCTCTACACTAGTCCATACTGTATAGGGACTATGTTTTCATTTGAGGAGTTATGATAAGTGATACTTTACTTGTCATAATACCTTGTATAGGCTAAGCGCACTCTGAAAAATCTGAGGGTAAGTGTAAAACCCGGCAATACTGAGTGGAGAATCTGTGGATTGAGTGAAGATATTTGCAACAACCAGAGGTGAGAATTATCCATGCTAGCTCTAGTCTTTGCTATATAATGATCTTTGATAATTTATGAAATGTTCTGTCCTATAAGGTTCACACTAAGGAGGAGATCAGGTGAAAGAGATGGAGATAATTTTGTGGAAACTGAACTGACAGTTTCTGAATATTTTGCTCAATATCGAAAGATAAAGCTAGACTACTCAGGATACTTACCCTGTGTTAATGTGGCTAAACCAAAGAGGCCAATTTACATACCAATCGAGGTGATAAACTTGTAGCAGTTTTTTTTTTATTTTTTGTTTGTATGTGTGGTCTTATCCATAGAACTCTTATCTTACCTGAACCTCTTTGTTTTTGTTCAGCTGTGTTCGTTGCTTCCGCTACAGAGGTACACTAAAGCATTAACTGTCCATCAGCAATCTTCATTGGTAGAAAAATCAAGGCAGAAGCCACAAGATAAAATAAGGACTCTCACAGATGTATGCCTAGCAATCTTTGTGATTAATTCATTACCACATTCTCATATTTTTTGCCACATTTTGCTTATGCTCGCGTCTTGGCTTCTTGCTAGGCAATGAGGAGAAGTAATTATGCTGCTGAGCCACTCCTACTCAACTGTGGCATCACAATCAGCAAAGAGTTTATGCAAGTTGAAGGCCGTATTTTGGAAGCTCCCAGGTATCACTGCCCAACCGTCTTCATTCCCATCCCTCTTGGGAAAAAACAAAGGGACTTGTTTGTTAAATTTGATTAACCCCCCTGCAATAATTTCCTGCATATTTTTTATTCTTGCAGCTGGAATTTGGTGATGTGAAATTTTTTCCAAAAAATGGACGTTGGAATGTAATGGACAAGGTAGTTCACATTTTTCGGTCCCTCAGTTGAGACCTCTTTCTTCCCATCTTTTTTATGTTTGTTCTTTTTCTTTTACAGAAATTTTCAAGTCCCGTTACAATTAAAAACTGGGTGGTAGTGAACTTCTCTACACGCTGTAAGATATGCGACCTTTGTGAAAACCTGGTGAAGTGTGGAAAAATGAAGGGCATTGTAAGTCGAACAATATCATATACTTTGTGTGTGCCTGTGTGCCTATTGTCCTGTACATCTTTCAGAGTAGTAGTATATTCAGCTAATAATGTCTGAAACTTCTTTTCTTTTTGTTTGTTTGTTTTTTTCCTTTCTATTCAGGAGATCCCTAAGTTACCATTGCGTACTTTTGAGGAGAAACAACAGTTTAGGCGAGAACCACCTTCTGTTCGAGTGGACAAAATGGCTGATCAAGTGATGTCAGTCATGTCACGACTACGTGATAAAACCTCTATTATTCTGTGTGTCTTGGCTGATAGGAAAAATTCTGAAATATATGGTCAGAAACTCATCACCATTACATTTGATAATGTATGCACATCGTTTCTGTATTTTATGTTCGAAGTTGATTGATCACACCTTCTCTACAGGCCCTTGGAAGAAGAAAGCCCTTGTTGAACTTGGAGTTGTTACTCAATGCTTGGCACCTCAAGGATTTGCTAATGAGCGGTACCTCACCAATCTTCTGCTTAAGATCAATGCCAAAGTAATACTTCTTTCATTGCTTTTACTTATAGATTTCATACTACTGTTGGTTTCTATCTAATTATCTCTTACTTCCTTACAGCTTGGCGGAGTGAATCGTCGGCTTGCAGTTGAACGTAACATTCCTGTGCTCATTGATAAGCCTATGATAATCTTTGGAATGGATGTCTATCATGACTCTCCTGGCCAGTCGGGAGTTCCATCTATTGCTGCTGTTAGTAACACACTAATATTCCTTTGTCTCCTCAGCTCCCTCCCACTGCTTAATTAACTACTAGCTAAACTGGATTTATTTTTTTCAAATATATACAGGTTGTGAGTTCAAGGGCCTCATCAATATATCGGTACAGAGCATCTGTCCGTTCTCAGTCCCCAAAGGTTGAAATGATAGAATCATTGTACCAGCCTTTGCCTACAGGAGAAGACGGAGGCATTATCAGGTTTTTTTTGGACTTTATCCATCAAATAACCTTGTACACTAACTGAATAATAGATGTTCATGATATTTGCTTTTTTAATAGAGAGCTTCTGGAGGATTTCTACAGAAGTTCAAGCCCCCCCAGTTAAGCCATCACAAGTCATAGTATTTAGGTATGATACCAGATGAGATGCTTTATATTTGGTGTCTATGCAATCTTTAGATCCCATTGCAGAGACTAATATTTTTATTCATACGCGATCAGGGATGGAGTGAGTGAATCACAATTCAAGCAGGTCCTCAACATAGAGTTTGAACAAATTCTTCAGGTTTGTTGCAAATGTTCCCTAAATGAAATAGCCATATAGGTTTTGAATGTTATTCGAGAACCATTCACATAAAGAATTTGCATTATTGTAAATTCACTTCGTTTTGCAGGCATGCAAAGTGCTTGATGAAAGTTGGTCTCCGAAGTTCACCATAATCATTGCTCAGAAAAATCATCATACCAAGTTTTTCAAACCAGAAAGCCCTAACAAATATGACAATGTACCACCTGGTTAGCAAATCTAGCACACTTGCAAAAAAAATAAGAATCAGATTTCCAAAAAAATTCAGAAAGTTTGGCCTTAATTGTTGCCTTTGTTGTATGCAGGTACTGTGGTTGACAGCAAAGTTTGCGATCCTCGATACTATGATTTCTACATGTGTGCACAGGCAGGGATGATTGTGAGTAAAAAAATCTATTGAAGTTTCTTTCTTTTCTTTTAAGTTTTAGGATTTCATGAACCCACTCAGCTAGTCTTGATTCTTTGGTTTGCATTGTCATGCATTATCTATATTGGACTTGTTTTTACAACTCATACTTTACATGAATTTTCATGCTACTCAAACTCGAATGTTGGTGTGCAAATTTACTTGAGTTGAAATTAATAACATAGTTGTTGGACTATTGTATATTCTAATGAGTTCTTCACATTCTGTAAATCTTTGCTAGCAGTAGCAGACATAATCACAGCATATTCTTCACTGCTGGAACCTTTTCATTTCTATGATCAAACATAACGTGAGTCAAAATTTGCAGGGCACGAGCAGGCCAACTCACTACCATGTTCTGCTTGATCAGAATGCCTTTACAGCAGATGATCTGCAACAGTTGATTCACTATTTATCCTATGTGTAAGAAGCTCTTGACCTCTAAAAAAACTTGCAAATTTTTGTGTTTAAAGCTAAACATGCACAAGGACTCTAATTTTGAGAGCATATATAAACTCATGCAGGTACCAGAGGAGCACTACTGCTATATCTATTGGTAAATCTTATTGCTAACTCTGTTATATAGTCGAAAAAAATTAAAATTAAGCTTACTTTCACAATACTAAGTTTCATTTCATTCTTTTTCTCCATTTTTATCCTGCAGCTGCACCAATTCAATACGCCCACCTGGCAGCCTCCCAAGCAGCTCATTTCCTGAAGTATGAAGACCTGTCAGAAACATCATCGGGTCATGGAGGCATGACTTCTGCTGGAAATCCTCCTGTGCCTGAGCTCCCAAAGCTGCATCACAGAGTGTGCAGGACCATGTTCTTCTGTTAGTCATACCTGTAAAAAGAATGATCTGAAACAACTACTAGCTAGCCCCTCGGTTTACCCTGAAGTGTGTAGGATATTAGGATATTTCGATGACCACTGTGGCTCTCTTTACGCTTTCTGCTAACTGCTAAATGATGCATACAGTTTTGGCTGCAACATACATGTACAAATCGTCATTGATCAGAAATTTTGGACCAAATAATTTGTTGCTATGTTTAAGCAGTTTGTAATCTTTTGAATGTTAATAAACTTGATTTTATTGATTCTTTTAGACTGCTAGACTTTTTAGTTTTTACTATGCTTGTTTATTAGATAGATTCCACATAACTTCTGTTGTTTAGACCAAACTACCAAAGTATACATATCTGATGTTTAGTCAAGTACTTATCAGAAAAGATAATGGCAATGGTAACCTGCATATTTACAAAAATGACCGTGATGATGCCCTAATCTTTGGATTTAAGGCATTTGTTTAAATTACCTCATATGTCAACCAATCCAAGAGTAACACGTGCATTATTAATCTGTTAAACAGATTACAACTGTTTTGATCTCATTAAAATTGATATTACCAAAGGTTGTAATATTAAGAAACAATCAAAAGGTTGTCTTATTTAAATTCTATAGCTCAAAGGTTGTATTACGAAGTGAGTATTATATTTATGATAATATTTTTAATTTAATAAAGAGTAATGCATTGTTAAACGTGAATTGTAGTGTCGCAAATAAAAGACACAAAGTATGCACAATCAAAATTGGAAAAATCATTGTGAAACAGAAGGAGTACTCCGTGCTAAATTTCTCGTACTCCCTTCGTGTTTTGAAGTGTTACACTTCCTCTTTTGGCAAAAAAACTTCATTTTAATATTATATTTACCTACCTCTTATGGTTCGACTCAACCAACTATTACTTTTTTATTTCTCCATTTGTTCTCAAGTGATTTTTCCATTTGTGAAAACATGGAAATCAAGAAAGGGAACATGTAATTAATTGACAATAAAGTAGATAGATAAATACTCCCTCCGTTCCTTTTTTGGAAAATGATTTTGGCACACCCTTAATTGATTTCGACACACCCCTATGTGATAGCACAATTTTCTCTTCTCACATAAGGGTGTGCAAAATAAGAAGGGGAAGGAGGAATTAGTAAAAGTACATTGAAAAGTTAAATTCACATGATATTTGCAAAAAAAAGTAGAGAGATAAAGTAATAAAAGTACATCGAAAAGATAAATTCACATGAAAAACTAACATTGCACAAATATTTTTGCATAAGAGGGTAATTTGAAAGGTCATTTAATAAAGACAAGAAAAATACTCCCTTTGTCCTGTAATGATAGTCACTTTTGGCCAAATTTTACTATTTTAGTTCCAAAATGTCACATTACATTATTTGTTTTTTCCAACACTCATTAATACGAAGTATTAAATTTACTAAAATTCCCTCCAATTTGCAATAATATTTTTGCAAATTTAAATTCCCTATGTAATTTTGGCATTTCCATATACTCACTTTTATTACTAGCTCTTTCTACTTTTTTGCATACCTCGTGTAAATTTATTTTTTCAATGTACTTTTACTCCTTATTTAAGTTTCTTAATTCTCGTAAAATTTCACCAAAAATGACTATCATTAAGAGATAGAGGAGGTAGATGATAAAAGAGTAATTTAACGCAATAAATGGTAAAAAAAAATGAAATGGATACATCATTTATGTCCACAAAAAATGACAATAAGGGAAGATCAATAAGAGGAGGGCTAGAGGGAGTATAAGTAAATTAAAATGTCGTGATTAGATGGAGAGAGTAAATTTGAATTTACCCCATGATTCAATAGCAACCACCTAAGTGTTCGTGATTAGATGGAGAGAGTATGTATAATTATACAAGACTTAAAAACTTATCCCATACTCCCGTAAGACAACCTACCCTATACACCCGTAACATCAAATACTTCCTCCGTTCTAAATTAAATTATGGCAACATTTGAAATTTCACGTATCTGAACCAATGTCATACGTACATTATTACATACCAGTAACGTACATAACCTCATGTAGTCACAGTCATAGTAATCAAGTCAAGTAGTCAAAGTTAGTCGTTCCAAGACATCCTAGACTCTAAACAAGCTTAAAACAGAAACAAATGAGAGCCAAATTTAGCTAAAGCTTCACTACTCTGAATAGCAAAGGTTTCTCTCTTTAATCCTTTCTTTACTTTCTCATTTATTCTCAACACTCTTTTTATCTTCATTTTCCTCTTCTTTTTCTTATTTTCTTACTACAAATTTTGTACATTTCTTAAAAAATCATATATATATTTCTTGCATAAAAAACTTGTTCATCATTTTCTACTGGGTTTAAGTTTTTTTTTGTGAAGAATTTCGCTGGAAAGGTACAACTTTGCTCTATTTTACTTAGTGTTTTATTTCTTTTTCTTTTTTTGGTGGGTTTTTTGTGTTCATTGTGTTCTTGCACAAATTTGAAATTTATGCTTGGATTCTTTCATTATTTTTCCTTTATGGATTATTTCATGTACTGTATGACTGTATGTAGTTATTTTCTGTCATTTTGAGCAATGACTTTGTAATAAAAAGAGGAAAAAAAAAAGTTATTTTTGTTTCATAAATTTTTTTTCTTTTTTTATGTCGTTTGCTGATCTCACATAAAATGGGTACACAGTGTTTCAAAAAAAAAAAAATGGGTACGAAGTTTTTATTTTTATTATGTTGAGATGGAAAAGTTCCACAGTTAATGAATAAAAAAGAAAAGGTATGTTTAAGTATTTTTAATAAATTATTATGGTAATCTTTCTTTCTTTTTTTTTTTTTTTTTTTGAAAGAATCTTTCATTTTGATAAATTTTTATGGGTAATCTTTCATTTTGTTTTTTAGATGGATAAATTATTATGGGTAATCTTTCATTTTGCTTTTTAAGATGGTTAAATTTTCTCTATATTTTGATAAAGATGGTAACTTTAATTTTTTTTAATAGTAATTTGAACAAAACTTTAAAAATTTCTTTCTATTTCGATACAGGGTATTTTTTTTAGGCATTCTTTCACATGACATGAGTAATTATTTCTTAATGCTCTAAATTATTTTGAGGTTTCTCTAACAAAAAAAAAAGGCATTCATTCTAAAAAAAAAAAAGAGGTTTTATCTTCTTTTCTCGGTAACTTAAGTGTACATTTGCAAATGTACAAGATATTGATAATAACACATTAACACTAGATTGTAAAAGGAAATATTTTTTGAGGTAGTTTGAGAAATTATAAGAGTATATAAATGTGTTGAAAGCTTCCAAAGAGGTTTTTTAAAGGAAAGAATAGTCCTTTAGTAGTAAAAAATTTTAAAAAAAGTTTTATTAGTGACTAGTGAGTTACTAGTATGAAGAGAATTTTTTGTATGACTTACCTTCATTGTGGCAGATAAATGAAAGTGATTATGGTTATTGGTTAAGGATTGTTGTGTTTTTGTATGATGCTTGTGTATTTCACTTTATTTTACATGAAGAAAATAAATAAATAAAAAAATTTCGATCTTTTCATATATACCTTAATTTGATCCTAAGGGATTGTATCTTATGATGATTATGTTATTTTACCTCTTGGAAATGATACATGTTTATTGTGTGATGGAACTACTTCTAGCAAAAGTTTTAGATCTTACCTATCTCAAATGTGGTTTTGAACGTTTTAACACGAATCAAAATGGCTCTTAGGACTTCCAAAGCACACATTGATTGGTAAGTAGAATTACTGCTAGTCCATCTTTGGTGTGTGTATGTATGGAAGTACAATTCTTTGCTTGTTGTTCGCGGTAATGTAATAGTTATAAGAAATGTTTTCTTGATTTTGTGAAGTATAGAACATTTATGGTGTTTGTTAGATTGTGTGTGGTAGGAAATGGATGCTCCTGAACAAAAGCAGGTACGAGTTTCTATGGCGAGGCCTGGCTGTGGATCAAAAGGACAAAAAATTCGACTATTAACCAATCACTTCAATGTCAAGATTGCCAATACTGAAGGCTTCTTCTTCCATTACTCTGTATGTTTCATCTAAATAATTTCTTAACATATAGTGACCATGTTGTATAATAATGTTGTTGCGAAAATTGCAACATTTGAAACTTTTCATGTATTATGTTATCTCTACTCTATCCTCCAGGTTGCCCTCTACTATGAAGATGGAAAACCAGTCGAAATGAAGGGTGTAGGAAGAAAAGTAATGGACAAGATCAAAGAAACATATAGCTCTGAGATGGGTGGCAAGGAATTCGCCTATGATGGTGAGAAGACCTTGTTTACTGTCGGTTCCCTCCCAAGAAAAAAGTTGGAGTTTACTGTACTGCTCGACAAGGTCTCATCTGAAAGGTAATTATTGATGCCTTTCTAAAGTAATCAAACTGCTTGAGAGCTTATTACTTTGATACAGTGCTTACATTAGTACTATAAAACATCATTATATTGTAGGACGGATGGTAAGAGCAGCCCGGGAGGCAATGGAAGTCCTAATGAGAGTGATAAAAAGAGAAGAAAGCGCGTGTCTCAAAGCAAGACTTTTAAGGTGGAGATCAGTTATGCAACCAGAATTCCAATCAAGGCAATAAGTGATGCTCTCCGTGGTATAGAATCTGAGGACTTCCTTGATGCTGTCCGGGTCCTGGACATAGTACTGAGGCAACATGCTGCAAATCAGTAAATTCAAATTTCTTACTCCTTGTTCTGTTTTCATATTTTTGTCTAATCTTGTATGTATTAATTTACTGATGTTCTCTTTATATTTTATATAGGGGGTGCCTATTGGTGAGACAATCATTCTTTCGTGATGATAGGAACTCTGATGTCCTTGGAGGGGGTGTCCTTGGTTGCAGGGGACATCATTCAAGTTTTCGAGCCACTCAAAGTGGACTGTCTTTGAACATGGGTAAGTGTTTTCATATGTATGGTTTTATAACGCACATTGATATTTGGAACAACACTCACCCTTAGTTCTTCCTTTGTTGTGACCTTGAGAGCAGATGGGACGCTTACTACAATTGTTCAGCCTGGACCACTGATAGATTTTCTCCTAGCCAACCAGAATGTACAAGATCCATACCAGCTTGATTGGGTGAAGGTAAGAATGGAACTACGAGTGCTTCTACACTAGTTCATACTGTATAGTGTATAGGGACTATGTTTTCATTTGAGGGGTTCTGACTTTCTGATAAGTGATACTTGTCATGGTGCCTTGTATAGGCTAAGCGCACTCTGAAAAATCTGAGGATAAGAGTAGAACCTGCCAATATTGAGTGGAAAATCTGTGGATTGAGTGAAGAAATTTGCAAAAGACAGAAGTAAGAGTTATCCATGCTAGCTCTATTCTTTGCTATATGATGTTCTTTCAAATTTAATCAGTGTTCTGTTGAACGTCGTCTGAAGGTTCACACTAAGGAGGAGATCAGCTGAAAGAGGAGGAGAAAATTTTGAGGAAATTGAACTGACAGTTTATGAATATTTTGCACAACAACGAAACATAAAGCTTCGGTACTCAGGAGACTTTCCTTGTGTTAATGTGGGTAAACCAAAAAGGCCGACTTACATACCAGTCGAGGTGATAAACTTGTACCATATTTTTTTGCTGTGTTATCCATATTACTCTATCTTACTTGAACTGTTTTGTACATTTTTGTGCAGCTATGTTCATTGCTTCCGCTACAAAGGTACACTAAAGCACTTACTGTCCAGCAGCGATCTTCATTGGTAGAAAAATCAAGGCAGAAGCCACAAGATAAAATAAGGACTCTCACAGATGTATGCCTTGCAATCTTTGTCTTTAATTCTTTACCACATTCTCATATCTTTTGCCACATTTTACTTATGTTCGCGTCTTGGCTTCTTGCTAGGCAATGAGGAGGAGTAATTATGCTGCTGAGCCACTCCTACGTACCTGTGGCATCACAATCAACAACGAGTTTATGCAAGTTGAAGGCCGTGTTTTGGCAGCTCCCAAGGTATTAATGTATCATTGCCTAATCCTCTCCTCCTGGGAAAAAACAAAGGGACTTGTGTAGTTTTTATTAACCTCTCTACAATAATCTCTTGCATTTTGCCATTTTCGTTATTGTTGCAGCTGAAATTTGGTGATGGGGAAGATTTTCCAAGAAATGGACGTTGGAATGTAAACCGCAAGGTAGCTCACATTTTCTGTCCCTCAGTTCAGGTCTCTTTCTTCCCACCTTTTTAATGTTTGTTCTGTTTGTTTTACAGAGATTTTCAGATCCCGTTAAAATAAAAAACTGGGTGGTGGTGAACTTCTCTGCACGCTGTGACATACGCAACCTTTGCAGAGACCTAGTGAAGTTTGGGAGAATGAAGGACATTGTAAGTCCAACAAAATCATACACTTTGTGTGTGCCTATTGTCCTGCACATCTTTCAGAATAGTAGTATATTCAGCTAATAATGTCTGTAACTTCTTGTCTTTTCTTTTTTTTTTGATTTCTTTCTATTCAGGAGTTCACTGATTCCCCAATGTGTACTTTTGAGGAAGATCCACAGTATAGACGAGCACCCCCTCCTGTTCGAGTGGACAAAATGGCTAGTCAAGTGAAGTCACGACTACCTGGTCCTTCTACTATTATTCTGTGTGTCTTTGCTGACAGGAAAAATTCTGAAATATATGGTCAGAAACTCATCATCATTACATTTGATAATGTATGCACATCATTTCTGTATTTTATGTTCGAAGTTGATTGATCACACCTTCTCTACAGGCCCTTGGAAAAAGAAAGCCCTTGTTGAACTTGGAGTTGTTAGTCAATGCTTGGCACCTCAACGAGTGAATGAGCAGTACCTCACCAATCTTCTGCTTAAGATTAATGCCAAAGTAATACATGCTTCTTTCATTGCTTTTACTTTTAGATTTCATACTACTATTGGTTAATATCTAATTATCTCTGACTTCCTTCAGCTTGGCGGATTGAATCATCGGCTTGCAGTTGAACGCAACATTCCTGTGCTCATTGATAAGCCTATGATAATCCTCGGAATGGATGTTTCTCATGGCTCTCCTGGACAGTCTGGAGTTCCATCTATTGCTGCTGTTAGTAACACACTAAAATTCCTTTGCCTCCTCGGCTCCCTCCTTTCACTGCTTGTTTAACTAATTGCTGCTAAAATGGATAATTATTCAAATATTTACAGGTTGTGAGTTCTAGACCCACATCAATATATAAGTACAGAGCATCTGTCCGTTCTCAGTCCCCAAAGGTTGAAATGATCGATTCATTGTACAAGCCTTTGCCTGGAGGAAAAGACGGAGGCATTATCAGGTTTTTTTCCGGACTTTATATCCATCAAACATCATTTTACTTTACTAACTAAATATTAGATGTGCATGATATTTATTTGCTTTTTTGATAGAGAACTTCTGGAGGAATACTACTCGAGTTCAGACCGCCCAGTTAAGCCATCACAAGTCATAATATTTAGGTATGATACATATTGTTTGGGTCCAATTTAGTCCAATTGGGCTTAGGCATTAAATGATCCAATTAAAAGCCCAAGGTCAAGGTTCATCTCTCCAAATGTGCTAAAGTCAAATATCAGTCCTCAAGGCAAGTCAATTGGGCTAAGGCCCAATTTCTCCATGTATGCAGAGGTATAAAAGCCATCAATATTACATTTGTACATTCATTCAAGTAAAGTCTCAAGCAATTAATTCTCTTGCATAGTGTTCTCTTTCTAAACACTGTACTGACTTTAGCATCGGAGGGGCCTTCCTCGGCAACACCCCCGAGGCTAGTTTACGTGTGTTTACTGTGCAGGAAACCTTCGGCCCAACATTACTTGGATCGAATCTAGTCTTCTCCACTTCATCGGACCTTCGACAAGGTCCCATTGTTTTCACCCGAAACAATTTGGCGCCGTCTGTGGGGAAGACTTTCAAAAATCTTTAAGTCAAATTTCTAACCAAGATCATCTTGCAATTATCTTAGTAGCAATGGCTAAGAACCGCAAGAGCAAAGACCTCCGTCAAGGAGCAGGCGAAAAGCCTAAAACCCCTACACCATCACCCTCGCCGGACCGGAACTCTCCCAAGGGTGCCAGCTCGGGGGGAGGATCATACAGGGAGGATTCCCTTTCTCCCGTAATTCATAACTCTCATCATAGGCCGAGTCACTCTCGGTCTAGCAGGGGTCAGTCCGATCATAGGACACATTCAGTGCCCCAAAGCCAACCATCGACCGTCCGCTCTCATTCCCATACTCAGCCGAGGACACTTTGACGGGGCCCAGCTCGGAGGAGGTGGCAAGAGCGCTGGCAGTGCTCATGGAGGCAATGAGGGCACAAAATATGCCGCCACCTCGTGATCGAACTCCTCCGCATACCCGGCATCAGCGGAGGAAGCTAGACCATGATGGTGGGAAACTTCCTTCCTTCCGGGAATTGGAAGAGTGGGAAGAGGATACCTGGAAAACTGAAAAAGAGAGGAAAAAGAACCCTCAATTCTTCAGAGGATCCTCGACCTCCCGACAGGAAACGCATAAGAGCAGCAGCTCAGCTTCTCGGCCAGAATCTGCTCGCCAAGAACCTGAGACTGTTCGCCGAAGTGTTCTCGACCGACTCGGCAGTAAGGAACCGAGCGTGCTCAGTCGCCTCTCGTTCCCTGCGGCCGAGGCCCAAACTTCCCAGCCAGGGACGAAAACCGCTCCTACCTCTCTAAGAGGGCGGAGCGCGGTCCCTTCGGCTAGGAACAAGGGCAAGGTCGTTATGCTACCCGCCAGTTCGCCATTCGAGCAATGGATACTGGAAGAGCACGTGCCCACGGTTAAAATACCGTCGCACATCACATATGACGGGACCTCGGATCCGAAGGACCACGTGGCCTCGTATGAGACTCATATGCATCTTTGCCCCAGATCCGAAGCGACTTGGTGCAAATATTTCCCAACCACTCTCAAGGGGGTCGCGCAAGCGTGGATCTCCAAGGGAGTAAAGCAAGGCTCCATAACAGGGTGGGATGATCTGTCCTCCAAGTTTAGGAGCAAGTTTTCCACGGCAAACCGCCGAGAGAAGACTACTGCAGAACTCATGAGTCTGCAACAGGGGGAAACCGAAAGCCTCCGAGACTATCTGACCCGTTTCAGTAACGAGTCATCCAGCGTCTCTCAGCTGGACCAGGGGCTAGCCGTTTTTGCAATGCAGAATGGCCTTCAGCCCGGGAAGTTCCTAGACTTCATGGTCATGCATACCCCGCAGACCTTGGAGGAAGCTCTGAATGCCTCGGATAAGTTCATCCGAGCCGAAGAATGGAACAAAGCGAAAACCCAACCTCAATTCGGGGGAGGGAAATAAAGACAAATACCCTTGTCTGAAGGCCAAGGCCATAAGGCAAAGGGAAAGTCAAAGGCCTCGGAGCAATCTTCGGCCAGCGACCCAAAGAAGGAAAAATCTGCCTCATACACAGGCAGATACGAGTCCTACACTCCGCTCTCTCTTCCACGCGCCAAAATTTACAGCGTGACGATGGAGGAGCAGAGTTACCGAAAGCCGAGACCACTCCCAGAGTGGTATCAGCGAAAAAAAAAATCAGTGGTGCGAGTTCCACGAATCTCCGGGACACAACACTGAGGAGTGTATCCAACTGAAGGACCAGATAGAGGACATGGTCCGGAAGGGATACTTGAAAAAATACATCGCGGATCACCGCGAGAAAAAAGAGTCCGAGAAGTCAGCAAAGGACTCTCGGCAAGACCTCGACTTCCCCCGGAAGAACAGTAAAAAGCCGGAGGAATATGCTCTCGGAGGGAGCACAAGCGACACCTTAGGGCTTTGACTCACCAGGTGAACAACGCTGACATTCAGTCTCCCCAATCGCCGGTGCCGAACATGACGTTCACAACCGCCGACTGCCGGGGGATAACGTTCCCTCACGAGGATCCGTTGGTGATCATCGCCACGGTGGCCAACCACGACGTCAGTAAGGTCCTTGTTGATGGTGGCAGCGGAGCAAACATTCTGTTCCGAAAGGCCTACAATCAAATCAAGTTGAAGCCCAAGCACCTTACGCCGGTACCCTACCCGGTACCCGGGTTCAACGGGGCTTCAACTTATCCAGATGGGAAGGTGACACTTCCTATCACCATCGGCTGCGATGAGGCAGCCAGGAACGTCATGATTGAATTTTTGGTCATTGACGCTCCTTCAGTGTACAACGTGATTTTGGGGAGACCCATAATTCATGAGATCCAAGGGGTCGTCTCAACTTATCATCAACTGATGATTTACGTCTCAGACGCTGGCTTCCCCGAAAGGATACAGGGCAACCAAAAGGACGCCCGAAGGTGCAGCTACCTCAAGCCATACAGTAGTCGCCCAGATGACGACAAGGATGAGGAGGAGAAAGAAAAAGAAAGAGAGTCAAGCACAAAAAAGCCGAAAGGCCTAAGTGCTTCGGCCCAAGGATCTGTACCCAGAGGTAAAGGGTCCGAAAGGGAAAAGGCTAGCTCTTCAGCTGAACAGCAAGACTCAGAGAGCCAGCCGAAGAACAAAAAGACTAGGACACCTGCTGACATAGGCAGCAGGCCAGATTATGAAGAGTCCAGTCCATCAGCAATGGACATGGACCAACAGACTGAAACAGTTGAGTTGGCCGAAAGAGACGTAGAGAAATGTGTAACAATCGGGATGGACCTTGATCCGAACACCCGTTGTGAACTTATTCAGCTCCTTCGGGACAACAGAGATGTGTTTGCTTTCTCGGCAGCTGATATGCCCGGGATAAGTCCAGACCTCATCTCCCATAAGCTTATTGTTGACCCAACGTGTCGACCAATTAAGCAAAAGAAGCGGAATTACTCCGCTAATAAGAACCGAGACATCGCAGCCGAGGTCAAAAAATTGCTGGAGGCAGGCTTCATCGAGCCTTGCCAATATCCAGAATGGCTGGCAAATGTGGTGATGGTTCAGAAGGCCAATGGTATCTGGAGGATGTGCGTTGACTTCACGGACCTAAATAAGGCTTGTCCAAAGGATTTCTATCCCTTGCCGAGGATCGATCAGCTAGTCGATTCAACAAGTGGCCATGCCTTGCTTAGTTTCATGGACGCATTCTCGGGGTATCATCAGATCTTCATGCACCCCGACGATCGAGCAAAGACAGCATTCGTCACGAACGCTGGGGTGTACAATTACAAAATGATGCCCTTCGGATTGAAAAATGCGGGGACAACCTATCAAAGGCTGGTGGATCAAGTTTTTGCCGATCAAAAGGGCCGAAACATGGAAGTCTATGTCGACGATTCGATCGTCAAAAGCAAAAAACCTGAGGACCATGTTAAGGACCTGGCTGAAACTTTCGCCACCTTAAGAAAGCATCAAATGAAGCTGAATCCGAAGAAGTGTGTCTTCGGCGTGAAGTCAGGGAAATTCCTTGGGTTCATAGTCAGCAAAAGGGGGATTGATGCCAATCCCTCCAAAGTCAAAGCAGCGCTCGACCTTCCTGAGCCGAAAACAAAGCGGGATGTTCAGCGGCTCACCAGAAGAATGGCAGCCCTCTCGAGGTTCATTTCCAGAGCTTCGGATAAGGGGTTACCTTTCTTCAAAGCCCTGAAACTCCCGAAAACAAAAGAGCTCGTTTGGGAGGAAGAGCAAAAAGACGCCTTTAAACAGCTTCGGAAGCATCTGGCTCAACTCCCAACGCTGGCTAGCCCAGCAGAAGGAGAAACTTTGTACCTGTATGTGGCCGTTAGCCCAGCCACCATCAGTGCAGTACTGCTGAAGAAAGAAAGTAAAAGTCAGCAACCGATCTACTTTGTCAGTCATACACTGACGGATGCCGAGACTCGCTACCCTCTACTCGAGAAAGTCGCTTTCGCGGTAGTAGTAGCTGCTCGGAAGCTGAGGCCCTATTTTGATTGCCATCAGATAGTGGTCTTAACTGATCAGCCGTTGGAAAAAGTTCTCGGCAAGGTTGAAAAATCTGGTAGGCTAGCCAAGTGGGCTTTTGAGCTCACCGAATTCAGCATCAGCTACCGTCCGAGGGCTGCCATTAAGGCTCAAGCTCTAGCGGATTTCTTGGCCGAATGCTCATACCAAGAAGCGCTAGACAATGAAAAGAAAGTCTGGACCGTGTTTACGGATGGATCTTCCACCGAAAACGGTTCGGGGGCAGTAGTGATAACTTCTCCCGAAGGCAAATCCTTTGAGTATGCACTAAAATTATCTTTTAAGGCCTCGAACAACGAAGCCGAATATGAGGCAGCAATCGCCGGCCTAGAATTGTGCATCTCCCTGGAAGCCGATCATGTCTGCCTGAAAACAGACTCTCAGCTAGTTCCATATCAGATTAGCGGCAGCTACGAGGCCAAAGAGCCCTCCATGATAGCTTATCTTGCCAAGACCAAGTCAGTCATTGCAGAGCTGAAAACTTTTGAGGTTCAGCTGATCCCAAGGGGTCAGAATACTCAAGCCGATGCACTCTCCAAACT